ATTATTATTATACTATTACTAATTATTATTATTATTAATAATAATATATTATTATTATTATTATTTATATCCTGATTTTATCTCTTGATTGAGATGGAAATTGATCCAAAACATTATGCTTTTTTAATGTTAGCCAGGATATAAATATTATTACTACTAGTACTACAATAATGGTCCTTCTTCCCAGTTCTTACAAGTTGCTGTCCTCCATAAAGGAGCGTTTGTTCATTTAAAAACACGATGTACCCATTTGCATTTTAAACAAACTTCCCTCCCTTTGTTTTGCCCAACTGAACTGGAACCGGTCTCCTATACATTTCCAAACTTGAATGTGCAGAGAATGTCTATTTCGAGAATAGAGAAAGGAGCAATGCAAGGAAAAGGAGAAACCGATACCCCACAAAGCCCAAACCCGGCTCCTGCAAAACAATATGTCCTCAGAGACCATTGCATTTGATTTATGGACTTCCTGCCATCTCCTCCTCCTGCTAAGCAGAAAAATACGCTCTATTATTCATGCATATTCACCTCGGCCAAAAAACAGAGTGCATTAACCTGGCATTTGAGCCTTGCAAAAAGGCCCATCTCCGGTTTTTTCTTTCTGAAGTTCAGTGAAACAACCACATTTTATGAATCTTTGGACAGATTAAAATAGTCCAACCAGCAATCGCCCAAATGCAAATGGGGGAAAAGTGCAAACCATTCAGAGGACAATATTTTGCAAAAAAAAAAAAAAAAAAAAGGAATGTTTTGAAAAGTTCGATTGCATTTAGGAATTTGCTGCATTTGACAGCATAATGGTGCATCAACGACATAAGGCTGGGAAGTTCCTCTGTATCAGGCATGTGCAAACTTGGGCCCTGCAGGTGCTTTGGACTTCAACTCCCACCATTCCTAACAGCCTCAGGCCCCTTCCTTTCCCCCCTCAGCTGCTTAAGCAGCTTAAGCAGTGTCCAATATGTGATCCAATACAAAAGCCAGCATAGTGATCTTGTTTGCTGTCTAGTTATCTTGTTAAGTATCAAATAATAATAATAATAATAATAATAATAATAATAATAATAATAATGCTTAAGCAGCTGAGGGGGGAAAGGAAGGGGCCTGAGGCTGTTAGGAATGGTGGGAGTTGAAGTCCAAAGCACCTGCAGGGCCCAAGTTTGTACATGCCTACTCCCCCGCCTCTCTCTATAATTCCAACCACATGAGATGCTTAAAGTGCAAAAGTAAAAGTTCTTGATGTTATCCTGGAGTCTGCGCCAGGATTTTAGCCAAAAATGCACAGCAGAGAGTCACTGGACCATTGCAGAGAAGAGTCACTGGATCATTGCAGGGAAACAATGGCAATAACAGACAGCAAGCACAGCAATACTGAGAGTAATTGCAATGGGAACAAGCAATACTACTACTAATACTAATGACAGTGATTCTGCAATCCCACACGACAGCAGGACTGAGAAGAAGCAACTGGAAAAGCTTACGTGATATGAAGATTTAAAGACTTGAACTGCAAAGACTCTGGCACAAGCCAGTCAAGGTGGTCCCATTGGTGATTGGCACTTGGGTGCAGTGCCTAAAGACCTTGGCCTGGACTTAAAAACAATCGGCCTTTACAACATTTCCATCCAATACATCACACAGTTCTAGACACTTGGGAAGTGTCCAATATGTGATCCAATACAAAAGCCAGCATAGTGATCTTGTTTGCTGTCTAGTTATCTTGTTAAGTATCAAATAATAATAATAATAATAATAATAATAATAATTATTATTATTATTATTATTATTATTATTATTATGGCACAAGCCAGTCAAAGTGGTCCCATTGGTGATTGGCACCTGGGTGCACTGCCTAAAGACCTTGGCCTGGACTTAAAAACAATTGGCATTTACAAAATTATCATCCAATACATCACACAGTCTTAGACACATGGGAAGTGTCCGACGTGTGATTCAATACAAAAGTGATCTTGTTTGCTGTGTACCAATCTTGTTATGTATCATAATAATAATAATAATAATAATAATAATAATTCTGGCACAAGCCAGTCAAGGGGGTCTCAGTAGTGATTGGCACACTGGGTGCAGTGCCTAAAGACCTTGGCCTGGACTTAAAAACAATCTGCACTAACAAAAATACTGTCTGCAGAAGGCCACCCTACTCAGATCTGTATGCATTATTTGCCGATACATCACACAGTCCTAGACACTTAGGAAGTGTCTGACGTGTGATTCAATATAACAGCCAGAAGAGTGATCTTGTCTGCTGTGGACTCATCTGGTTGTGTATCTAATAATAATATTTATTTATTGTGTCAGGAGTAAACCAAAGAGTTGTATTGCATTTTTAACAAACAAACAAACAAACAATGGGGGACATGAGAGAAGCCTCCTCACAGGATTGCAAGACATCCAGGCGTACCCTGGGCAACGTCTTCGTAGACGGCTGATTCTCTCACTCCAAAAGCGACCAGAAGCTACGTGCAGCATGCAAACAAGCAAGCAAAACGACCAACGGACCTTTTCAGGACCAACCATGACAATAATCTCAATCAACATTGAAGGCATGTCAGCTGCCAAAGAACAACTGCTCTATGAACTGTCCCAAGATAAGAAACCTAATAATAATAATAATAATAATAATAATAATAATAATAATAATAATACAATTTACAATTGGCAAGGAAACAGGGTGAAATTGCTGATGCTGCTTTAATTTTTGCAGCTTAGTGAAGGATTGAGATGCAGTTCCTCCAGGTCCTTTTCGCCAAATAAGAATAGGCTAAAATGAATCCCCTAAGTGCACCTTTATTTTTGATGTGGGGCACCTCATTAATGTTTGTATATTTTGCAGATTTTAAACTGTACTCAATGGCTTTTAACGTAAGCCTGCTTTGAGTTTCCTTGTTAGGGGGGAAAGCATGGTATAAATAAACAACAACAACAACAACAACAACAACCTGTATCAAAATCAGGAGTTCAACAATAAGGAGGAGGGTTCCTTTTCATGGTTTCCTCCTTTCTATTGAAATTGTCCACCTGCTTGTGGCATTTTGAAACTTAACAGGCAAATATAGTTCCCCAAGCTTGCTTTCTTTCCAGAATGAAATCAAAGCATTATCCTGACTTTGAAATACGTCTGGGTCCTAATACGTCAGAAGAGAATGTTTCTGGAATATGGCTAAACAGCCATACTCATTGGGTTGCTGTGAGTTTTCGGGGTTGTGTGACCATATTTCTAGAAGCATTTTCTCCTGATGTTTCACCCACATCTATGGCAGGCATCCTCAGAGGTTATGAGGTCTGTTGGAAACTAGACAAGTGAGGTTTCTATATCTGAGGAACGATGTCCAGAGTGGGAGAAAAAACTCTTGTCTGTTGGAGCCAAGTATGAACGTTGCAATTGGCCACTTTGATTATCATTGAATAGCCTGGCAGCTTCAAAGCCTGGCTGCTTTCTGCCTGGGAGAATCCTTTTTTGGGAGCTGCTAGCTGGCCCTGATTGCTTCATGCCAGGAATTCCCCTGTTGTTTGAGTGTTCCTCTTTATTTACTGTCCTGATTTTAGAGTTTTTTCAATACTGGTAGCTTCAAAGCTGCTTCCTACCTGGTGGAATCCTTTGTTGGGAGAAGCCATTGAAATCCACAAGCATGTGGACAATTTCAACAGAAAGGAGAAAACCATGAAAATGAACAAAATTTGGCTACCAGTATTTAAAAAAAACTCTAGAATCAGGACATTGTTCCACAGATATAGAAACCCCACTTGCCTAGTTTCCAACAGACCTCACAACCTCTGAAGATGTCTGCCATAGATGTTGGTGAAACGTCAGGAGAGAATGCTTCTGGAACATGGCCAGGCAGCCTGGAAATCTCACAACAATCCAGTGATTCCAGCTATGAAAGCCTCTCCCTTAAAGGGGTCCCCACCCATGAACTGTAGTAGGGCTCCTGGGTGGTTGTTAAAGGAGACAATCCCCCTTTTGAAGGAAGTCCCCAAACCCCTTTTGCAGAGCCCAGTCCTCATGAGCAAAGTCTCTTCTTTGGAAAGCATCCCTTCCTCAAAATCCCTTTGGGCTGTATTTGGGCTCCTGGGTCCTTCTTAAAGGAGCCACCCCCTTTTAAAGGAAGACCCCAAACCCCTTTTGCAGAGAATTCTCTTCTTTGGAAAGCACCCCTTCCTCAAATGCCCTTTGGCCTGTAATAGGGCTCCTTGGTGGTTCTTAAAGGAGCCGCTGCTCCTTTTACAAGAGAGACCCCAATCCCCTTTTGTAGAGAAGTCTCTTCTTTGGAAAGCACCCTTTCCCCAAAAGTCATTTGGCTTATAATAAGGTCCTTCTTAAAGGAGCCACTCCCCTTTTAAAAGAGAGACTCCAATCCCCTTTGGGCTCCTGGGTCCTTCTTAAAGGAAGACCCAGTCCCCACTTCTTTGGAAAGCACCCCTTTCCCAAAAGCCCTTTGGCTTATAATAAGGTCCTTCTTAAAGGAGCCGCTCCCCCTTTTAAAGGAAGAGCCCCAATCCCCTCTTCTTTGAAGAGCATCCCTTCCCCAAAAGCCCTCTGGCCTGTAATAGGGCTCCTTGGTGGTTCTTAAAGGAGCCGCTCACCCTTTCAAAAGAGAGACCCCTATCCCCTTTGGGCTCCTGGGTCCTTCTTAAAGGAGCCGCTCCCCCTTTTATTGGAAGGCCTCAATCCCCTCTATTCTTTGGAAAGAACCCCTTCCCCAAAAGCCCTTTGGCCTGTAATAGGGGGCTCCTGGGTGGTTCTTAAAGGAACCGCTCCCCCTTTTAAAGAAAGACCCCAATCCCCTTTGGGCTCCTGGGTCCTTCTTAAAGGAGCCGCTCCCCTTTTATAGGAAGACCCCAATCCCCTCTCTTTCTTTGGAAAGGACCCCTTCCTCAACAGCCCTTTGGCCTGTAATAGGGGGCTCCTGGGTGGCTCTTAAAGGAGCCGCTGCCCTTTCCCAATGCCTGGGAGTCCCGTGGGGCCCTCTGCCTGGACTCACCGGCCACTCCGTGCTCTCCCTTGGCGTCGACGGCTCCGTCCCTGCGGAGGAGGAGGTCTGCGGGTCCGGAGAGGCGCCCCTGGGGTCCCCAGGCGGGCCCCCCTTCGCCGCCCTCCTGGATCCCGCGGCAGCACTGGAAGCAGACGGCCCAGGCCTGCTCCTCGTTGAGGGGCTGCTCGTAGGCCTTCAGCACCTCCTCCAGGGACAGCTCCGGGGGTCCTGCTCCAGAGGAGGGCAGCTCCTCTTGCGGGGCCGCCCGGCGGGCCATGGCGGGCCCTGCTCCATCCTCGGAGGGGACACCTGCCGCAGGAGGAAGAGCGAGAGGGAGGAGAGGGAGGGAGGAGGAGGAGGAGGAGGAGGGAGGAGGAGAGGAGGAGGAAGGGCAGGGCGGGAGGACCAGGCGGGCATCCCTCCGCCTCCACAGCCAGGAGGAAAAAAAGGAGGAGGAGGAGGAAGAGGAGGAAGGCCCTGCCAAGCAGCAGCCGCAGCTGCCCAGGGAAGGGCCCCGCCAGGCCAGGGAGCGGGCCCACGCGCCCCGAAGGCGCAGCCAAGACAGACAGGCAGGCACACAGAGAGGAGATCCCCCTGAAGAAGGGAGGAGGAGGGCTGCTGTCTCTGGAGCCAAAGGAGGGGCTGCCAGGGAAGGAAGGAAAGAAAGAAGGATGGATGGAAGGAAGGAGGAGCCCGCCTTGCCAAGCCCACCCACCCAAGGGAAGAAGGGCAGAGGGCCTCTCAGCACGTGCAAAGGGGCTCCAAAGCAACCAAAGGGGCTGCAGTGCCTCTGAGCATGTACAGAGTGCTTTTGAAGGCTCAGAAAGGGGTTGCAGGGTATGCCAAGCCCACCCACCCAAGGGAAGAAGGGCAGAGAGCCTCTCAGCACGTGCAAAGGGGATCCAAAGCAACCAAAAGGGCTGCAGTGCCTCTGAGCATGTACAGAGTGGTTTTGAAGGCCCAGAATGGGGTTGCAGGGCATGCCAAGCCCACCTTACGAAGCCCACCCACCCAGGGAAAGAAGGGCAGAGGGCCTCTCAGCACGTGCAAAGGGACTCCAAAGCAACCAAAGGGGCTGCTGTGCCTCTGAGCATGTATAGAATGCTTTCGAAGGCTCAGAAAGGGGTTGCAAAGGCATGTGAAGACCACCTTGCCAAGGCCATCCACCCAAGGGAAGAAGGGCAGAGGGCCTCTCAGCACATGCAAAAAGGGCTGCAAAGTAACCAAAGGGGCTGCAGTACTTCTGAACATGTACAGAGTGCTTTCAGAAGCTCAGAAAGAGGTTGCAGGGCATGCCAAGCCCACCTTACGAAGCCCACCCACCCAGGGGAAGAAGAGCAGAGGGCCTCTCAGCACGTGCAAAGGGACTCCAAAGCAACCAAAGGGGCTGCTGTGCCTCTGAGCACATACAGAGTGCTTTTGGAGGCTCAGAAAGGGGTTGCAGGGTATGCCAAGTCCACCCACCCAAGGAAGAAGGGCAGAGGGCCTCTCAGCAAAGGGGTGCCAAAGCAACCAAAGGGGCTGCAGTGCCTCTGAACATGTACAGAGTGCTTTCGAAGGCTCAGAAAGGGGTTGCAGGGTATGTCAAGCTCACTCACCCATGGGAAGAAGGGCAGAGGGCCTCTCTGCACGTGCAAAGGGGCTCCAAAGCAACCAAAGGGGCTACGCTGCCTCTGAACATCTACAGAATGCTTTCGGAAGCTCAGAAGGGGTTGCAGGGCATGCCAAGCCCACCTTGCCAAGCCCACCCAACCAGGGGAAGAAGAGCAAGGGGCTCCGAAGTAACCACAGGGGGTATGGTGCCTCTGAACATGTACAGAGTGCTTTTGAAAGCTCATAAAAGGGGTTGCAGCGTATGCATCGTAACAATAGGCATGGGATGCCCTGCCTCTGAGCACATGAAGAGGGGCTACAAAGCAAGAAATGGAGACATAGTGTCTCTGAGCATGTGCAGAGTGGCTTCAGTGCTACAGAAGGAAATTCACTGCTTCTGAGCATGTGCAGAGGGCCTCCAAAGCAACCACAGGGACTGTGGTGCCTATTAGTGCATGCAGAGTAGTTTCAGATCAAGGCAAGTGGACCAAGGACAGCAAGCAGAGCCCTCTAATCCTGCCACCTCTGTCTTTAATCCCTCTAAGAAGAAAGCTCTCTGGCTATAAATGGCCCTTTTTCTGCCAGGAACCGACAAAACATCTTCCAGGAAGGGAACTCATGATGTGGGTTGTAGGAGACAAGGGAGAAATGAGAAGAGCAGCATTTGCAAGACACACACAACAATTTGTTACTGCCACATTGATTCAAATCTGCATTATTACATGGATGGGGTTGGACTAGATGACCGCTGGAGCTCCCCTTCAACTGCCACTTTAGTAGGGAAAAGGCTATTTGCATATTTATTTAAGGGTTCACATACTTTTGTATGCAACGCTTTTGTTACCAGTGATAACAGCAGCAAACAGTGATGTGTGTGTGTATAAATACACACAAACACACCCTTGTGATGTCATAACCTTCCCTCCAGGTCTAGAATAGGAATGCAAATCTACATACAAGAAGCAAGGAATGGAAAGAATGCTGATTTACCTATTTAAATACAGATAATATAGTGTACCATCAATAAAGTAGTATAGTTTTTAAAGCCTTTTAGGAGCAAATCTACACTGTGGAACTGATGCAGTTTGATACTGCTTTAACTGCCATGGCTCAATGCTATGGGATCCTGAGGTTTGTAGGCAAAAGCCTTGCAGAACTACAACTCCCATAATCCCATAGCAGTGAGCTAAGGCAGTTAAAGCAGTATAAAACTACATTAATTCCACAGTGTAGACGAGGCATGGACAAACTGGGGCCCTCTGGGTGTTTTGGACTTCAAGTCCCACAATTCCTAATAGCCGGTATGCTGTTAGGAATTGTGGGACTTGAAGTCCAAAACACCCAGAGGGCCCCAGTTTGCCATGCCTGGTTTAGACTCATCCCTTGACATATTATCTTCCACCTTCTGGTTGGGAATAGTGCTGTATTGTTGAAATTCACAATTCAGATAGGGTTTTGAATAGCTTTGAGGCCGAAAAGGCTACATCCATGAAACTGATTCCGCAAAACATTAAAAGTAATGTGATCCTGGTGTCAAGAACAGCCAGAGCGTTATGCGCTAAACAAAGGGATTCCCAAAAAGTGAATGCTCACAGGTAAGGCATTCCTTCTGTTGCACTGAAGCCAATCTGCTCATGCTCAGAGACACTATGACTTGTTTTCTTGCTTTGTTGCCCCTCTTAATGTGTTCAAAGGCAGGGCATCTCTTTGTTGTTACTGTGCATGCACTGAAACCCCTTTTGCTCCTTCGAAACCATTTTGCACGCACTCAGAGGCATTGGAGTTCAATCTGTTGTGCTGAAGCCAATGTGCATGTCCTTGTCTTTGGCCTTTTCCTTCTTGGAAGTCATTTTGCACGCACTCAGAGGCATTGTAGTTCCATCTGTTATTCTGAAGCCCCTCTGCATGTGCATGTCCTTGTCTTTGGGCTTTCCTATTTGGAAGCCACTTTGCACACACTCAGAGGCATTGGAGGTCCATCTGTTGTGCTGAAGCCCATGCGCATGTCCTTGTCTTTGGCCTTTTCCTTCTTTGAAGCCACTTTGCATGCACTCAGAGGCATTGTAGTTCCATCTGTTATTCTGAAACCCCTCTGCATGTGCATGTCCTTGTCTTTGGCCCTTTCCTCCTTGGAAGCCACTTTGCACACGCTCAGAGGCATTGGAGTTCCATCTGTTGTGCTGAAGCCCATGTGCATGTCCTTGTCTTTGGCGTTTTCTTTCTTGGAAGTCACTTTGCACGCACTCAGAGGCATTGGAGTTCCATATGTTGTGCTGAAGCCCAAGTGCATGTCCTTGTCTTTTGCCTTTTCCTTCTTGGAAGCCACTTTGCACATGCTCAGAGGCATTGAAGTTCCATCTGTTGTGCTGAAGCCCATGTGCATGTCCTTGTCTTTGGCCTTTTCCTTTCTGGAAGTCAATTTGCATGCACTCAGAGGCATTATAGTTCCATCTGATCCATTTAAGCCCTTCTGCGTGTGCTCATAGGCAAGGTAGTTCAGTTCTATTGCCTTTCATTCTTTTGAACCTTCTCTGCATACACTCCGTGGCATTGGAGTTCCATCTGTCGAGCTGAAGCTCCTCTGCATGTGAATGTCCTTGTCTGTGGCCTTTTCCTACTTGGAAGCTATTCTGTACATGCTCAGAGGCACCATAGCTCCTTTTGTTACTTTGAAGCCTCCCTGCACGTGCTCAGATGCAAACCAGTCCTTGTCTATTGTCTTTTATCCTTTTGAAGCTCCTCTGCACATGCTCAGAGACAGGGCATTTCCAATGTAGCATGGAAACACCTCTGCATACGCTCATTGTAGCTCCTTTTGTTGCTCCATGTGCTTGGAGGCAAGGCATCCCTTGCCTGTTGTTCCTTTGCATTCACTGCACTCCTTCGAAACCACTCTGCTAGAATCCTTGCAAACCGCCTTCTGCCCCTCTCAGAAGACATCCTACAGAATCCCAGAACGGCTTCCGCCCCTCCAGAGGAACAGTGGACATGATCTTCACTGCACGTCAGCTCCAAGAAAAATGCAGGGAACAAAATCAGCCTCTGTACATGGCATTCATTGACCTTGCAAAGGCATTAGACACAGTGAATCGCAGCGCTCTCTGGACCATCCCCCAAAAAATCGGGTGCCCAAACAAATTTGTGAACATCCCGTGGCTCCTCTACGATGACATGATGATAACAGTCTTGGACAGCAATGGTTCCCAAAGTGACCCATTTAAGGTGGAATCAGGTGTCAAACAGGGATGTGTTATTGCCCCAACCTTATTTTCCATCTTCATCGCTATGATACTTCACCTTGTTGATGGGAAGCTTCCCACCAGAGTGGAAATCATTTATCGGAAGATGGCAAGCTATTTAACCTCATCAGATTGAAAGCCAAAACCAAGGTTACAACAGCATCTGTTACAGAACTCCAATATGCTGATGACAACGTCATCTGTGCGCATTCAGAAGAAGACCTACAAGCCACTCTAATCACTTTTGCAGAAGCATACGAGAAGCTCAGACTGTCATTGAACATCAAGAAAACCAAAGAGCTGTTCCAGCAGTCATCAGCCAATCCCTCTCCAATGTCAGAAATACAGCTTAATGGTGTAACATTAGAAAATGTTGACCATTTCCGCTACCTTGGCAGCCACCTCTCCACCAAAGTCAACATTGACACTGAAATAGAACACCGCCTGAGCTCTGCAAGTGCAGCTTTTTTCCGAATGAAGCAGAGAGTGTTTGAGGACCGGGACATCCATAGGGATACCAAGGTGCCTGTTTATAAAGCTATTGTCCTCCCAACCCTGTTATATGCCTATGAAACGTGGACTGTCTACAGACGTCACATGCAACTCCTGGAACGATTTCATCAGCGCTGCCTCAGGAAAATCCTGTAAATCTCTTGGGTAGACAAGCGGGCAAATGTCAGCGTGCTGGAAGAAGCAAAGACCACCAGCATTGAAATGATGGTCCTCCACAATCATCTCCGCTGGATTGGCCACGTTGTCCGAATGCCCAACCACTGTCTCCCAAAGCAGTTGCTCTACTCCGAACTCAAGAATGGAAAATGGAGTGTTGGTGGGCAAGAAAGATGGGCTCAAAGTGAACCTTAAAAACTCTGGCATAGACACCGAGAACTGGGAAGCCCTGGCCCTTGAACGCTCCAGCTGGAGGTCAGCTGTGACCAGCAGTCCTGTAGAATTTGAAGTGGCATGAATGGAGGGCGAAAGAGAGAAATGTGCCAAGAGGATAGGACGTCAAGCCAACCCTGACCGGGACCGCCTTCCACCTGGAATCCAATGCCCTCACTGCAGGAAAAGATGGAGATCAAGAATAGGGCTCCACAGTCACCTACAGACCCACCACCAGTACACTGATCTTGGAAGACTATCCTACTCGGACAACAAGGGATCGCCTAAGTCTGTTCTTTCAAAACCACTCTGCACACACTCAGGGGCATTGTAGCTCCTTTGGTTGCTTTGAAGCCCCTTTGTGTGTGCTCAGATGCAGAGCAGCCCTTGTGTTTGAAGGTGGGGGATAGTATGTCAAGGGATGCGTCTACAACAGGCAAATCAATTATGTGAATATCCAGAGGATCGTGGGGGGCTATTCTTTGCAATCAAAGAAGGGGCTATTCTTAAGGACGGAAAAAGGGCCCCTTTGAGGCAAGCCTACCTAGGAAGCCGTCCATTAAAATCTTCCTCTGCAACGATGCACCAAAAAAGGCTGCTGGGCAAATGCATCCACAGCCTTTCAGGTGAGGTGGGTCAGGTGAGCAAACCTGGCTCACCTGGGAAACAGGTAGGGAGGGAAAAGTGGGGAATATATTTTAAAGGAACACCGTATTCCATGCAAAATGGTGGAAGTGGTACGAGATTGGAAAAAGTAAGGTAAAACCAATAGCAATGTGTTATAGTGGTTTGAGCACTGGACGAGGGGGGCAGTTTGGCCCCAGTTTAACTGCCATGGCTCAATGCGATGGAATTATTGCATTTTTTGTATATATTTCTTTTACAATATCTTTGCCTTCCTCTGCCAAAGAGTGCATCTACACTGTGGATTGAATGCAGTTTAGCATCACTTTCACTGCTGGGATTCACTGAGATACTAAAGTCCTAGGATTTGTAGTTTCTAAGGTATTTCACCTTTGCTGCCATATTCCAGAATCAATGCAGTTTGGCACCACTTTAACTAAATAATACTTTGGCATCCTGGGAGTAGTAGTTTAGGAAGGCACCGTCACTCAGGACCTGTGTAAAACTACAAATCCCACAATCACACAGCAGTTAACGTGGATGGAAACCTAGATGCAAGGAACGGACAGTGCCTTTGTGCTCATGGATCCAACAAGGCGCAAGAGATTCCACGTTAAGGGCCACAGTGCTATGAAATCGTGCGAGTTGTAGTTTGGCACTCTTGGGCAGAGAAGCCATATGCAACTAGAGTTCCCTGGATTTCATAGTACTCAGCCATAGGAGCCCCCGGTGGTACAGTGGGTTAAATCCCTGCACCGGCAGGACTAAAGACCGACAGGTTGCAGGTTCGAATCTGGGGAGAGCACGGATGAGCTCCCTCTATCAGCTCCAGCTCCAATGCAGGGACATGAGAGAAGCCTCCCACAAGGATGATAAAACATCAAAACATCCGGGCGCCCCCTGGGCAATGTCCTTGCAGACGGCCAATTCTCTCACACCAGAAGTGACTTGTAGTTTCACAAGTTACTCCTGACACAACAATAAAAAAAGTTATGGTGGTTAAAGTGGAGTTAAACTGCATTCATAGACACACCTTAAGCACAAAAGGTCCTGATCCTGGTTTAGTCCAACTTGCCTTCCTTGCTCTTGGCATCTTCCTTTATGTCATATGCTCCTTCTTTGGCCCATTGGAGAACATTCCTTTCTGCCTCCGTCATTATTTGCCAAGGCTCAATGTTTACCAGAAATAAACTCTCTCTTTCTCACCTTTGGCAAACTTTATGACACATTTTGTCCCTTCTGTGAGTCAATGCCAGGGATCCCAAGGCACTCCCTAAGTGCATCTACACCAGGCATGGGCAAACTTGGGCCCTCCAGGTGTTTTAGACTTCAACTCCCACAATTGGAATTGTGGGAGTTGAAGTCCAAAACACCTGGAGGGCCCAAGTTTGCCCATGCCCGTCTTCAATGTGAAATTAAGGAGGTTTGACCCCACTTGACCTCTATCAATGGCTCCATGCTATGGAATCATGGGAGTTGTAGTTTTACAGGACCAAGAAGCGGGTGGACTCCACTTTCAACTCTCATGGCTCCATGCTATGTAATCATGGGAGTTGTAGTTTTACAAGGTCAAGAAGCAGGTGGACTACACTTTCAACTCTCATCGCTCCATGCTATGGAATCATTTGGAGTTGTAGTTTTACAAGGCCAAAAAGGCTGAAGTCCTTGTAATGCTACATCTCCCAGGATTCCTTCACATTGAGTCCAGATTATCATAATTTTTTATTTATATCCTGACATTTTCCTCCAAAACCAGAACTCCGGAGGGATAGTTCACACACACATTCACACATACACACAACACACATATTTATATATGTATCCAGAATTTATTTATTTATTTATTTACATTTATATGTCACCCTTCTCACCCCGAAGGGGACTCAGGGCAGCTTACGATATATATATATATATATATATATATATATATATATATATATATATATATGTATATGTGTATGTGTATGTGTATGTGTATGTGTATGTGTATGTCTATATATATATAAAATACATACACACACATACATATATATTACTAGCATAGTATAATATCAGTATTAAATATTACTATATTGTACTATACCATTATATTGTAATATTATTAGTAATATTACATGTAATATATATATATATAATTATAATATCATATTATTATTAGTATTATATGGCATTACATTATATTATAAATATTATCTGTATATACAATATATTACATTACATTATATTATATTATTGAAATTGAAATCTTTTTACATTTGCCACCTGCATATTGAGCTGTTAAGGGTGTATACCTACTTGGAAACAAATACCAAAGAAATCCAGAAATATAAGCGGCTATGGGTCTAATGCGCATGCGTTAAAAAGTGTCTGGTTCCCTCTGCAATGGCAGGGAAAACCCCGCCCCCTTTCTACTTCCCTTACAAAGATGGCCGCTAAGTTCCGCCGCCACTACTATAATGGCCTCAGCTCCTTCTTGAGGGGCGGGATCTGTCAGAGAAATAAACCCCGCCTACATATTTGCTTCCCATTGGCTAGGATGCTCAGGAGGCAGCCAATGAGATGGCAGCGCGCGCTGATTGCTTCTGGGTTGTTTTGAAGGAGGAAGAACTGAGTGAGAAGGAGGGTGGCTCAGGCCTCAGCAAAGGAAGGGTCGGCAATGTTGGAGAGAGAAGAAAAAGAGGGGCGAAGAGGGGCCACAATGACCCTCTCTGTCCTCCTGGGTAGGTGGCTATTGAAGAGAGGCACTCTGTGCATGCTCAGAGGCTCTCTTGAAAGGTATTTGCACTCTGTGCATGACCAGGGCCCTCTTTGAAGGATATTTGTGCATATTCAGATGTTTTTGTACACTGTGTATGCTCAGAGGCCTTCCCCGAAAAATATTTGCACTCAGAGGCCCTCTTTGAAAGGTATTTGTGCATGTTCAGAGGTATTTGCAGTCTGTGCATGCTCAGGAGTCCATTTGAAAGATATTTGCACCCTGCATGCTCAGATGCCCTCTTTGAAAGCTTTTTGTGCATGTTCAGAGGTATTTGTGCATGCTCAGAGACCTTCTCCAAAAGGTATTTGCACTCTGTGCATGCACATAGGCCTTCTCAATAGGTATTTGCACTCTGTGCATGCTCAGAGGTATTTGCACTCCATATGTGCTCAGTCGCCTTCTCGATAGGTATTTGCACTCTGTGCATGCTTAGAGGTATTTGCACTCCATATGTGCTCAGAGGCCTTCTCGATAGGTATTTGCACTCTGTGCATGCTCAGAGGTATTTGCACTCTACACATACTCAGTGACCTCTGATAGCTATTTGCACTCAATGCATGCTCAGTTATTTGCACTCTGTGCATGCTCAGAGATATTTGTACACACATGCTCAGAGGCCTTCTCTGATAGCTATTTGTATTTGATGCATGCTCAGTTATTTGCACTCTGTGCATGCTCAGACGCCTTATAGAATAGGTATTTGCACTGCATGCTAAGAGGCCTTCTTTGAAATGTATTTGTACTCTGTGCATGCTCAGAGACCTTCTTTGAAAGGTATTTGCATCTTGTATGTTCAGGCTGGGTTTAGAAAAGGCAGAGGAACGAGAGACCAAATTGCCAATATCCGCTGGATAATGGAGAAAGCAGGGAGTTTCAGAAAAACATCTACTTCTGCTTCATTGACTATTCTAAAGCCTTTGACTGTGTGGATCATAATAAATTGTGGCAAGTTCTTAGTGGGATGGGCATCCAAGCCACCTTGTCTCTCTCCTGAGGAATCTGTACAAGGACCAAGTAGCAACAGTAAGAACTGACCACGGAACAACAGACTGGTTCAAGATTGGGAAAGGCGTGCGGCAAGGCTGTATACTCTCACCCAACCTTTTTAACTTGTATGCAGAACACATCATGCGATGTGCGGGGCTTGATGAATGCAAAGCTGGGGTGAAAATTGCTGGAAGAAATATTAACAACCTCAGATATGCAGATGACACCACTCTGATGGCCGAAAGCGAGGAGGAGCTGAGGAGCCTTCTAATCAAGGTGAAAGAAGAAAGCGCAAAAGCCGGGTTGCAGCTAAACGTCAAAAAAACCAAGATTATGGCAACAAGAATGATTGACAACTGGAAAATAGAGGGAGAAACCGTGGAGGCCTTGACAGACTTTGTATTTCTAGGTGCAAAGATTACTGCAGATGCAGACTGTGGCCAGGAAATCAGAAGACGCTTACTTCTTGGGAGGAGAGCAATGTCCAATCTCGATAAAATAGTAAAGAGTAGAGACATCAGATTGGCAACAAAGATCCGCAAAGCAATGGTATTCCCCGCAGACGTAACCTACGGATGTGAGAACTGGACCATAAGGAAGGCTGAGCGAAGGAAGATAGATGCTTTTGAACTGTGGTGTTGGAGGAAAGTTCTGAGAGTGCCTTGGACTGTGAGAAGATCCAATCAGTCCATCCTCCAGGAAATAAAGCCCGACTGCTCACTGGAGGGAAGATACTAGAGACAAAGTTGAAGTACTTTGGCCACATCATGAGGAGACAGGAAAGCCTAGAGAAGACAATTATGCTGGGGAAAGTGGAAGGCAAAAGGAAGAGGGGCCGACCAAGGGCAAGATGGATGGATGACATCCTTGAAGTGACTGGACTGACCTTGAAGGAGCTGGGGGTGGTGACGGCCGACAGGGAGCTCTGGCGTGGGCTGGTCCATGAGGTCACGAAGAGTCGGAGACGACTGAACGAATGAACAACAACAATGCTCAGATACCCTCTTTGAAAGGTATTTCCACTCTGTATGCTCAGACGCCCTCTCAGAAAGGGATTTGCACTCTGTGTATGATCAGAGTCCCTCTTAGAAAGGGATTTGCTCTCTATATATGCTCAGAGGCCCTCTTTGCGTGGCAGTCCCCTTAAAAGGGTACACAGGCTATGCTCAGAGGCACCCTTTGTGAAGAATATAACATTTTCCAATAATCTGTCCATGCTCAGAGGGATTCTCTGAACGGAAATGCACTTTGCCTATGCTCAGAGGGAGGCAGTATTTTTCCAGTGGGGATAATGGAACCATAGACTCCATAGAGTCAAAAGTTTCCTGTTGCTTTGTGTCTCCAAGTTGTTTCCAATTTATGCTGACCTTATCATGAGGTTTTGTTGACAATATTGTTTTAGTAATTACGTTTAATTATATTTTAATATTTATAGTTTGAAGGTTTTAAACTTTATTTTGTATTTTTTAGTGTTGTAAGTGGCGTTAAGCCTTGTTTAAGAGAAGAAAGTGGGATATAAATAAATATAATACTACTAATAATAATATATTTGTTAAAAAGATGTTTTTCCAAACCTTCCTCTGAGGCTGGCAGAGTGTGGGAAGTGGGAAGCCCATTGTCATCTTTTATTATTGCTTTGATTAATATTTTTAAATGGGGTGGGTAGAGGGAAATTAGTTTAAATTGATGTATATAGTGATACAAGTCATATAGAGGGAAATTATTGTCTTTATGAATTGTACAATAATGCTTATAATGTTTTAAAAATTAAAAATGATATTGATTTAAAAAATAATAGTTCAACACTGGCTCAATAAAATTGTTTTCTAGTCTTGATTGATACTCGTTTTGTAATATCCGTTTCCTTAACCTAATGCATTTGCCTCTTTTCTCCCTTTTGACACTCAGCGGGAAGATCGAAGAAGCAGAGACACGGGCGTCGAAATGGACAGCAATTGCAGGAAAAAGCATTGCGTGTTTTGAGTTGCCATCAGAACCTGGATGAACTTTTCCGCGAGGTGAGAAAAAAAAAGATGCCAAAAGCAACAGCATCCCTCCTTCCTGTTTTGTTTCCACAGGCTTTAATTGCTCCTGCTTTGGATGTGTTTTCTTTATCCTATTGTTTATGTAGCATCTTTATACCCAGCCTCCTGTCTCAGAAACTCATAGCGATGTACAGAGAGTTTCATCTATGCTAACGATTGTGCCATCACTACCCAAGCAGGGAATTTTGAAATGGTTGAACAGAAGCTCTCCGAAGCTTTAGGTACTCTTACTGCCTATTATAAGGAAAACCAGCTGATTCCTAATCCATCTAAAACACAGATGTGTGCTTTTTACCTTTAGAAGAGACAAGCATCTTGAGCTTTGAGGATTACCTGGGAAGGAATCCCACTGGAGCATTGCAGCACACCCAGATACCTGGGAGTGACCCTGGACCATTCTCTGACTTACAAGAAGCACTGCCTGAATATCAAGCAAAAAGTGGCTGTTAGAAATAATATTGTACGAAAGATGACTGGCACAACCTGGGGATAACAACCAGACACAGTGAAGACATGTGCCCTTGCACTTTGCTACTCTGTTGCTGAGAACACATGCCCAGTGTTGGAAACATTTCACCATGTCAAAACAGTGGATGTGGCTCTTAATGAGACATGCCGCATTATCACAGGATGTCTTCACCCCACACCACTGGAGAAATTATACTGTCTAGCCGATATTGCACCAAGGCATTTATTTATTTACTGTATTTGTAATCTGCCTTTCTCAGCCAATCGGCGACTCAAGGCGGTTTCCAACAAATCAGTATTCATAAAAACATAATACAGATTAAAACATTAAACAGTATAAAACACAACAAGAGCAATAAAAACAGCATCATTAGCGTCTCCTTATTATCAAGCACTGCCCCGTTCCATTGTCAAGTCATTCGATTTCCTATATTAGCTACTCTGCATTTGTAAACGCTTGCTCAAACAACCATGTTTTAACTTGCCTCCGAAATGTTAAGAGGGAGGGAGCCGATCTAATCTCCCTAGGGAGGGTGTTCCATAGCCAAGGGGCCACCACTGAGAAGGCCCTATCTTTCGTCCCCACCAGACGTACTTGTGACGACGGCGGGACCAAGAGCAGGGCCTTCCCAGACGATCTTAAAGCCAATACCTTAAATCAAAAATAGCTTCCTAAGATCTACAGAGATACTAGCAGGAACACCTCAGCAAGCGAGAGTCCAAAAGCGGCAGGCTAAAACCCAGGACCTCAATCAGTGGCTGATAACTGATGAGAAACTCCTCCTGGGCACACAGAAGACTGGGCGACTTGGAAGGCGCTGAACAGACTGTGCTCTGGCACCATGAGAATCTTAAAAAATGGGGCCACAAAGCGGCGTCTACGGCATGCGAGTGCGGAAAAGAGCAAACCACAGACCACCTACTACAATGCAAAGTGTGCCCTGCCACATGCACAATGGAGGACCTTCTCACAGTGACACCAGAGGCACTCCAAGTGGCCAGCTTCTGCTCAAAGGACATTTAGCATAATGCCAAGTTCTTTTTTAAAAACTTTGTGCTTTTAAATGCATCTTAACTGTACCTTCAACTCACTTCTGACATGATAAATAAATAAATAATGTCCAGATGTTTTAAGATAGTCAATGGGCTTCATTTGGAACGGAGTATTTGTTTTTTCTGCTGCTTAGGAATCAGTCTGATCACTCTTCTGCTTCTCTTTTTTATCTTTGCCAGGTGGGAAGTTCACTATGTAAAGAGGCATTTATTTCTGATAACTCAGGCAGAGAATCCTCAGAACTGCTTCTGGGTGAGTGAAAGAGAGCCTGTTTGGCAAGATAAAATAGCTGAAACAAATCCAAGTCAATCTGTTCAGTCAGATAAGAATATTCAGCTGAATGAGTCCAGTGTTGTCAACATGAAATAATGACATCAGCCCCTGAGGACTTGGGGCTAGGGCCCGTCTTAGCCCTACAGCAGGCATGGGCCAACTTCGGCCCTCCAGGTGTCTTGTACTTCAACTCCCACAATTCCTGACAGCCTCAGGCCCTTTCCTTTTCCCCCTCAGCTGCTTAAGTCCAGTAGACTTTTGCTCCATCCACACTTCAGTTTCATAATGTAATTGAACTGCATTATGTTAAGTGAGTGGTCTTATTAACAAAAGACCTTCCCTATGGATGTATAGAATGTATGAGGCTGAGGCTTTTGGTTTCAAGATGCCAGCAAGCAAAGAGAAGGGAAATGCCTGGCACTGGAATCTAAACGCCAATCCTGCAAAGTTCTATCATTATTATCATCTTCATCTTTATTTCTATCCCACCTTTCTCTCCATAGGAACCTAGCAGTTGACAAACAAATGTGCAAGTGGGCTTATTAACAAAAGACCCTCATAAATATACAGCAGAGTAACTTCACAGCAGCAGCATGACCCAGCACCAGTAGACCAAAGTGATAAAAAGAACAAAAAACACAGACCAATGTTATCTCTTCCATAGGAGGCTTTTCTTTGTAGTAAAATAATACGGTTGCACTATTTACAACAACACAAATAACGTTCTTTATATTTCCTTCTTTGCTTCCATGTTTGGCTTCTTTCTCTTGCAGATAAACAGCTTCACGCTCATAGAGCCCCCTCTCACACCAAATTTACATAGGAGCTTCACACAGCTTTACACACGAGGCCTTCAACCTGGAGCTTCTCACACCGAAGCTTCTCACAGACTAAGGCCTACCTCACACTGAGGCTTCTCTTACAGACTAAGCCCTACCTCACACACAATCTTCTCTTATAGACTAAGGCCTACCTCATACAGAGGCTTCTCTCACAAACAAATGCCTATCTCACACACAGGCTTCTCTCACAGACTAAGGCCTACCTCACTTAGCAGCAGCAGCGTGACCCAGCACCAGTAGGCCAAAGTGATAAAAAGAACAGAACACACAGACCAATGTTATCTCTTCCATAGGAGGCTTTTCCTTGTAGTAAAATAATATGGTTGCACTAATTACAAGAACACAAAGTTCTTTATACTTCCTTCTTTGCTTCCATGCTGGGCTTCTTTCTCTTGCAGATAAACAGCTTCATTCTCACAGAGCCCCCTCTCACACCAAACTTACACAGGAGCTTCACACAGCTTTACACACGAGGCCTTCAACCTGGAGCTTCTCATACCGAAGCTTCTCACAGACTAAGACCTACCTCACACTGAGGCTTCTCTTACAGACTAAGGTCTACCTCACACAGAGGCTTCTCTCACAGACTAAGGCCTACCTCACACACAGGCCTTTCTCACAGACTAAGGCCTATCCCACACACAGGCTTCTCTCACAGACTAAGGCCTACCTCACACTGAGGCTTCTCTCACAGACTAAGACCTACCTCACACACAGGCTTCTCTCACAGACTAAGGCCTATCTCACACACAGGCTTCTCTCACAGACTAAGGCCTACCTCACACTGAGGCTTCTCTTACAGACTTAGGGCCTACCTCACACTGAGGCTTCTCTCACAGACTAAGGCCTACCTCACACTGAGGCTTATCTTACAGACTAAGGCCTACCTCACACAGAGGCTTCTCTCACAAACTAAGGCCTACCTCACAAGGCTTCTCTCACAGACTAATGCCTACCTCACAGAGAGGCTTCTCTTATAGACTAAGACCTACCTCACACTGAGGCCTTCTCACAGACTGAGACCTTTCTCCCACTGAGGTTTACCGCAGACTGACTGCTACTAAGCTACATAGTAGCTACATAGCTATATAGAACTTCAGCTTTTGCTGCGTTATTGCAGACGTTTAATGCTTTCAAGTACTTGTCTCACATTTTTGTAAATAGAAATACCTAGTTAATTTGTAACATTTCTGATATAGCAGTGTAGAGTCATTTAATCCAGCTCAATGCAGTTAAAGTCCATTATGAAACTGCATTATATTTCAGTGTAGAGCAGATGGCTTGCTTTTTTGGCCTTTGTCCTGACTAGCACCTTTCCCTTTGCATCCCAGTCTCTGCTTTGCAGGATCAGGCCGCTGCCTTGGGTTTGCCGGTGGGGATCCTCTCGGCCAGAATGGCTGCAAGGAATGTGGAGAAGATCTCTGCGGAGTCTGGCCAAGCCACGCTGCTGAAAGGAGAGCCAAGAGTAAGGGGCGGTAATGTAGTCTGTTGGGTAACTTTTAAAAAGGGGAAAGCATTGAAAAAGGCGGAGCCCCCAGTGACATGGCAGGTTAAACTGCTGAGCCACTGAACTTGCTGATCAAAATGTCAGGGGAAACCTTTACCTTTTATCTTATTATCCACATATCTATATGGCATAACAAGGCAGACCATTAATTGACAAAACATCTTTCTTTCAATGAGTTAACTGACAAAATAATGTTTCTGTTGATAATCCTTCACCGCACTATTCTCTTTGTCATCTACAGGAAAAGTTGTCTTGCCTGCTGTCCACTTTGAAGGATCTGGCCTCCCAGAATGCTTTCAGTCCTTCGCTGTTTGCTCAAGAAATGTGGAAAATGCAGGTCGGGCCTTAAAGAAAGAAAGAAACCTTCTCCTTGTGTTATGAGGAGCATGACATGAGACCCTCAAAAAGCACTTATTATTATTGGAGCCCCCAGTGGCACAGTGGGCTAAACCGCTGAGCTGTTGAACTTACTGATCAAAAGGTTGCAGGTTGGAATCCAGGAAGTGGCATGAACCCCCACTGTTAGCCCCAGCTTCTGCCAACCTAGCAGTTTGAAAACATGCAAATGTGAGATCAATAGGTACCACTCTGGCGGGAATGCAGTGGTGCTCAATGCAGTCATGCTGGCCACATGACCTTGGAGGTGTCTATGGACTACGCCAGCTCTTCAGCTTAGAAATTGAGATAAGCACCACCACCCAGAGTCAGACACGAATGGACTTAATGTCAGGGGAAATCTTTACCTTTTACGTATTATTACTATTATTATTACATTTATTATTTTACTTTATTGTTATTATGACATTTATTATTTTACTCTATTTTTATTACATTTATTATTTTACTCAATTATTACTGTTATTACATTTCCATTATTTTACTCTATTATTATTTTATTACATTTATTATTTTACTCATTATTATTGGAAGGATGCGTAAGCACATTTACATTGAAGGTGGACAGTCTTATCTTAAATTACCGTTTTATGTAAATATTCAAAACCATTTCACCCCCTGATGCCTCAATTAATGTAATTTTCTTGATATCCATTTCTATTTTGAAATGTACCAGTAGCTGCTGCATTTCCCACTCTCGGCTTACACTCGAATCAATACGTTTCCGCAGTTTTTTTGTGTTAAAGTTAGGTGCCTCAACTTATATTCGGGTCAGCTTATACTTGAGTATATACAGTACTTAGATCTACATTCCACAGAATAGAATTATCTGAGAAAAACCACTTCTGTGCGTTCGTTGCCTAAGAAAACTCTACAAAATGCATAGACATGCCATAAGGTGACAGGAAAACTTAAGGCACATATACACACACGTACATTAGAAATGTAGTAAATAAATAGTCAAACAAGAAATGTAGTAAATAAATAGTCAAAGAGTTTCTTTGATCAGGGGCTGATGGGGGAAGAAGCCTTTCATAATGATAAGCACTCTTTATCCCCATTGCTTCCCCCATATTTTTAAAGGGTATGCTTTTATTTTTTAAATAAAAATCTACAGATATTTTCACTAAACTCTTGTATTATGTGAACATTCAGCTGTGGCCATTGTAAGCTGCCTTGGTTAAAGGCTGGGAAGAAATCTGGATAATAATAATAATAGTAGTAGTAGTAATAATAATAATAATAATAATAGCAACACCAATCTTTGCAAGATTCATGCTCTTACTGCAGCCTGGCTTCCTCCTCAGAGCCCACTCACCCTGGACATTGCATGGCAACTCCACAGAGAAGGCCTCTTGACCCTGGATGAGCTGCTGGAAAAGTAAGTCAGGACTTAGCACATTGTGTATCTTTTCATGTTGACATACAGTTTGCCAGGCTTTTGCCTGCAACCGTTTGAGTTTGGGAGACAAAGACAGAATCATAAAGTTGGAAGAGACCCGCAAGGGTCATCCAGTCCAAACCCCTTCTGCCAGGCTGGGAGACAATCAAAGCTGTCCTGACAGATGGCCATCCAACCCTTCCTAAATAACTTCAGAGAAGGAAGCTCCATCTGACTCTGAGGTAGCCCAGATTCCACTGAGTTGGGAGGGACCCCCAAGGGCTTTCCATTCCAACTCCCTTCTGCCAGGAAGACAGACACCATCAAAGCCCTCCTGACAGATGGCTACCCAGCCTTTGCTTAAAAACCTCCAGAAATGGAGACTCCATCACAGAAATTCTACTGTCAAACAGCTCTGACTGTCTGGAAGTTCTTTTTAATGTTTAGGTGGACTCCTTTTTCTTGTAGTTTGTGTTGGGCGAGTGGGCTTATTAGCAAAAGAACCCCCTCGTAAACGTATAACAGAGTAACTTATTAACAGCAGCGTGACCCAGCACCAGTAGTACAAAGTGATAAAAAAAAAAACACACAGACCAATGTTATCTCTTCCTTAGGAGTCTTTTCATTATAGCAAAATTATATGGTTACACTATTTACAAGAACAAGGTTTCCTTAACAGAAATAAAGTTCTTTATACTTCCTTCGTTGCTTCCACGCTGAGCTTCTTTCTCATGCAGATAATCAGCTTTGCCCTCACAGAGCTTCCTCTCTCACTGAACTTACACAGGAGCTTCACACTGTAGCCTCACACATAGCGGCCTTCAAACTGGAGCTTAACCTATGAGTCTTTCAGCCTGGGGCTTCTCTCACAGAAGTCTCTCACGCCAGGCCTCCTCACACTTGGCCTTCCCATAGACTAAGGCCTACCTCACACTGAGGCCTACCTTGCAGACTAAGGCCTACTTCACACTGTGGGGCCTATTTATTTACTGTGCTTATAGACCGCTGTTCTCAGCCCAGGGGCGACTCACAGTGGTGTACAACATGGAGAGAATAAGGTGCAAATTACAAGACATAATCTAACAACAACCTAGCAATATAAAAAAACATCATCATCAACAACAACAATCTCAATATCAATATTACAAAAATACAAAAATACAAAAAGTCATTCGCATCGTCTCATTGTTAAGCCACAATCCAATATTGTTTTCCGTTATACCATTCCTATCATCATTGCCATTTATTGCACTTCTTGTTCGAACGCCTTCTCGAACAGCCACGTCTTTAGTTTCTTGCGGAATATCATAAGGGAGGGTGCCAATCTGATGTCCACAGGAAGGGTGTTCCACAGCCGAGGAGCCACCACCGAGAAGGCCCTGTCTCTCGTCCCCACCAGGCGTGCCCGTGAGGCAGGCGGGATCGAGAGCAGGGCCTCCCCGGACGATCTCAAAGTCCTCGTGGGCTCATAGGCCGAGATGCGGTCTATGCGGTCTACCTTACACTGTCAGGCCTTCTCACAGACTGAAACCTTTCTCCCACTGAGATTTACCTCAGATTGACACCTACTAAGCTACAGGCACACCTGTTTATATTGAATTGCTGCTTTTGCTGAGTCATTGCACCCATTTAACCCTTTCAGTGCTTGGCTCACATTTTGTAATTAAAAATACCTAGCTAATTTTTAATATTTCTGACAGTTTGCATCCTAGCCCCTGGAGCAGCAGATAACAAGCTGCCTCCTTCATCAATGGAACCTCCTTTCTGATATTGAAACATAGCTCTCCTGTCCTCTTCTCACAGCCTTCTCCAAACTAAACCTAGCCAGCTGCCTAAGCTGCTTCTCAGAGGGATTCATGGTTTCCAAAACTTTGATCATTGTAGGCGCCATTTAATTCCCTTTGACAGTTCCAAAGCCAAGGTATTTTAAGGGTCAATCCCCCAAGAACTTTAAAAGAAAACCAAACTTGATTATAGTTTCAGGAATATTAAAAAAAACTAGGTATTTTTAATAACAAAAATGTGAGTCAAACACTGAAAGCCTGTTGATCAGTGGACCAAAGCTAGCGTCATCCTGAGGAGTATGAGGTAAACCTCAGTGTGAGAGAAGCCTTCTTTGGGAAAGCTCCAGTATGAAGGCTGCTGCGTGTAAAGCTACTATGTGTTTGTTTGTTTGTGTTATGGAAACCTTAAGCTCAGCGAATGTTCGAGTCAGTGGACCAAAGCTAGTGTCATCCTGAGGAGTATGAGGTAAACCTCAGTGTGAGAGAAGCCTTCTTTGGGAAAGTTCCAGTATGAAGGCTGCTGCGTGTAAAGCTGCTATGTGTTTGTTTGTTTGTTTGTGTTATGGAAACCTTAAGCTCAGCCAATATATTGCCTTCTTGGGATTATGGAATACCTTTTAAGATACCAACATCACTGTTTCGGGGATACTGGGACATGTGGTTGAGTACATGACATACAAAATGAGAGCAGGTGAGGCCAACTTCAGTGTTGTGTGTCTTCTTAGTAATCTAGATGCGTCCGCATCAGTGGACTGGTTATGCTGCGACCTTTGCCTTCTGTGCAGTGAGACAGAAGGCTCTTCCCTAGACGCAGAGCACCAGGGGAGCCTCCTGACAGGTAAGATCAGCAGTTGAAAGCAATCCTGGCCCTTGGGAGACCTAGCATTGGGGAGGAATATGAGTCTAAACAAAGCATGGGCAAACTTTGGTCCTCCAGATGTTTTGGACCTCCCACCATTCCTAACAGCCGTGGCCCATGCCTGGCCTACACTGACCATATAATGCATCTAAGTGGATTTTGGCGGAGTTCAGGGCCACACTTTGCCCATCTTTGCTCTAGACTCGGAATTCACTGTGTTCGGTATATAAAATTCTCAGCCTCATGGTTCCCTGTACTCTTCCCCTCCCTTCCATTCTCTTTTCCCACCATTTTGAACCTTTGATGGTATCTTTGTCTTTAGGCTTGGCATCTGTTTTCCTTCGTCACGGATTTCAGAAGACATCTGAGCCAGGAAAGCAGTCGTTGTCACCAAAGCTGTCCAAAGTAAGGGCTCATAGAACATGCTTTTCTACCACTGTAGCAATGAATATGAATAGAATGGGCCTGTGAAGCAAGTTTGGGGTTCTGTCTTTGAATTAATCTGTGAATTTTAATCTGCATTTCATTAGCGGATTTTAACTTGCATTTTAACTCTTGTTGTATGTGTTTTGATAGTGTTTTATCTCTTGTTTTAATGATGTTGTACCCAACCTCGAACTGAAGAGAGAGGTGGGCAATAAATTTGTTGTTGTTATTGTTGTTGTTATTATAATGTATAATAATAATAATATTATAATAATAATTTTTATATATATATTGCCCTATCTTACCGGAGCCCCTGGTGGCACAGTGGGTTAAACCGCTGAGCTGCTGAACTTGCTGATTGAAAGGTCTCAGGTTCGAATCCAGGGAGCGGCATGAGCTCTCGCTGTTAGCCCGGCTTCTGTCAACCTAGCAGTTCGAAAACATGCAAGTGTGAGTAGAGCAATAGGTACTGTTTCAGTGGGAAAACATGCAAGTGTGAGTAGAGCAATAGGTACTGTTTCAGTGGGAAGGCTCTATATAGTCATGCTGGCCACATGACCTTGGAGGTGTCTGCGGACAATGCTGGCTTTTTGGTTTAGAAATGGAGATGGTTGAAATAGTCTGAAGTGTTTTTCATGTTCCTTGCCTCATGTTTGGGCAATACTGTTTTGGAGGTCCCTCTGTAGACTTGTCCACAGCTACATGGTATCTGGTAGACTCCTGCAGAGGTGAGAGGATCCCTGTTGTCCTTTGCTGAATGTAGCATTTGTTGGATTTTCTTGGTGAGTCTGTAAGATAGTTTGTATGTTGTGTTTCTTTATCAGCTTCCCTATGCGTTCAGTGGAATATTCAATCTTTGAATCTCCCAAAAAGGCTCAGACAGCCGTCAAGTCAAGGCAACAAGTCCATCATCCAAACTCTTGACTGACCTTCTCAAATGAGGTCTGAGAAGCCATGTGTACCTAGTTCTCCTTCACTTAATGTATCTATCTGCACTTTAATCAACTGGCGGATCTGTTGATCTGCTAAGCAATGTGGCATGTCATTCACTCGAAACAGCTTCAAAGTTAATGGCTGCCTTTTATCTTCACAGATTTACTGCACCGTCCTTGAGAGAATGCTGGCATGTAAGTTCTTCAACATGGAAAGCAATTGCATTGGGATCTAAATTATAGTGGAGTTTGCTGACTGTGTATATAATTGTTGTGCTGTGTATATAATTAGTTTTTCAATTGGCACTATGTCTGTAGGGTAGAAATTAGGAGACGGAGCTGTAACACAAATTGGGAGTAGAGCAGAGAAATGCTGTTTTGGATTACGACGACAGTACACCATCATCATGATGTATTACCTGTCACTCCTTTTGGCCCCAGGCAGGACACAAGTAAATCTATAAAATTGCATATTAAAACATACTAAAATATATTAGTAAAGGTAAAGGTTTCCCTGGGCCAGAGTGAAGAGAGAGGGGGCCAGGGGACAGTTCCATCTTGTCTCCTGTGCTATTCTAATAATATAATGTAATGTAATGTAATGTATTGTTTATACATATAATATTATAATGTAATGCAATATAATACTAATAATAATACGATATTATAATTATATATTTATATTACATGCAATATTACTAATAATATTACAATATAATGGTATTGTACAATATAGTAATATTTAATACTGATATTGTACTATGCTAATAATATAATATATTGTAGGTATATATACCTTGTAAGCCGCTCTGAGTCCCCTTCGGGGTGAGAAGGGAAGCATATAAATGTTGTAAATAATAAATAAATAAATAAATAAATAAGTCTAGTTGTGTCTGGCTCTGGGCAGTGGTGCTCATCTCCATTTCTAAGCCGAAGAGCCGGTGTTGTCCGTAGACACCTCCAAGGTCATGAGGCCAGCATGAAGCCATTATCTTCCCGCCGGAGCGGAACCTATTGATCTACTCACATTTGCATGTTTTCGAACTGCTAGGTTGGCAGAAGCTAGGGTAACAGCAGGAGCTCACCCCACTCCCCGGATTCGAACTGCTGACCTTTCAGTCAGCAAGTTCAGCAGCTCAGCGGTTTAACTCACTACACCACTGGGGACTCCTATAAATATATTAAACACTAGCCACCCCCTGCCATACGTTGCTGTGGCCCAGTCTGTGTATATGTGTTTTGTGCATGTGTGTATATGTGTGTGTATATAGTTGTGTATATGTGTATATATGTGTGTTTGCATATATATATATATATATATATATATATATATATATATGGTTTTGCACATGCGTTGTAGTGTAATTTTTATTTTTTTTTACTTTTTAAGTCCCTTCTGCTGTGTTTTTCACTGTTTTTATGAGTGATGGTCACTCGTTGGCCTCATACGTGTATTGTGTCGAAATTTGGTGTCAATTCATCCAATGGTTTTTGAGTTATGTTAATCCCACAAATGAACATTACAATTTTATTTATATAGGTATTAAAATATATCAAAACATTTTAAAATACCCGATACAAAAGTTAAAACTGCTGCCAGTTGGAATCTACTGCCAGCCATAGTTTTTCTCATGCGCCGCCAGCATTTGCTGTAGCTGCCCTCTCATGTTTAAGCCTTCCTTGGCAGTTGTGGCCCAGTTACATCTGCAGCATCAATATTAGGGCATCCTTTCAGTATTGCTAAAGTGGCGCATCCCAACCTCTGCAAAGTGGTTCAAGGTCAGAGTTAATGGCTTCCCTGCCTCTGCCTTGGAAGAAAATGCTCATAAATGGTTCCAGTGGTTAATGAACTAACTCTCCCTTTTCCCTCCTTCTCTTAATGAGGTCAGCTTTTTAAAAAGGATGAGCATCATTTTGCAATTGAATGCGTATTTCCCCATTGGATTGTTTAACCTTATTCTTCCTGGCATTCTTTCGCCTCTTAATGATTTTAGGGGGTGTTTGTTTTGTGTTTAGGGCTGCTTGATTCTGTGGCCAAAGAGAAGCAGGAAGGCCCTTCTTCCCTGAAGGCTGCAAAGAACTGGTGAGTATCTCTCCTTTTCCTGGAGGTGTTTTGCAAAGGTGATGAGATAATGAGAAGAGTGCATCCTAGGATCCCTGTATCAAAGCATTGTGCCAAACAATACCATAAAGCAGGGGTCCTCAAACTTTTTAAACAGAGGGCCAGATCATGGTCCCTCAAACTGTTGGAGGGCCGGATTATAATGTGGAAAAAAAAACCATGAATGAATTCCTATGCACACTGCACATATCTTATTTGTAGTGCAAAAAAAAACATTTTAAAACAATACAATAAATAAGGAACAATTTTAACAGATATAAGCTTATTAGTATTTCAATGGGAAGTGTGGGCGCGCTTTTGGCTGAAGAGATAGGATTGTTGTCACCTAACAACCTCTGAGGATGCTTGCCATAGATCAGTGGTTCTCAACCTTCCTAATGCCGCGACCCCTTAATACAGTTAGTCATGTTGTGATGACCCCCAGCTATAAAATTATTTTTGTTGCTACTTCAGAACTGTAATTCTGCTCCTGTTATGAATTGTAATTTAAATATATTCAATACAGAATGTATTTCATTCACTGGACCAAATTTGGCACAAATATCTGATACGCCAACATTTGAATGATGGTGGGGTTGGAGGAGGGTTGATTTTGTCATTTAGGAAATGGGATTTATAGTTCATCTACAATCAAAGAGCATTCTGAACTCCACTAATGATGGAATTGAACTAAACTTGACACACAGAACTCCCATGTCCAACATAAAATACTGCAAGGATTTGGTGGGCATTGACCTTGAGTTTTGGAGTTGTAGTTCCCCTACATCCAGAGAGCACTGTGGACTCAAACAGTGATGGATGCAGACCAAACTTGACATTGATACTCAACATACCCAAATATGAACACAGGTGGAGTTTGGGGAAAATAGTCCTTGGCATTTGGGAGTTGTAGTTGCTGGGATTTCTAGTTCACCTACAATCAAAGAGCCAGGAGAAGGCGGAGGAAGGGGCTGGTAAAGCGACTTTTGGCCCGCACCACCAGCCTCCTCCCCAGGCCAAGCCTGCCTTCTCCCGGCTACAGGAGAAAGAGAAGAAGAAGAAATAAGGAGAAGGAAAAGAAGAAGGAGGAGGAGGAATAGAAAAAAGAGAAGAAAAAGAAAAGGAGAAAGAAAAGAAAAAGGAGAAGGAGGAGAAAGAGGAAGAAAAAAGGAGAAGAAAAAGAAAAAAGAGGAGGAGGAGAAAGAGAAGGAAAAGAAAAAGGAGAAGAAGTAGCATTTCTTTGTTCTTCAATAATATGCTGTGTCCAGGTTAGTTCACCAGGTTCTCTGCTCAAGTGCTCAAGCATTTGGACAATTTCAACAGAAAGGAGGAAACTGTGAAAATGAACCAAATCTGGCTTACCAGTATTAAAAAAAAGCTCTAAATCGGTGCAGTAAATAAAGACAACACTCAGAAAACAGGGGAATTCGAGACACGAATCAATGAGGGCCAGCTAACACCTCCCAACAAAGGATTTCCCCAGGCAGTAAACTGCCAGACCTTGAAACTGAAAGGCTAATCAATGCTAATCAAGATGGCCAATTGAAACTTTCACAGCTGCCTTGTCAAACAGACAAGAGTTTTTTCTCCCACCCGGAACATTCCCACCCCATTTTCCTAGTTTCCAACAGACCTCTCATCTTCTGAGGATGCCTGCCATAGATGTGGGGAAAATGTCAGGAGAGAATACTTCTGGAACATCGCCAGACAGCCTGGAACACTCAGAGCAACGCAGTTGTTTGTATTGTTAGTTTATGCCAAGCCTTTCATTGTTGACCCTTCAGCAATTTCAGAGATTGGGCAGAAGATAAACAGGAATAGGTTTATCCTAATTTCCCTTAACAAAAGAAAAGGCTCAAGGATTTAATGTGAAAGCCATTATTTATTTTAATCAATGAACAATGGGATGGTTTTGAAAGGCCAGTTTTGAAAAGATGTCTCTTTAATGTGGGAAGAGTGTTTCCCGTCGAAACTGAATTGTATTTGTCTGTTGCCTAGAACTCCCTTCAGTCTTTATATTCTGCAAACATTGGAAATCATTAAGAGTTGAATGTCGTGAAAATAGCTGCTTATCAGAGCATTTATTTAAAAATAATGTTTGGATGTAGTATTATAGTTCATGGATCATAATGGAATGAACATGAATAGTGACTTATTTGTATAGTTTGCAGCCTTAATATAGTGCACATTGAATGCTTCAAATGGGATTCTGAATTTTGAAAGCAAGTGGCCTAGAGCTTCCAAAGCTTCCCCTCAATGGAAACTGAGGCCCCTTCCACACAGCTGAATAAAATCCCACATTTTCTGCTTTGAACTGGAATATATGGCAGTGTGGACTCAGATAACTCAGTACAAAGCAGATATTGTGGGATTTTCTGCCTTGATATTCTGGGTTATATGGTTGTGTGGAAGGGCCTTTATGTCAAGTTTAATTTGAATATGAATATGCTTCCTATTTTTGTTATTTGATGCCATTTTTAAAGAGGGCCAGACCCTGTAAATTAATGCGTTTCAATCTTTCCCCAATTATCCCTTTCCCTTCTGAACTGCATCATTCATTTGCTCTCTCCTCCTTTTTCTTTTCCTTCTCCTTATTTCTTCTCCTCCTCCTACTTCTCCTTTTTCTTTTCCTTCTCTTTCTCCTCCTCCTCTTTTTTCTTTTTCTTTTCCTATTTCTTCTTCTCCTTTTTCTTTTCCTTCTCTTTCTCTTTCTCTTTCTCCTCCTTTTTCTTTTTCTTATTTCTTCTTATTCTTCTCTTTCTTCTCCTTTTGTTTTCCTTCTCTTTCCCCTCCTCTTTTTTCTTTTGCTTCTCCTTATTTCTTCCTCCTCCTCCTCTCCTCCTCTTCTTTTACTTCTCTCTTTTCTCCTCCTGCTGCTTTTTCTTTTCCTTCTCCTTATTTCTTCTACTTCTTCTCCTTTTTCTTTTCTTTCTCTTTCTCCTCCTCCTTTCTTTTTCTTATTACCTTATTTTTCTCTTTCTTTCTTCTCCTTTTTTCCTTCTCTTTCTTCTCCGTATTTCTTCCTACTCTTCTTCTCCTTCTCCTTTTCTTTTACTTCTCTTTTTCTCCTCCTCCTGCTTTTTCTTCTCCTTCTCCTTATTTCTTCTACTACTTCGTCTCCTTTTCTTTTCCTTCTCTTTCTCCTCCTCTTTTTTTCCTTCTCCTTATTTCTTCTTCCTCCTTCTTGTCCTTCTTTTTCTTTTCCTTCTCTTTTTTTCTCCTCCCCCTTCTCCTCCCCCTTTTTCTTTTCCTTCTCCTTATTTCTTCTTCTTCTTCTTCTTCATCTTCTTCTTTTCCTTCTTATCCTTCTCCTCCTTCTCTTTTTTCTTTTCTTTCTCCTTATTTCTTTTTCTTCTCTTCCTCCTTTTTCTTTTTCTTCCCTTTCTCCTCCTCCTCCTCCTCCTTTTTCTTTTCCTTCTCCTTATTTCTTCTTCTCTTCCTTCTCCTCCTCCTTTTTCTTTTCTTTCTCTTTTTCTTCTCTTTCTTCATCTTTTCTCTCTTTTTTTCTTTTTCTTCTCATTCTTTTTCTTCTTTTTCTCCTCCTCCCTTTTATCTCTTCTTATTATTATTATCATTATTATTTTATGTCCTCTTTCCTCCTTAATATGCCACATATTTCTATTCAATACAAACATTATGTGCATTAATTTTTTGTACTTGAAGACTGTTAAAATAAACATCTTCATATGTTTTGACAGCCTTCCCACTGAATGGCAGCTCACTGAGAAAATCGGAGCCATTAGACTAATCCGTGTTTGGGGAGCCGTTCTTCTTGAGCACTGAGGACTTTTCTTTCCCTATTTCCCATGTATATAGGCTCCATGTGTTCACTGTGAGTGCCTACCAAGGCCTGGTCCTGCCTGAGGCCCTGCAGGACTTCTTCAGCCAAACTTTGACCCAGGTTCTGACCTACAATCCCCAGCTCAAAGGTAGGGCTTCAGTACCTACACACTTATCCAGGCCCTTCCAATGACTCTGGCATTCTGTTTAAATTGAGCTGTTTTTAATATAAATTGCATTTTATTATTTTACTGTTGGGTGAATTTTTGTAACACTGTAAACAGGTTGCCATATTATTTATTTATTATGTCAGAAGTGAATTGTTATAATGTAGTTAAAACACAAAATAGTTACAATGTATTTAAAAACACAAACAAAGTTTAAAACTTAGCATTATGCTAAATGTCCTTTGACCAGAAGCTGGCCATTTGGAGTGCCTCTGGTGTCACTGCGAGAATGTCCTCCATTGTGCATGTTGCAGGACTCAGACTACATTGTAATAGGTGGTCTGTAGTTTGCTCTTCTCCGCACTCGCATTTTGTGGACTCCACTTTGCAGCCACATTTTTAAAGATTGGTCTGCATCTCATTGTGCCAGAGCTCAGCCTGGTCAGTGCCTTCCGGGTTGCCCAGATTTCTGTGTGCCCAGGAGGGAGTTTCTCATCTAGTCTTAACCACTGACTGAGGTTCCAGTTTTAGCCTGCCGCTTTTGGACTCTCGCTTGCTGAGGTGTTCCTGCGAGTTTCTCTGTAGATCTTGGGAAGCTGTTTCTTGATTTAAGGCGTTAGCGTGCTGGCTAATATCTGAACAGAGGATGGGCCGGAGATGTCGTGATATTACTTAAATGTGTCGTGATATAGTATTGTATTGTTTTGCTTTGTTATGAGTTATTTATTGTTGTATTGTTGTTGTTATGTTTTTATGATGTATTTGGCTTGGCCTCTTGTAAGCCGCACCGAGTCCTGCAGGAGATGGTAGCGGGGTATAAATAAAGGTTTGTTATTATATTATTATTATTATTATTATTATTATTATTATTATTATTATGTCACTGCCTTGGTCCTTTAATTGCTGGCTGCTACTTCCCGGTGAATGTCAAATGGTGCAATACCAGCTAAACGGTGTAATTTCTCCAGTGGTGTGGGGTGTAGAAACCCTGTGATAATGCGGCATGTCTCATTAAGAGTCACATCCACTATTTTGATGTGGTGAGATGTATTCCACACTGGACATGCGTATTTAGCAGCAGAGTAGCAAAGCACAAGGGCAGATGTTGTCACTGTGTCTGGTTGTGATCCCCAGGTTATGCCCATCAGCTTTCGTATGATATTATTTCTAGCGCCACTTTTTGCTTGATATTCAAGCAGTGCTTCTTGTGAGTCAGAGCACAGCCCAGAGTGTCTCCCAGGTCTTTGGGTGTGCTGCAATACTCCAGTGGGATTCCTTCCCAGGTCATCCTCAGAGCTCAAGATGCTTGTCTGTTCTTAAGGTGAAAAGCACATGTTTGCATTTTAGATGGATTAGGAATCATCTGGTTTTTCCTGTAATAGGCAGTAAGAGCATCTAAAGCACCTAAAGGTTGCCATATATACTCATGTTATCAGTTAATTTTGTAGTCAAGAGCTACTCTTTAGTATACGCCTGTTACTGAGAGGGAAAGAAATACCAAATACTAAAGAATTGATAATTAAATTGTTGGAAATTAGAAATATAGGCAACCTGACCCATCAATTAAGAAATAAACAATCAAAAACAAAAGCAAATTGGAGTTTGCTAACAAAGTTCATGGAGAAAGAGATGATGGAAATATGGACATAAGTATTAAGAAGATAAGAGCTATCAGCTTTGTTGAATCAAAATGATTGGATCCAGAATGAGAAGACAGGAAGCCAACAACATACCCTTCCCTGTTTTTACCCTATAACTCTCCCCCACAACCTCACTTTTACCCTTCATCTATTCCCCTATTTTTGCATTATTCCCTTCCCCGCCAACACGCGGCACTTTTACTCTTTCTTTTTTTCTTTCCCTTCCTAATCCAACCCTCCCTTCATTTTCCTCTTTCCCCTTTTATGTATACCGGTAATTAAAATTTTTCTTCAATAAAGAGATATATATATATATATAGAGAGAGAGAGAGAGAGCTATTCTTGTATGCAGAAGGGAGAGTACCGTTAATCCCTGGAGAAGTCAACCCAGCTTTTTGGAAGTTTATTTTTTTGACCAAAATTTCTTGATTCTGTTTTCATAACTTACTTTTGTATGTTTTGAAGTATATTGGTCTTTCTTAAATTGTGAACCTCTTTGAGTTCCAATTTTGTGGGGGAAACAACACAAATTTCATAAATGGGATGCTAGCTGTTAAGGAGCCGGTGACACAGTCTTGACATCTCCTACATTGAATGGACTGTGCATATAAGGTCTTGAGGTTACCGTCAGGGGACTCTTTTAGAAATCATTGACAGCCTTATTCCATCAGGTAAAAGCAAGCTAATTGTTGCTTATTTTTATTTAACGGCAGCCCCGGCCTTACATTGTGTGAAATGATTTTTTTTCTTTCTATCAGTTTCTGATGCCATTCCTCTGCAGAAAGAATGGACCTTTGCGCGGACCAATGCAGTGCTCACCTTGCTGTACCGAAAAGTAAGTCTTCCTTAAATGGGGTTTGATTGCGAGCATTTCACAATCATCCTGCTCTTTTTAAAAACAGGCCAAATTGTTTAAAAGCACTTAATTCCTGCAACTGCACCTTTTCATTTTCCCATCCCACTCCCCATAAAATAAGGGTTTAGATTGAGCAGATTGATGCTGAAACCTAAACACAGAATAAATGGGGAGAAGGAAGCCCCACAATGTTGTCAGGAAGGTTTTACTCCACTCTGAAAGCTTGCAAAATGGGGCAAAAGGTTAGAGGTGGAAGCAAAAGAAAAGTCAGTAAAGTAACTGTTATTTTTATTTTGTTTTTAATTAAAAGCTACTATTATTATTTGTATCCTGCTTTTATCTCTCTAAAAAAGAAACTCAAAAAGTGACTCCCCATAAAACCCATACAATACAATGTAAAACCTAAACAGATAGAAACATTAAAATAGAATTAAACATGAGCAGCATTAAAAATAAACAGATAAAATTCTTAAAATCAATTAAATAATAATAATAATAATAATAATAATAATTGCAATACAATAATAAGTGCAAAAAACAAAGAGTGAATACAGTAAGGAGACGCTGAGGTTCTTGTTTTTTGTAGATATTGTTTCTTTTATATTACATTTTAAATATTGAATTGTTTTTTTAATTGTTTAACTGTATTCTGATATTTGTTATGGCATCGAATCGCTGCTGACTGTGAACTGCCTTGAGTCGCCTATGGCAGAGAATCTCTATGGCAGAGATACAAATATGGTAAGTAAATAAATAAATAAATAAATACTGTAAAAATACAATGCAGAGCTGAAGAGAAAACTTGGAAAAAAGGCTCTCCATGGACAGTTCCTGGGAAAAATTGAGATAAAAATTGACAAGGACAGAACATGGATGTGGCTCGCGAATGGAACATTGAAAAAGGAGACGGAGGGCCTGATTATTGCAGCCTAAGAACAGGCAATTAGAACAAAGGCCATGAAAGCCAGAATTGAAAAGTCGACGACAGATTCCAAGTGAAGACTCTGCAAGGAAGCAGACAAAACAATGAATCACATACTCAGCTGCTGCAAGAAGATCACACAGACTATAAGCAGAGGTAGATGATCCATTGGAACTTGTGCTACGAATGCCATCTACCTGTGACAAAGAACTGGTGGGATCACAAGTCTGAAAAAGTTATAGAAAATCAATAGGTCAAACTACTCTGGGACTTCTGAATTCATATTGACAGAGTTTTGGAGCACAAGACTCCTGACCCCAAGATTATGGGATTAAACAAGTGTAGATCGTTGGTGTTGCAATCCCAGGCAGCAGCAGAATTAAGGATTTAAAGATCGAACGGCAAAGACTCTGACACAAGCCAGTCAAGGGGGTCCCAGCTGGGGATCGGCACACTGGATGCAGTGCCTAAAGACCTTGGCCTGCACTTAAAAACAGTTGATGCTGACCAAATTGCCATCTGTCAGCTGCAAAAGGCTACTTGACTCAGATCTACACACATTATTCATTGATACATCACATAGTCCTAGACACTTGGAAAGTGTCCGACATGTGATCAAACACAAAAACCAGCATAGTGATCCTGTTTGCTGTATACCAGTCTTGTTGTGTATCAAATAATAATAATAATAATAATAATAATAATAATAATAATAATAATAATAATAATATACTATCCTCTCCTTGCAACTCAAGGCAGGGTACAACATCATTAAAACAAGAGGCGAAATGCTATTAAAACACATACAAAAAGATACAGAGTTAAAATTGAAGTTAAAATCCACTGTTGAAATGCAGATTACTAATAACAATAGATTTTTTCATCTAGTTAAAACTACGGTACCCTCTGACTTGACCTTTAAAGCTTCCTTCTTTAAAAGCCTGCCTTTTTAAAGCAAGGAAAGAAAACAATTTGGATTACTGTTCAAAAGTCTTGTTAGGTCATCAAAGTTAGGAATCCTACGGAATGGCAACTCCTCACAGTTTGAGTCAACATAATGGCTAGGAATGCTGGGAGTTGCAGTCCAACAACTTCAGGAGGGCCAAACAATTCCTAGCTTCCCTTGAAGCATTTATACTGATTTTGATAACTATACTGTGTATGGGTTCTGCAAATATTTTTTATTGTTCTTCTTCAGCCGTTCCATCATGGTCTCCGACCAAACATAATAACACTTCTCACTCAGGAGCAAACCATCTGCTGACTCTTGGATGGTTTTCCAGTTTTCTTGGATTATGAAAGGTATTTCCGCCTTTGTCTCCCCTTGTAGTTGTTTGTGCCCTTCAAGCCAGAGGAGCTGGTCCGCCATTTGCAGCACGTCCTGGAGACAAGCGAAGTCAACTGGCATCACATCCTCTCCTGCGTTTCCACACTGCTGGTCTGCCAATCAGGAGCAGTACCGTTGATTAAAGGTAGATACTGAGTCCTTTAGTTGGACTGGATTTTGACATTTTAGGCCCTTGCTGTCTGAAAGAACCAAAGGAACTGATGTGGAAAATAAAGAGACCAGGTCCTGTAACCCAGGAGGCAACTGGCTGTTGTATGTCAGCCTATTCAGCCTGTGATTGTGTCTGATGTTCATGCTGATGGTCATGATGGGAATTATGTTCATGTTGATGTTCATGATGGGAATGTTCTTGATGGGAATAGGGATGATGTTCTGGTTGCTGGGCCTGGGTCTGTTAGCATTGGGGATGAGGGGTTGCTTAGGCCTGAGCTAAGATCAGCTCAGAGAGACCTGAGCTGTCTCAGGAAGATTCACAAGGCCAATTCCTGAGAGAGGCCTTTCATTGGTTTTCTCAGAACAACTGTTCAACCACAACCTTTGTCTTGTTGGGTTCCTCAGGGCTCAATACTGTCTCCCATGTTGTTTAACATCTACATGAAGCCGCTGGGGGAGATCATCTGGAGTTTCGGCGTACGGTGTCATCTGTACGCAGATGATGTCAAACTCTGTCACTCCTTTCCACCTGCTACTAAGGAGGCTGTCCAGGTCCTGAACCGGTGCTGGCCGCTGTGACGGTCTGGGTGAGGGCGAACAAATTGAAATTGAATCCAGACAAGACAGAGGTACTCCTGGTCAGTCGTAAGGCCGAACAGGGCATAGGGTTACAGCCTGTGTTGGATGGGGTCGCACTCCCCCTGAAGACGCAGGTTCGCAGCTTTGGGTGTGATCCTGGACTCATCGCTGAGCCTGGAACCCCAGGTTTCGGCGGTGACCAGGGGAGCATTTGCACAGCTAAAGCTTGTGCGCCAGCTGTGCCCGTACCTTGGGAAGTCTGACTTGGCCACGGCAGTCCACGCTCTGGTTACATCCCGTTTAGACTACTGCAACGCTCTCTACGTGGGGTTGCCTTTGAAGACAGCTCGGAAGCTCCAACTAGTCCAACGCTCGGCAGTCATGATTTTAACAGGAGCGGAGCGCAGGGAGCATACAACCCCCCTGTTGCGCCAACTCCACTGGCTACCGATCTGCTACCGGGCTGAATTCAAAGTGCTGGCGTTGGCCTTTAAAGCCCTAAACGGTTCCGGCCCAAGCTACCTATCCGACCGCATCTCTGCCTATGAACCCACCAGGACTTTGAGATCTTCCAGGGAGACCCTGCTCTCGATCCCGCCTGCTTCTCAAGCTCGGCTGGCGGGGACGAGAGATAGGGCCTTCTCGGTGGTGGCTCCTCGGCTGTGGAACGCCCTTCCTACGGACATTAGACTAGCACCATCTCTAATGGTATTCCGCAAAAAAGTGAAGACCTGGCTGTTTGAGCAGGCGTTCGAATAATTAGTGCAATGATTGGTTAATGAACACTGGAATGGAACAATGGATGACGAATCTGGAACATGTTTTTGATGACGAGACGACAGTGAATGGGTATTGTAGTAACTGTTTATTAATTGTGTAATGTGTTAGGTTGTTAACTGTTTCTATACTGTAGCACTGAATTTTTGCTGTTCGTATTTGTTGTGAACCGCTGTGAATCGCCTTCGGGCTGAGAACAGCGGTATATAAGTAAGGTAAATAAATAAATAAACTGTCTGAAAACAATGCTGAGATTGATTTATCAGGTGCAGGAGTTAATGAGGGAGGGTATAGGTGAAACCTTGGACAGAAAGTGAAGTTTTAGTAAACAAAGGTAGAGTTTCAGAGACTGAGGCGATTAGTTCAACTGCAGTAAAAGAGATAACAAATCATTATCTGGTGGGAAGGTCAAGAAAAATGCTTTCCTTTCAATTTTGGAATCTGGAAAAGGTCTATATTGATTCATGGGAGACAGTTGCCTCAGTTGAGTCAACGTTGTTTTTTTTTATCACGGTCTTGCTTTCAAGTGCTCTGAGTTTCATGTACCAAGTTTTTGCCAAGCTTAAGTTTTGCCTATGGGATTTTCCTGCTGTTTTGTTTCATGGATCTCTATGTACTCCTGGATCTTGTTTCCATTTGAAGCTTATGGACTATTTATTATTTTGCTATTTTTATTGCTTTGCCTATATATATTCCACAATAAACTGTTTGCTGATTTTACCAAGCTGTTGTGATATTTAAGGTCAGAGGTGTTTCTGCTCTGGTGTACGACACTGACACCAGTTATTCCCTGTTGGTCCAAAATGAAATTCTGGTTATAATATGATATTACATTTAATACTTGACATATTTTTGTGTAATACATCCCAAATCTGTAGGACCGGTGGAAAGCAGTTAAAGCCTGTGTGCCTTGTAGGCCTCTTTCATAGGATTGGCATGAGTCAAGCGAACTTGATGGCTGTATCAACAAAATGTTTTAGATTGTTATTCAGTGTGTGTTTTTAATGATTGTTTAGTGCTTTTTGAAAGTTTGCACCACAAAATGTTTTGTTTTCACTTTGGGTCCCATATTGGGAGAAGGGCAGGATGCAAACCTGTACATGACATGAAGGTGAGCCCATAAGAAATCGCTCCACCAATGTGTGTGTCATGGGGCCTTTTTCCTAGACTTTCTGGGCCATCTGCTGAAGAAAGGGTTTGAGGACTATGACTTGGAAAGCATGATGACGGCCTTCCTGATCGCGCGCCAGGCTGGCCTGGAGGGCCCTGCTGTGTTCATGCCTTACTCAGAATGGTTTAAGGTAAGAGCCTAAATTAGAGTGTGAGTTCCAACTGGTGTCAGTCCATTAAATTACATCATTTCTGGTCCCAACACAGCACAGAGTTGCATTGGAGGACCTAAAGAGGCATCTCAGGAATATGCTATGTCCTGTGCCACAACGACCCAGTGAATTTTGACTTGTGAGTTTTAACCTGTGTTTTATTAATGTGATCTTCTGTGTATTATGCGTTATATCATCAACATCAACATCATCTATCACTCATGGCTGAGAATGATTGTCTTCCGAGTCTTGGTGGTAGGTCTGCAAATGACTCTAGAGGCCTATTCCATATCTGCGTAGTCTTTTGAAGTGAAGACATACATTTCCAGATGGAAGGTGATCCCAATAAGGTTTTGCTTAAGGCGCCTTCTTTCTTTTGGCATGTTTCTCCCTTTTGCCCTCCATTAGTGCCTCTGCAAAATCCACAGCACTGTTGGTAACAGCTGACATCCAATTCCAATGCTCAAGGGCCAGGGCTTCCCAGTTCTCTCTCCATGTTCATTCCACATTTTTTAAGGATAGCTCTAAGCCAATTTTTAAATCTCTTTTGCTGTCCACCTTAATTCCATTTTTCATTCTTGCTGCGAGACGGTGATTGGACCTTTGGACAACATTGTCAAAAATATTAAAAATTAACTAGGTATTTTTACTTACAAAAATGTGAGTCAAACACTGAAAGGGTTAAATGAATGCAATGACTCAGCAAAAGTTTCAGTTCTATATAAGCAGGTGTGTCTGTAGCTTAGTAGCTCTCAGCCTGTGAGAGGTCTCTGTGGGAGAAGGGCCTCAGCATGTTAGTAGACCTCAGCATGAGTAGGCCTCAATATTAGATCGCCTCAATATTAGTTCGCCTCAGTATATGAGAGGTGTCAGTCTGAGAGAGCCTTCAGTGTGAAAAGGCCTCAGTGGGAGTAAGGCCTCAGTGTGCAGATAGGCCTCAGTGTTAGTAGGCCTCGGTATGAGAAGGCCTGATTTGAGAAGCTGCTGTGAGAGAAGCCCCAGGTCGAAGGCCATTGTGTTGCAACTCAGGGTAGTTGCTTCAGACACCACCACACTAAGGCCGTAGGTTTTTTGTAGTTTATTGAGAAAATCAAAATCAAAACAAAGAAATAGAAATGCAATAGTTCCATAAGCAAAACAGAGACTTAAATGTAAAAGCAAAGTTCCCAAGATCCAAAGACAAAAACATGAAGCATAATCCTTTAGCAATGGTCAAATAAAAGTCCATGGTAAAACAGTTGAAAACAAGACTCAAATCCCAAGCTCAGAAAGCCAAAAGCGTGCTGCAAAAAGCCAAGACAAATCCTAGAAGTTAACATGGAAAGAGCAATGTTGGACTGACAACAACTCTGTGTCAGCTACAAGACTACCCTTTGCGAACATGAAAGCATTGTGTTGACCTTGTTTGGCTTCTCGCTTGCTGGCCAAGCGAGTACTTCTCCAAAGCCTTAATTGCAAACGATCTTGTCTGCTCATTAATTCATTATCTGCAAGGCTATGCAACCCCTTATCTGAATCTAGCTGGGACGGATCCTCCACCTGGCCGTGTGGGATTTCACTCTCGCTACCAGTCTCTCTAACTGTAGGAACATTCCTTTCCCCTGAGAACTGACTTACTGTTTCTCCTTCAGCAGCCACACTATCAGCCCTGTCTGAAACATGTACAGGAATCTGTAACACATCAGCCTCCTCATCATCCTGCAGGAAGTCAGGCTCAGAAAGGCCAAAGTCAGGTTCAGAAGGCCCAAATAGCTCAGCTTCATACTCAGAGTTAAGCTGAGTCACAACACATTGTGAAGGCTGTTGTGTAAAAAGCTGCTGTGTGAAGCTTTTGTGTAAGTTTGGTGTGAAAGGAGGCTCTGTGAGAGCGAAGCTGTTTATCTGCATGAGAAAGAAGCCCAACATGGAAGTAAAGAAGAAAGTGTAAAGAACTTTGTGTCATGGAAACTTTGTTCTTGTAAATACTAGAACCATATTATTTTGCTATATGGAAGAGAACATTGGTATGTGTGTTTTTGTACTTTTTATCACTTTGGGCTACTGGTGCTGGGTCACACTGCTACTGATAAGTTATTCTGCTGTGCATTTATGAGGAAGGACTTTTGTTAATAAGCCCACTTGCCCAATAAACGTATCATTCGGTCCAGCAAAGTTGCTGGCTGAGAATCATCGCTTTATGCTAGTGGTTTTTGCTTATATGTATTTTTATAGCTTTATGTTTCATCACTCTGTTTTAAACCTGTTGTACCCCGCCTCATGTCACAAGGAGAAGCGCATAACACATTTCTTCTTCCTCTTCCTCTTGTCATTATGATAAACTCTGTGGTAACCTCTGGGAGGACTATACCAAAGAATTACCTGAATGACAATAGAATTTCCAGATATGCCATTTCCTCTCTTTCTAGATTGCCTTTGGGAGCTCCAGTGGCTTCCACAGCAGCAGTAAGAAGGCCTCGGTCTTCCTCTTCAAGTTCCTCTCGGAGCTGGTGCCTTTTGAAACCGCGCAGCACTTGAAGGCGAGTAGCAGAAAAGGCTCAACCTGTGGTTGCCGTCCATGGAGCCCTCCGTGCCTCAGGGCTTACCTTGCGCTTCATCTCTCCCCAGGTGCACATCATGCTCCCACCGTTTGTTCCGGGCAAATACCGCCCGTTACTTCTGGAATACATCGCTTTAGCCAAAACCCGTCTGGCTGACTTCAAGGTGAGCACACATAGTTCGATCCTTTTGAGTGTCTGGCTTGCACAAAGAGAAGGCATTGGCTGCCAACCTGGTATTTATTGTCAGAAATATTAAAAATTAATTAGGTATTTTTAATTACAAAAATGTGAGTCAAGCACTGAAAGTCAAAAATGGATGCAATGACTCAGGAAAAGCTGCAGTTCAATATAAGCAGGCGTGCCTGTAGCTTAGTGGGCCTCAGTCTGTGAGAGGTCTTTGTGGAAGAAAGGCCTCAGTGTTTGTTCGTCTCAGTGTGAGAGAGACATCAGTCAGAGAGAGCCCTCAGTATGAGAAGGCCACAATGGGAAAAAGGCCTCAGTGTGAGATAGACCTCAGTGTTAGTAGGTCTTGGTGTGAGTAGGCCTGGTCTTTGAGAAGCTTTGGTGAGAGGAAATCCCAGGTTGAAGGCCATCATGTGTGAAGGCTGCTGTGTGTAAAAAGCTACTGTGTGAAGCTTCTGTGTAACTTCAGTGTGAGAGGAGGCTCTGTGAGAGTGAAGCTTTTTTCTGCGTGAGAAAGAAGCCCAGTGTGGAAGCAAAGAAGAAAGTAGAAAGAACTTTCTTTGTGTTATAGAAACCTTGTTCTTGTAAATAGTGCAACCATATTATTTTGTTATGAAGAAAAGCCTCCTATGGAAGAGATTGTTGGAACTCAGCCTGTGATTGTGTTTCAGGATCTGGGGCTTTGGATGTGGGGAGTGATGTCAATGAGTTTCAAGATGGCAATGGTTTGATTGCCATCAGTATCATTGAATGATACTGATGCAGAGAATGACCAGGAGATCCCTGTTCAAAGTGTAGTTTCCCATGAGAATGTCCCTGAGGTGTGTGGGGATGATGGTGTGCTCCTTGAATTGCTACCAGAAAGTTCCCATGATTGGGAACATGACAACAGCTTGGCATCTGGCCGAGCTGCAGAAATTAATGAGCAAATAGACAGGAGGAGATCAATCAAAACAGAAAAGCCGAACAGTGGCTTCGATGTTCTGCCAGGCTCCGAGAGAAAAAGATAAGAGATTTTCAGCTAAAGCGAAACCAATTTCTGATCACTAGAGACTTAGCTAACAAGGAGATAAAAGTCCCAAGTACAGGATATGTAGTCAGATGAAGCATCGTTTGGAATCAAGTCAAGATCTCATCCTTGTTTCATGGAAGCTTTGTTTGGAATATTCATATTTAAGTGCCTTTTGTTTCATTGTTTTGATTCTTGGATTCTATGATTTTATATTCGTGTCTTGGATTCATGTTCCCTAGTTTCTTGGATTTTATTAGAGAAGTTTTGCTTTCATGGACTTTGCTGGTCTATTACTCTGGACTACTTTGTTCCTGCATATCTTCTTACCTAATTGGATTTACCTATTTCTTTAAAGAGCTTTTTTACTTTCCTGCTTTTTAATTATCTTCAATAAAAGGATTGTTTTTCCCACTCAACGGTGTGGTGTTTGAAGTCAGAGGGCTTTTCCTGTTCTGGAGTGCAACAGAGATATCATTAGTCTGTGTGTTTTTATTCTTTAAATCACTTTGGGCTACTGGTGCTGAGTCACGCTGCAGCTGCTAAGTTACTCTATTGTACATTCATGGGGAGGGTCTTACGTTAATAAGCCCAGTGGCTCAACATTTATGATCCTTGTTCTAGATCCTGGACTACAGTCCCCAGAATCCCCGTCTAATGTGGTCAATAGATTCTGCAGTTTCTGTAGTCCATAAAAGGAACCTTCTCCCAAACTGATGGAAGCTCACTTTTGTTCAGTGGTCAGCTTGCCCTCTGGGTCCATCCTCAAGCTGTGCTTCTCTTTCCCAGGTTTCCATAGAAGACATGGGCCTCTATGAGGATTTATCTTCCCCAAAGGAAGCTGTTCAGGTATCTCAGAGCCACCCAGGCCAAAGAAATACCTGGGAGAGAGAGACCTTTCCCAAACTGAGATTGGTCCTTTAGGATGAGCTGTTTTTAATTAATTGGGGCAAGGGAAGCTGCTTTTTTTGACAGTCGAATACATGCTCTCTTTTCTGTTCTCTTTGTGGATCAGCCTCAATGTCAGGCCCTTCAGGACGTTGAAAAGGCTGTGAAGATATTTGAAAACACGGGAAGGATCCCAGCAAGTGTTATGGAAGCCAGGTAGGGACTCGCTTTTCAGTGGTGTCGCACTTCATTATGTGATAACTCTTTTCTTAGAGCAGGCATGGGCAAACTTTGGCCCTCTCTCCAGTTGTTTTGGACTCCAACTCTCACAATTCCTAACAGCCGGTAGGCTGTTAGGAATTGAGGGAGTTGAAGTCCAAAACACCTAGAGGGAGGGCCAAAGTTTGCCCATACCTGTCTTAGAGCAAGATTTCTTAAGAAAAGGTTCTGTGCAAAATCGGTTGCTTGGCTGGTGCTTTTATCCACTTTGCCCCATTTATTTCCATCCTCTTTCTTGTTTCAGTATTTTCAGGCAGTCCTACTATGCAACACGCTTTCTCCCTGCTTTGCTGGTGCCACGTCCGGTTAGTATCCTTATTATGGATTCTTTAATTTCAAGTGAGAAATGTCCTCTTTTAAAACTGATGTGTGTCTGCATGTTTCTGTTTTAGAATTAGGTGAATTGTAAACCTGCATATATGCATTTCATAGAAATATGTTTTAATATGTGTATTTTGTTGAAATTGAACCCCACACTGTGCAAATCTCAAGTCCTCAATGAGGAGCAGTTAGTTACTTAGTTTATTATATTGATTGTTTAAAATGGATCCTTTTCTACTGCAAGCCTTTTTGAATCTGCCTTCTGCCTTCTTAGACTTTAGTATGGAAAATATGTGCTGTGTGTTTGAGATCTCTCTCTGCTTGTGTGTCAGGAGAGACGTAGTGATAGAGTTTTTCCCTCTCTTGAAACCTTAGAAGAGATGGGTGTTAGAGTAACACAGACCCAGTTCTTGATTATTAAGAAATAAAGTTATTTCTTATTATTGTAAATAAACCTTTTGTGATTTTTTTAAAGATTGGACTCTGCATGTTTGCCTTCTAAGCTCTGAATTCTTTACAGCCACATCACACAGCACTTTATCTTTGTCATATATGTATTTATTCCATTTGTGCTCTCTCTCTATGTATGTGTGTGTGTGTATGTATGTATATGTGTGTGTGTGTGTGTGTGTATATATATACGCACACATAAACACTTAAAACTACTGGCACAGATACAAACACTCTGTTAATAATTTGTATGTCTAAACTGATATTTAAACACATTTATTTAAACATTGCAGCTTCCGGAAAGGCCGGATCCCCGCATGGCTTTGATAGACTCCCTCAGAAGGTAAGGAGGAGGGTTTTGTTCACTCTCTCTCGTCCTTATTCGAGGTTGTCACGATCTCGATGACTCGATAGTGCAACCTCATGATCTTATTATGGCCTCAATCTTTCTCAAACAGGGCTGAAAAAATTCCTCCAAACACATACAAAGCATATGTTGAAGAATGCCAAGTTGCAAAAGAGAAGCTCTTACAAGGTGAGAAGCATCCTTTTCTGGAGTGAGAAGTATGACTTGAATCAGGCATGGGTAAACTTTGGCCCTCCAGGTGTTTTGGACTTCAACTCCCACAAATCCTAACAGCCTCAGGCCCCATCCTTTCCCCCCTCAGCCACATAAGCAGGCCTGAGGCTGTTAGGACTTGTGGGAGTTGAAGTCCAAAACACCAGGAAGGAAGGCCCAAGTTGGCCCAGGTCTGACTGAAATGAATGCTCTCTGGATGAAGAAATGTGGAAGATACTGACACCTAGTGGCTGCAGTGGTCATTATCAAATTGTCTATAGAACAAAACGTTGGGCGAGTGGGCTTATTAATAAACAAAAGACCCTCCTCATAAATATGCAGCAGAATAACTTATTAGCAGCAGCGTGACCCAGAACCAGTAGCCCAAAGTGATAATAAGAAAAAAAAACCCATAGAGACCAATATTATCTCTTCCTTAAGAGGCTTTTCTTTGTAGTAAAATAATATGGTTGCACTATTTACAACAACAAGGTTTTCAAACTGTCAGAAATATTTAAAAAATTAGCTAGGTATTTTTAATTACAAAATGTGATTCAAGCACTGAAAGGGTTAAATGGGTGCAATTTTTTTGTCATGTCAGGAGTTACTTGAGAAACAGCAAGTCGCAGACAGTGTGAGAGAATTGACTGTCTGCAAGGACGTTGCCCAGGGAACGCCTGGATGTTTTGATGTTTTTATCATCCTTGTGGGAGGCTTCTCTCATGTCCCCACATGAGGAGCTGGAGTTGATAGAGGGAGCTCATCCGCCTCTCCCCGGATTCGAACCTGCGACCTGTCGGTCTTCTATCCTGCCGGCACAGGGGTTTAACCCACTGCGCTGGGTGCAATGACTCAGCAAAAGCTGCATTCTATATAAGGCGGTGTGCCTGTAGCTTAGTAGCTGTCAGTCTGAGGTAAATCACAGTGGGAGAAAGGTCTCAGTCTGTGAGGAGGCCTGACAGTGTAAGGTAGGCCCCACAGTGTGAAGTAGGCCTTAGTCTGCGAGGTAGGCCTCAGTGTGAGGTAGACCTTAGTCTATTGGAAGGCCAAGTTTGAGAAGGCCTGGTGTGAGAGTCTTTGGTGAGAGAAGCCCCAGGTTGAAGGGCTCTACTCATAAATATACAGCAGAGTAACTTATTAGCAGCAGTGTGACCCAGCACCAGTAGCCCAAAGTGATAAAAAGAACAAAAAACACACAGACAAATGTTATCTCTTCCTTAAGAGGGTTTTCTTTGTAGTAAAATAATATGGTTGCACTGTTTACAAGAGCTAGGATTCCATAACACAAATAAACAAATGCACAGTAGCTTTACACACAGCAGCCTTCACACTAGAGTTTTCTCACACGAGGCTTCTCTCATACTGAGGTTTACCTCACACTCCTCAGGACGACACTAGCTTTAGCCCACTGTCTCTAAAATACCTAGTTAATTTTTAATATTTCTGATACAAAATACAATGCTCTGGTTTCCTTTAGTTCTTGTTTGATATTGATGGGGCTGTATGATTGCTCTCTGTTCCATGTTGCCTCAGCAATTGCAGCTGCGAATCAGGAGTAACAAAACTAATCATATTTGGTAGCTAAATTGGCCTGGAAACTTGGGAAGGTGCTGTGTGTGTGTGAGCTTTGGATCATCAGCTTCCCTCTATATTTATATATAAACTAGCTTAGGTATGTGGCTATACCTGGGCTAGGGATTGTGTAACACTCCTTGTTAGAAATGGACATTCTTTGTTTTTGGATTTTGTGAATGGTCCCATTACAAAATGTACAAAGATGTGGGCAAACTACAACTCCCACCATATCTGACATAGCCCCCAAACTGCACCAGTAGTTAAAATTGGGCATGATGAGTCTGTGTGCCACGTTTTGTACAGATCCATTGTTGGCGGGAGTCACAGTGCTTTCTGGATGAGGGGTGAACTATAACACCCATCATCCTCTAACATTGCTTGTCAGAAATATTAAAAATTAACTAGGTATTTTTAATTACAAAAATGTGAGTTAAGTATTTAAAGGGTTAAATGGATACAATGAGTCAGCAAAAGCTGTCGTTCTATATAAGCGGGTCTGCCGGTAGCTTAGTAGCCCTCTGTCTCTGAGAGGTTTCTGTGGAAGAAGGGCCTCAGTATGTTAGTAGGCCTCAGTATGAGAAGGCCTCAGTGTTTGTTCACCTCAGTATGAGAGAGGTGTCAGTCTGAGAGAGCCCTCAGTGGGAGAAAGACCTCAGTGTTAGAAGGCCTCAGTATGAGAAGGCCTCAGTGTGAGATAATACCTCAGTGTGATAGAAGCCCCAGGTTGAAGGCCTCATGTGTGAAGCTCCAGTGTAAAAGACTGCTGTGTGTAAAGCTACTGTGTGAAGCTCCTGTGTAAGTTTGATGCGAGAGAAAGTTCAGTGAATGTGAAGCTAGAAGCTGTTTATCTGCATGAGAAAGAAGCCCAGCATTGAAGCAAAGAAGGAAGTATAAAGAAGTTGTGTTATGGAAACCTTGTTGTTGTAAATAGTGCAGTCATATTATTTTACTACAAAGAAAAGCCTCCTATGGGAGAGATAACATTGGTCTGTGTGTTTTTGTTCTTTTTATCACTTTGGGCTACTGGTGCTGGGTCACGCTGCTGCTAGTAAGTTACTCTGCCGTAACTTATTCATTGGAAAGGTCTGTTATTTTATGACTGTGTTTATATTTTTTTTCCTTTATGTAATTTGATGATGCTGTTTATTGTTTATGCTCTGGTTTTATCTTGTTGTAATATGTTGTTCGGGCTTGGCCTCGTGTAAGCCGCTCCGAGTCCCTATTGGGGAGATGGTGGTGGGGTATAAATAAAGATTGTTGTTGTTGTTGTTTTATTAATAAGCCCACTCGCCCAACATCCCTCCCTCCATCCTTAAACCCTGCCAGTACTTAAAGTTGTCCATGTTGGGTCTGTGTGCCAGGTTTGGTCCAGATCCATCATTAGAAGGATTCACACGGCTCTTCAGATTTCGGAGCCATCCTGGAAAATACAAGGATAGATAGATCAATCCATCTTTCCATGTGTGTTTTCACTTTTACTATATAGATAGATAACCCTTGGGGTGCATTCATGACTATAAATCTTCAAAAAGGTGACCAGAAGTGACGTACAGCCATAGAGAATGTCTCACTCCTGTCAACCGAGATCTGTTGATGGTTGGGAGTTTTCTAAAATTTCCTTCTGATCCTTGATGATTATCTATCCATTCTTGGTCTTTAAATTGACTCCTTTGTCAATGTGCCCCATCCCTTCAGTTATCATACTTTCCCAGAAGCCAGTAGCAAGGGATTCTGGGAGTTGTATTCCAATAATGTCTCTCTTTTTTCCCGCAGATGGATCGGTCGAAATGGAGACAAGCGATTTGAAAGAGCCTTTGGAACTGCTCACAGCTGAGCTTGAGGCGCTCCGAGAGTTGATTGTGGATCAAGATAAGCAGGAGGGTATGCGGATTGCAGGGACTGTTTGGTCTCCTGCTATTGAAGGACAGACGGATCTGTCATGAATACTTTTTGAACCTTAAAATGTTCTTTAATCCGTTTTCAGTGGGACAGGTTGCATTAGGCACTTTCAGAGCCTCACAGATTCCAGTACTGGTTTTATAATAGTTATGTTGATGACACAGATGAAGTGGAACATTCACTCAGCATTCACTCCACATGCATTTTTTCATCCAGACTCACCGTTCTTTATTTACTCCAGCGTTTCTCAACCTGGGGGTCACGATCCCTGGGGGGATCGCAAGGGGGTGTCAGAGGGGTTGCCAAAGGCCATCAAAAAACACAGTATATTCAGTTGGTAATGGGGGTTCTGTCTGGGAAGTTTGGCCGAATTGTATCATTGGTGGGCTTCAGAATGCTCTTTGATTGGAGGTGAAGTGTAAATTCGAACAACTACAACTCCCAAATGTCAAGGTCTATTTCCCCCAAACTCCACCAGTGTTTACATTTGGGCATATTGATTATTTGTGCCAAGTTTGGTCCAGATACATCATTGTTTGAGTTCACAGTGCTCTTTGGATGTAGGTGAACTATAGCTCCATAACTCAAGGCCAATGCCCACCAAACCCTTCCAGTATTTTCTGTTGGTCATGGGAGTTCTGTGTGCAAAATTTGGTTCAATTGCATTGTTGGTGGAGTTCAGAATGCTCTTTTAATTTAAATGAACCATAAATCCCAGCAACTACAACTCCCCCCTCCCCCACCAGTATTCAAATTTAGGCGTATTGAGTATTTGTGCCAAATTTGGTCCAGTGAATGAAAATACATTCTACATATTATATATTTACATTATGATTCATAACATTAGCAAAATTACAGTTATGAAGTTGCAACAAAAATAATGTAATGAGGAACTGCATTAAGGGGTCGCAGCATTAGGAAGGTTGAGAACCACTGATTTATGCATTCTTTCATCTATGCTCAGTACCTTATGCATTCAGCCCATCTTGCAGTAATAAGGCAGCGAGTGTCCAGACTGCATTCCCTTGCACATCTGCCACATTTTTCCAAAAGAAAAGTGTCTCTTTATGTAGCAAATTTTCCTGTTGTTGGTGGTGGTGGTGGTTTGATTGATTGATTGACTTGTTATTCATGGAGCCCCCAATGGCACAATGGGTTAAACCCTTGTGCCAGCAGGATCTGGGGAGTGGGGTGAGCTCCCATCTGTCAGCTCCAGCTTCCCATGAGGGAACATGAGAGAAGCCACCCAAAGGATGGTAAAACACCCAGACATCTCCTGGGCAACGTCATTGCAGATGGCCAATTCCCTCACACTAGAAGCGAGTTGCAGTTCCTCAAGTTGCTCCTGACATGAAAAAAAAAGCTGAAACTTGCTGAAACTTCCACCAATCCTGGACAGATGTTGTTTCCCCCCCTCCTTAACAGATGTTGATTTTCCTTCTTAATGTAAAGAACCCTTATGTTTGACTTCCTGAACTGATCTCTGAGCATGTAAACATGTTGTTGACACCAAGAGTTCCCAGATCAGTTATGTCAGCAGTTGTTTCCTCCATCAGCACTTTTCGTTTTACTCCTTTGTTTCTCCATAATGCCATTTTAGGCCTCCATAATAATAATAATAATAATAATAATAACAACTTTATTTTTATACCCCGCCAACCATCTTCCCCAAGGGGACTCAGGGCGGCTTACATGAGGCCAAGCCCATCAATACAATATACACAATATAACATAAAAACACAACAGAAAATTAAAAAAATAAAATAACCTAAAATACAAAACCAATGTATATAAACGACACAACAATATAAAATCAAAACATTACGACATTAAAATCAAGGGACAAACCCAAGATTACAAGTAAAACACACCAAAAAACATTTTAACCATATTTTTTTGTCGTGTCAGGAGTTGCTCCTGTTGTGAGAGAATTGGCCGTCTGCAAGGACGTTGCCCAGGGGACGCCCGGATGATTTGATGTTTTTATCATCGTTGTGGGAGGCTTCTCTCATGTCCCCGCATGAGGAGCTGGAGCTGACAGAGGGAGCTCATCCGCCTGTCCCCGGATTTGAACCTGCGACCTGTCGGTCTTCAATCCTGCCAGCACAGGGCTTTAACCCACTGCGCCACCGGGGGCTCCACTTTAAACAATTAAAAATATCAGATAAAAATAAAATACAAACAACAATTGTGAACAGCATAAAAACAATTTGGCTGTGAAAAGAACTTGGCTGAGGTAAGACTAAATGAGTGCAATACATTCTGACAGGAGCACAAGGAAAGTGCTCATTTCAGAAAGTGGAAAGTTCTTAGGATAGTGTCTTTACTCTTGCAAAGTCTTAATAGGCCCTTTCTAGACCCTAACAATACAATTTACTGCTTTGGAGACTAGGCCTCAATGGAGGCTTCTTCTCTGAGGCCTTTAAAACTGGATGACAATCTGTCGGGGGGAGGACTTTGATTGTGTCCAGCATTATGGCAGAAGGGGGTTGGACTGGATGGCCTTTGGGGGTCCCTTCCAACTCCATGATTCTTTGTTGCAGAACTTCCGGCTCAGATGGCTCGCGTCTCAGAGGCACTGGTGGGTGTCTTCGGGCCCACCAATGACCAGGAGGAAATAGCTTCCGTGGACTTCAGGATCCGTTTGGATCTTTCTGTTCCTGAAGTCCCGCAGCAGCATCAAGAGGTGGATTATTACATTATTATTATTATTATTATTATTATTATTATTATTATTATTATTATTTGGAAATAGTAACCTCCCAAGCCTTTCACTATTTATTTATTTGTTAATGTATATGTTTGCTCACCTGTATTTCATGTGTTGATTTGCCAGTTTGTCTTACCTCTTTGGCCTAGAAGTGAGAGGCTTTCTTTCTTTCTTTCTTTCTGTCTCTCTCGCTTGTATTAATTCATTCTCTTTCTCTGTTTTAGGCTGTGGATCTTCTGCTGACAGCGTTTTGCAAGAACGTCATGTCTGCATCGTATTTCCTCCCACCAGAGAGGTAAAATCACTCCTTATGTGCACATGTGGTTGGGGAAACATGTCAAAATCCCCCCATGCATTCATCGTTTGTTTGTTCCTTTGTGTTTCCTTGCAGGCAGGGGACCTGGGCTTCACTCTTTGCCAGAATGGTTTGCGGGCACCGCCAGGCCCTGCCCTCCTTGCTGAGCCGCCTTTGTCAACTTATTCACCATCAGGTGGGTTTAATGGGGCTCTCTTGTTTTACTTTGGCATCTGTGTCAAAAGAATGGCCACCAGGTTCAGGTCCCTTCTGCTGAGAAGGAAGACACAATCAAAACCTTCCTGACAGATGGCCATCCAGCCTCACATAGAATCTTAGGATCATAGCATTGGGAGGGACCCCATCCAGTCCAACCTCTTTCTTCCATAAAGCAGAACACAATCAAAGCTCTCTTTACAGATGGCTATGCAGTCTCTGTTTAAAAACACATATGATAGAATCATAGAAGCCTATAGTTGGAAGAGATCCCAAGGGCCATCCAGTCCAACCTCTGCCATAAAGGAGGACACCATTAGAGCTCTCCTGACAGATGGCCATCCAATCTCAGATTAAAGACCTACAAAGATGGATGGAGACACCATATTCATGTTTTGTGGCCATTTTCTAGAATCCTAGAGTTGGAAGGCGTTGGGTGAGTAGGCTTATTAACAAAAGACCCTCCTCATAAATGCACGGCAGTAGAAGCGTGATTCAGCTCCAGTAGTCCAAAGTGACAAAAAGAGCAAAAACACACAGACCAATGTTATCTCTTCCATAGGAGGGTTTTCTTTATAGCAAAATAATATGGTTGCACTATTTACAAAAACTAAGTGTCCATAACACAAAGAAAGTTCTTTATACTTCCTTCTTTGCTTCCATGATGAGCTTCTTTCTCATGCAGATAAACAGCTTTACTTTCGCAGGTGACTCATGGCGGTTTACAGCCAGCACCAAGACCAAAAAATACAATTAAAACATTAATATAAATATAAAACAAGTAAAAACAATATCAATAAAAATGTATATCATTAGAGTCTCCTTGTTAAAAACATTTTCCAGTCACGTCATCCAGTCGTTCCGTCTTCCTATGTCTGCTACATTGCATCTTGAAGACGTGGAACTTGAAGACGTGGTTGTTCCAGTGTGCCTTCCCGGAATAATGATCCCATAGCACTTTGTCCCCCCAAAGCACTTTATATTTTTATTAGGTCTGCTCGTATGTCTTCCACAAACGCTACTATCACCTTTTCGTCCATGCCTCAGCACTATTTCCAATTTTAATTTTTACATTTGGCCTTCCCACAGTTTTAATTGTAGGTTGTCTTATTGATAGTATTATATGTTATCATCTGTGTTTTATTTTTAATTGCTTGTATTGTTGTGATTATTGCTTGTATTGTTGTGTTTGGGCTCGGCCTCATGTAAGCCGCACCGAGTCCCTTGGGGAGATGGTAGCGGGGTACAAATAAAGTATTATTATTATTATTATTATTATTATTATTATTATTATCTGCAAATGCTTGCTCAAAAAGCCAAGTCTTGAGTATTTTTTTGGAATGTTAAAAAAGGAAGGGGCTGATCTGATATTCCTAGGGAGGGCGTTCTGTAGCCGAGGGGCCACCACTGAGAAGGCCCTGTCTCTCGTCCCTGCCAGACATACTTGTGACAAAGGCGGGATCGAGAGCAGGGCCTCCCCAGACGATCTTGAAGTCCTGGAAGGTTCATAAGGGGAGATGCATTCAGACAGGAAATAAGGTTGTTCTCTCCTCAATATGGCATCTTTCCAAATTTTTAAACATATCTAGCTACCTAAACCACTTCTCATAAGACTTGGCTTTCAGACCATTTGGTGGCCCTTCTCTTGACTCCTTCCATCTTGTCCATCTCTTTCTTGAATTGTTTTGCCTAGAACTGGACACAGGGTTATTATTCCAAGTAAGATCTGACCAAAGTAGAAGAGACTGGGACTATGATTTTTCCATCTAAACCAGGCATGGGCAAACTTTGGCCCTCCAGGTGTTTTGGACTTCAACTCCCACAATTCCTAACAGCCGATAGGCTGTTAGGAATTGTGGGAGTTGAAGTCCAAAACACCTGGAGGGCCAAAGTTTGCCCATTCCTGGTCTAGACATTGCTCGTGACTGATATCCTCAAAGGAGAATGCCTTTCAGTCCTAAGAAAGCCATATTGCGTTTGTCTCTAATTTGCAGGGTTCTTCTCTCAGGGACTCTCACATCATTGGCTTGGCTGTCTTCGTGGTTCACTTAAACGAAGCCAAAGCGTCCATCCCTGCCATTGACCTCTGCTCTTCTCTGGCCCCTTCCTGCGCTTCCATGAGAGGCCTTTCTGTAACTCAACTCTGGGATTACTTTTTGGATTGCCAGGCAGGAGAGTCTGTCACCTTCTGCATGAAGTAAACTTCTTATTCTCTGGATTATATCCCCGTCCTTTAGAAAATGAAAACCCCTTGCCTTGGGCTTAAATGAAATATTTGCAAGGGGCCTGATGCAACTTCAGAGAAGTAACACTTTTCCCTTCTTTATCTATAGGTTTTGTGTTGTGGCATTGTCTTACTTCCTCTGCAAGTTTGGCTCCCTTCCCCATGACACCTTATGCTCCTTGCTTCATCCTGGTTTTGTGAAAAAGGTAACTTTTTTGTTTCTCTTTGAACGAACCACAGTTTTCTTGCATCTTGTGACGCAAGTGTCTTTTTGTGTGCTTGAGGCTTGATCAATCCACTTTGAAACTTTTGTTCCAGGTTTCAGGATGTGTGTTCTTTTTAATGTTATGGCACTTAAACACGTCGTTGTTGTTTAAGAGAGAAGTAAATGCTAACAACAACGATTTATGGATTTATGCTCAGTCCATTTCAACTATGAATTTAAACTATGACCAGAGGAGTCAGCCATAGCAGAGCACCTGATGAACCAACCTGCATGCAGCATATTATTTGAGAACACAGAAATGCTGGACCACTCTCACAATCACCATGTCAGACTACACAGGGAAGCCATTGAAATCCACAAGCATGTGGACAATTTCAACAGAAAGGAGGAAACCATGAAAATGAACAAAATTTGGCTACCAGTATTGAAAAACTCTAAAATTACAACAGCAAAACAGCAGAGGGAAAACAATCAGTGTCATCTAATCACCTCCCAACAAAACATTGCTCCAGGTACTGCCAGGCCATCAAATTAGCATCAAATGCTAATCAAGGTGGTCAGTTGAAACATTCACACCTAGCTCCAGCAGACAAGAGTCCTTTGTCTCACTCTGGTCATTCCACAGATATATAAACCCTTTTCCTAGTTCCAACAGACCTCACTACCTCTGAGGATGCTTGCCATAGATGCAGGCGAAACGTCAGGAGAGAATGCCTCTAGAACATGGCCATATAGCCCGAAAAAACCTACAACAACCCAGTGATTCCGGCCATGAAAGCCTTCGACAATACATATGAATTTAAAACTCACGTCCTGTGCTTATTGTGTTTTAATCTTTGTTTCCTGTATTTTAATATATGTAGTTCATAGCAGCAACAACAACATTTTATTATGGTCCAAAGACCCTTATTGCACCATAGGTGTACAAGGTATGCAAGTAATGAGATTTAGAAACTCCGGTTGATTAAACACACAAATGGATAAAATTTACAACAGTTGAAAACTCCTTTAAATACTTGTTGGCTAAAAACATAGGTAGAGTAGAGTCTCGCTTATCCGACCTCCTCTTATGCAACGTTCTGTCTTATCCGACACCCCCCTTTTCCTCCAGTAATGAACCAGATCCTAAACTGAAAACTCTGATCTTGAGCCAGTATTTAAGTGCCCACCACCAGGCAGTTATTGACAGAGGTGCTTCATAGAAATATGGTTTAATCTATGTATTTTGCATAATTTTTAGGATAAGATCTTTTAAACAATGCTGTGCCCATCCTCAAGCTGCGAGGAGAGGCGAGTAAGAAATATAATAATAATAATAATAATAATAATAATAATAATAATAATTCTTATTATTGTTTTATTTCTTCTTATTTATTATTTTCCTCTTATAATAAAATATTTTATTTCTAAGTTTGGCTAGAAGAAATAATAATAATAATTCTTTTTGTTTTATTTCTTCTTTATTATTTTTATTATTATTTCTTATTATTATTATTTATTTCTTACTATTTCTTCTTAATATTTATTATTATTTCCTCATATATTGTTGATTATTATTATTTCCTCTTATTTGTTATTTCCTCTTATTTATTTATTTATTTATTTTTTCTTATATTTGTTGTTGTTGTTCTTCTTCAGCTTGGATAAAAGAGAAGGGATGGAAGATATTTTTAAAAAGATAGCCAGGATTGTTACCTCAAATGCAGGGCTGGAATGGAATATAGTTGGTGTCAAAACTGTATATACTTCCTCCTTTCTTGAGCGTTTTGGACCGTTGATCTTTAGATCTGTGTGCTAAGTAGCCTTCAAAGGCCTCTTGCTCCTCTTCTTTTGCAGCTTCAGTACGTTGTGCCCCTTCTTTGTTCAGAAGCCCGAAATACAAGCTGGGAAGGGAGCATGGATGATGACCTTCTGTGGAAAATCTTATCCCTGCCCAACCTCTGCTACTCGAAAGCTGCCTTATGCTTATGGAAGCATCCCCTTTTCAAAGAACTGTTGCAGGAGAAAGCCTTCCAGGTAAATACTGAGCGTGTGACTTGGTCCAGGTACTAGTTTCCACTTTTTAATCTGTCATCAAAAAGTCTTTCCTCCAGAATGGTCTGCTTGCTTCCAGAAGGATAGCAGAGAGATCCCTGGTTGAGCCTCTGTGTCAAGAAGGCTCCATCAAAGGCCTTCTTGATGGAACCTGGGAGACTCCATCAAGAAGGCCCTGTCTCTGAATCTCCCTTCCTTCCTTCCTCCTTCCAGCTGACGTTCCAAGAATGGCTCCTGGTGGAATTGGCAGTCCCTTCTGATGAAGACGTTCTTTCTGCTGCTGAGAGGTGAGGGCTTGCCTTTGACTCCCTCTGAATCTGAGACAGTGTGACTTTTCGGGCCAGTGACCCAGAAGTGGGGTTTTCTCTGCTTCTGTTTGCAGGCAGGAGTTCCATTACTGGGCTCTGTACCAGCACTTCCTTCCTCTGCCTGCCGCCAATGGAGGTTGCGAGGGAGACCTGAGAGAGGCCTGCGCCGTTCTCCTTGACGCCATCTTGGATTTTGGCCAGAGAGGCTCAGCAATACATACATCAAGGTCTGAGTTGCTTATGCAAATGTCTTTGAGAGCAAAGCAAAGCAAGCAATCTGGTGTAGGCATGGACAAACTTTGGCCCTTCAAGTGTTTTGGAGTGTTATATTTCCATGTAAAATATGAAGTTGTTGGGACTCAGCCTGTGATTGAACCTGAGCCTGTGCTTGAACCTGTGAATTTGTTTCAGTCTTCTGATGTTTCTGTGTCTAATGTGGGTAATGAGGAGAGAAACCAGTCCCCTGTTGCTTCTGATGTGGGGGATGCTGTGAGTGACTTTGAGGTGCAAGATGGAGACACTTTGGTCAATGAGTTTCATGCAGACACTGTCAGAGAGGTTTCGGTGCAAAGGGCAGATTCTCATGAGAATGTTTCTGTCAGGCCTTGGGAGGAAGGGTTACTCCCTCCATTTGTGAGCTCTCCAGATTCTAGTTTGGAAAACAGTCTGGCACCTGCTAAAGTTAATGAGGAGTCAGGTAAGCAGAGTCGGTGGCTGGAGATTAGCCAGAATTAACAAGAGGCCTAATGTTTACGTAGATCCGAAAGAATTCATCAATTAAAGTCAAAAACTGTGGGAAAACGAAACCAGTTTTTGGGATTTAAGGTTTGCCTGTAGAAAATCTTGTCAGATCAGGCATCGTTTGGAAACCAAGTTCTTGTGCCATGGAAGCCTTGTTCAAGGGATCTTGTTTCTGTGGAGTTTTTTTAGCCTTTTGAATTGTCTTTGCATCCTTCTTGATTCCTGTCTGGATTAATGCAGCCTTGGATTGCCTGTATTTCTTGTGTGGACATTGCTTTGGGTTACTATTATTTATGGACTAATACTTTTTTGAACCTTCTGATTTTCTTACAAGCATTTATTTCTTCTGGCTATTTACTAAGCTTTAATAAAAGAAGATTTGATTCTTCACTCTTTGTGTGGTGTGTTTTAAGTCAGAGAGCTTCTTCTGGACCTGGAGTGCAACAGAAGTCCTCCTTCTTCCCATTCTACCCCTAAAAACCATTTTACGAAAAGATTGATGTTATCGGTTATATGTAATCATTTAGTGGAATACAATAGACATTAGGGCAGCTGCAGCCTATTTTCTGAGATGTTCCCAATGCATTCCTGTTTGATGCCACCATAGACCTATCCTCCTGCCTTTTTTTCAAATTCTAGGTCTGAGTTTGGAAAGTGTAACCATCCACATAACCCCAAATGTTCCACATTCCAGAGGAGAGGGAACCATGATATCTACGCCAGATTGCAGGTGACTTAGATCTGCATGCAGTACTCTCCCGGGACTTGTATTGTGCCATTTGGTGCCATCCGTGAAGCCATGTCTCCGAGTGCAGACCACTGTGACACACTTAATTTCCAATCCTCCATACAAGGCTGTCTTTTAAGGGCCAAGGGTTGGAAATGAAATGTAATAATGAGTATGCAAACTTACCAGGAGCAGGGAGACATTGCAGTAAAATGGTCTCTTGAGGAGTTTGCTTGGTCCTCCAAATTGATTCTGTGGTTGGCTTCTCCCAGAAGTGACCAGGTTCACACTGGAGGATGGAGCAGATACCCTTCTAGGACTTTCAGCACAACTCTAGTTTGCTGGGACAAAAATCAGATAAATTGATGGTGTTGAGGCATAGCTATGATTTTGGATGATGATGATGATGATGATGATGATACCCATATTGACTCGAGTCTCATGTCTCTTATATATATAAGTTTTGGATAGCATTGGGAATGGTGTTTCCTTTGCTGCCCTGTCTGGAAGATTTCACCTCACTTTCTATCCCTGTGAGAATTGGATTTTGAAAAAATGGCTTGTTGTGGAAACTAGGATTGGTGAGAAAGCTTCATTGGAGACCCCTTTCCCCCGAGGGAAGTGGATTTCCCTTCCTTCCGAGGATTAGATTTCCCCTCACTTCCTGTTTGTAACTGTGAATCTTATGTAAGTCGGATTCTGTAACTTGGAGACTGCTTGTCATTGAAGCTTCCAAACTTGGTCCAGGTGTTGCCCAGTGCACAGCATTGCATTGCAGAAGTCCCAACCTTAAGGTGACCAGCGCACAGTGACCATCCATCTCTGTCAGGTTCTCTGACTTTTGCATTCTCTGTGAGTGCAGGGCTCCCAGTATTAAATAACTATAATCAGGACAGTAAATAAAGAACAACACTTAAAAACAGGAGAAACAGTCAGGGCCACCTAACATCTCCCAACAAAGGATTCTCCCAGGCATTAAGCAGCCAAACCTTGAAACTGCAAAACCATTAAATGCTAATCAAGGTGGCCAATTGCAACATTCTTACCTGCCTCAAGCAGACAAGAGTTCTTTCACCCTGGACATTATTCTACAGATATATAAACTTCCCTTGCTTAGTTTCCAATATACCTCACAACCTCCGAGGATGCCTGCCATAGATGCAGTTGAAACATCAGGAGAGAATGCTTCTGGAACATGGTCAGACACCCGGAAAACTTACAGCACCCCAGGTCTCCTCCTGTTTTGCTCATTGCCCCAGTCTTGATCTTGGGTTTCTTGCTGCATGGAGACAGAGGTGGCTCGTGTCAGTGCAGAATAACCCATCCTCCATTGCCTTGCTTGCAGGAGATGTTGTTGCAGCTGGAGCTGGAGCGCAGGAGAGCCTGGCCTGCGTCCAGCGGCAAAGAGGAACCCCTCTTGTTCCGGGTTTTCCAGAAGAGGCTCAAAGGCCTGAAGAGTGGGATAGCAGTCGGGGAAAAGATGCACCGGCAGCAAGAACTGTTCCTTCAAACCAGGTGAAGACACACTAGCTGCAAGGGACACTTTACACTGCTGTGTAATCCAGTTTCTGAGTCTAGATTATCTGGTTGAACTGAATTATGTGGCAGTGTAGACTAATATAATCCATTTCAAAGCATATAGTCTGGATTCAGAAACTGGATTATATAAAAATGTATGTCCTGGACTGCAGATCCCTAGGATGAAATGTTCAGGTGGAATCTCCTTGTAGCTTGAAGCCATTGTTCCATTGCGTCCTAGTCTCCAGGGAAGCAGAAAACAAGTCCACTCCTTCCTCCCTGTGGCTTCCTCTCACATATTTATATATGGCTATCATGTCTCCTCTCAGACGTCTCTTCAGGTTAAATATTCCCAGCTCTTTAAGCCGCTCCTCATAGGGCTTGTTCTCCAGACCCTTGATCGTTTTGGTCGCCCTCCTCTGGACACATTCCAGCTTGTCAATATCTCCCTTCAATTGTGGTGCCCAGAATTGGACACAATATTCCAGGTGTGGTCTTACCAAGGCAGAATAGAGCATGGGTAGCATGACTTCCCTGGATCTAGACACTAGACTCCTATTGATGCAGGCCAAAATCCCATTGGCTTATTTTGCCGCCGCGTCACATTGTTGGTCCAGTGAATGAAAATACATCCTGCATATCAGATATTTACATTACATTTCATAACAGGAGCTAAATGGCATTTATGAAGTAGCAACGAAAATAATGTTATGGTTGGGGGTCACCACAACATGAGGAACTGTATTCAGGGGTGGCGGCATTAGGACAGTTGAGAAACACTGGTGTAGATCCATCCTTAGAAGTAGGGCTAAAGGCTCATGGAGGCTATAGGATGGCAACAGAAGGGGAGGAGGAGAGGATCTGATCAGGTTAGAATCCGATCACGGAATAGAAAAGTACCTCAAAGGCCATCTAGTCCATCCCCTTTCTACCACGTAGGAATTCTCAAGTATCACTGACAAATGGCTACCCAAGACCTCCAACAGAAGGAGAGCTCACTGCGGCCTCAAGGATCCGTTCTACTGTCTAACTACTTTCACAGCTATTAGGAATCTGCTTTTGTATCATCTTGGTCATCAAACCCAAAACTGTAGTGCTGGCTACTTCATATCACTTCTCAGCGGCTTCTGTACAAGCTTGACACAACATTTGGTTTCAAGACCTTCCACCATGTTGGACGTCCTTCAGCATATTGATAGCCTTCTTAAATATGGGGATAATCAAGTAGCTAAACATGGCCCTATTTCTGCCTGTTTATTTAGCTTGCTGCTGAAAGCTGGAGAAACCAAATAAAGTCTGCAGGGAGCTAAACATCGTTCCATTAAGTTATACCGAGTATAGTTTTGTTCTGAGAATTATTGATTGGCTTTAAAAAATTAATGTCATTCTTGTTGTTCAGGATTCTTTTGGGTCTCCCTCCATCTGTTCTCATTGCAATGCGGCAGAAAGGCAAGGAAGTGGCTCTGGACTGTGAAGACTTCTTCGGTTTTGTCAACACAGAACTGGTAAGCAGCCTTTCCTCGAAGTCAGGTGAAGCTTGGGGAACAGCCTCAGTTGCATCTCAATGCGAGGCCACTTCTAATGTCCCCAACTACAAAGCCCAGGGTTTCATTGGATGAGCCCATGGCAGTTAAATCCCTCTGTTGAGAGAGACCCAAGTCTTAGAAGGGGACAAGGGACACCTATTTAATTTGATTTAATTTTATTAACAAATAGCAATAGTATGAAGAATAGTTTGACCAAATAAATAGCCTTAGTCTTTAGTGGAAATATCCCAGACTGGAAGTATCTATGTTGTTGCTTATGATGCTTGTTTTATTGTTTATGATGTTATTCTTATGTTGTTTTAATATTTTATTGTTTTGTTTTTAATTGTATGTTGCCTTGGGCATGGCACCATGTAAGCTGCCCCAAGTGCCTTCAGGGAGATGGAGGCGGGGTACAAAAATAAAGTCCTTCTTCTTCTTCTCCTCCTCCTCCTCCTCCTGTTCCTCCTCCTGTTGTTCCTCCTCCCCCCTCCTCCCCCTCCTCCCCCTCCTCCTCCCCCTCCTCCTCCTCCCCCTCCTCCTTATACTTCTCCTCCTTCGCCTCCTTCTCTTCCTCCTCTTCCTTCTCCTTCTCCTCCTTTGCCTCCTTCTCTTCCTCCTTCTCCTCCTTCGCCTCCTTCTCTTCGTCCTTCTCGTCCTTCGCCTCCTCCTCTTCCTTCTCCTCCTCCTCCTCTTCCTCCTCCTGCTTTAAGTCCTGCCTTGGGAGTTTATTACCTGGATTTCTCAGGAATACATTTCCTCTTCTCCCCATCCCAGTTCCATACTAATAGGCTTTCCTTTCTTTTTTTGGGTGTTTTCACAGAGGAATGTCTGCTCCAGAGGCTGTACGCTATCTTTCGACATCACTGCACATTTCTTCAGGGTAATCTATATAGACAAAAGTCCAAGTATGTATGTATGTATGTTTGTACCACAAAGGCTCTTGCTAGTTGAAGCGGACCTACACTATTATATTGGCTGTTGCTAGGGGCAAGTGGCCCCTCTGTGATGTCACTAGGAAAGAGAGGTGGCCTGTCTTTGAGGAGAAGGGAGGAAGGAAGGAAGGAAGGAAGGAAGGAAGGAAGGAAGGAAGGAAGGAAGGGAAGAGCCATGTTGCCATGGAGACATTGTGTGGTGGGCCTTCTCAGACCTAGTGAAGGGAGAAAGTTGGTGGGGAAGGAAGGAAGGAAGAAAGAAAAAGGGAAGGAATGGAGAGAAAAGAAAGAGGAAAGGTATGAGAGGAGGAAAGACAAAAGAAGGGATGAAAGTAGGGATGTAGCAGAAGACAGTTCCATCTTGTCTTTACTAATAATATAATATAGTATTTATAATATTATAATTATAGTATTTATAATATTATAATGTAATACAATATAATACTAGTAATAATAATACAATATTATAATTATAATTATATATTTACATTACATGTAGTCTTACTAATAATATTACAATATTATGGTATAGTGCAGTATAATAATATATAATACTGATATTGTACTATGCTAATAATATAATATATTGTATGAAAATATATCTTGCAAGCCATTCTGAGTCCCCTTCGGGGTGAGAAGGGCGACATATAAATGCCGTAAATAATTCATAAATAAATAAATAAATGTATTTTGGACTGTAAGCCTTTGGCATGACTTTGGGGTACAGGTCCATTGGTGCCAATGAGTCCCAAATGGAGCACAAACCCTTTCTCTTGCTGTCCTTCCAGGGCCTTCTGAGTGCCAGTTTGGAGTGTGACAAACCGGCTCAAGAAGTGACAGCTTTGCTCACTCTGTGCCAAACCAGGTGTCCCATCATCCTTTGTTCTGCAGCTGTAAGTTTGGGTGGACTGATGAGAGGCTTCAGAACCCACAGAAGTGGGGTCGAGAAGCAGCTTACAGGTACATTTGGCCCACCTTTGATACAAATGAGCCCCCTTTTTGACACAAGGCTGACTGGTGTGCTCTCTTTCCTCTTTCTGCAAAGCGGTGGTGGTCGAGGCTGGAGTCGGTGCTTTGCTCAGAATGGAAGAGGCTCATCGATGCTTCCTTGGCAAAAGGATTGCAAAACCTTAGGGCCCTGCAGGCTTCTGTCAGCAGGTAAGGCCAGGCATACTATTAAAAGAATCTGTAGCATCCTGTGTATCTGTCTTCAACAATTCTTGGTCTTTACAAGACCACAGTGAACCTAAGACTCTGTTTGCAAAGCCACCACTGAACCACGGCCTTGTCCCATAAGAAACCCAAGCCACAAGAAAACACACTTAAGATGGCACACTGTGTTGCCTTTCCTCCTAGCTTCCTCTCCTCAGAAGCAGCTTTCCTGATGGCTGACATTCCCTGGCTTTCTGCTGCCTTCCTGCATTTCACTCTTCAGCAGCAGCAAACAATGCCTGAAAGGATGGGAAAGATGCTGGAAAGACTGGGACATGGAGCAGAACAAGTAAGAGGCCATATTGGGTCAGATTGTTGTTGTTGTTGTTAATATTATTCCCTTTCAACAGGGCAGCCATTTCTTGTTGTTATCATCATCATTATTACTGACAAAAAAGCAGAGTATGTCACAGCAAACGAGATCTATATGCTGGATTTCGTATCACAAAATCACAAGTCGAACACTTCCCAAGCGTCTAGGACTGTGTGATGTATTTTCGAATGATGCGCGCAGATCCAAGTAAGGTGGTCTTTTGCAGTTGACAGATCGTGATTTTGTCGATGTTTATTGTTTCCAAATGCCAGCTGAGATCTTTTGGCACGGCACCCAGTGCACCAATGACCACTGAGACCACCTGTACTGGTTTATGCCAGAGCCTTTGCAGTTCGATTTTGAGGTCTTGATAACGGCTGAGTTTTTCCTGTTGTTTTTCCTCAATGCGACTGTCACCTGGCATGGCGACATCAATAATCCAGACTTTTTTCTTTTCCACAATCGTGATGTCTGGTGTATTGTGTTCCACAACTTTGTCAGTCTGGATTCGAAAGTCCCGCAGTATTTTTGCATGTTCATTTTCCACAACCTTTGCGGGTTTATGATCCCACCAATTCTTTGCTGCTGGCAGGTGGTACTTGTGACATAAGTTCCAGTGAATCATCTGGGCCAAAGAGTTGTGTCTTCGTTTGTCCATCTATGCGATTTTCTTGCAACAGCTGAGGATATGGTCCATGGTTTCATCAGCTTCCTTGCACAGTCTGCATTTTGGGTCATCCGCTGATTTTTCAATCCTGGCCTTAATTGCATTGGTTCTGATGGCTTGCAACTGGGCTGCAAGAATCAGGCCTTCTGTCTCCTTCTTCAGGGTTCCATTTGTGAGCCATAACCAGGTCTTCTCCTTGTTAACTTCTCCATCAATTTTGTCAAGGAACTGCCTATGCAATGCTTTGTTGTGCCAGCTGTCAGCTCTGGTTTGGAGTGCAGTTTTCTTGTATTGACTCTTTGTCTGCTGTGCTTTGAGAAGTTTCCGATTATTGACTTCAATTAAAGCAGGTTCTCGGCTTTCCTTGACATATTCAGCCAGGGCGTGTTTTCCTTCTTCGACTGCTTGTTTTACTTGTAAAAGTCCTCTGCCACCAGACTTTCTAGGCAGATAGAGCCGGTCAACATCACAGCTCTCAGCATCCTTGGAGCAGTTAAGCTCCCCACCATGACAAGGTGGCACCCATCGGGGGGGGGGGGATTATTATTATTATTATTATTATTATTATTATTAGAAACACAACAAGATTAGTACACAGCAAACAAGATCACTCTGCTGGCTGTTGTATTGGATCACACGTTGGACATTTCCCAAGTGTCTAGGACTGTGTGATGTATTGGCAAATAATGCATGCCGATTATTATTATTTATTCCCTCTCAACAGGGCAGCCATTTGGAGCCTGAGTCACATGCAGCCATAAGGAAGAGTTGTGTGTGTCTCCAATATAGAGGGAAATTTGCATCTGCTGGTCTAATCTAGACTAATCTAATCAATTGGACGTTGAATTTCTAACTGTAATAGCTTTTGTGGTGTGTGTCTCTGCACAGCTCCTGGTGTCCCTCCTCTTCTTCTCTATGATGGATATCATCTCAGCGAGAATAGCCCCGCAAGTGAGTGCCATTTTCAAGCTGGTTGTATTACAGAAATAAGGGAAGCCTCATTGTCCTCAGTTTGGCAATACATATCCTGACAAGGCTGCTTTTATATGTAACTAACGGTGCCCAGGTTAGGGATTCTGTAGTTACGTATAATTACTAGAAATAGTTATTCTTTGGTTTTGGGTTTTTTGAATGGTCCCAATAGTGCATATGACTCTCTGGGTAAAGGATACACATCAGTGTTTGGATGTGGGTGGACTACAGCTCCCATTGTCCTAACACAGCGATTCTCAACCTTTGGCGACTCCTGAGGGGCCAAATACCATCAGACAGCAGAGTATTTTCTGTTGGTCGTGGAGGTTCTGTGTGGGAAGTTTGGCCCAATTCGATCATTGGTGGGGATCAGGATGCTCTTTGATTGTAAGTGAACTATAAATCCCAGCAACGACAACCCCCAAATGTCAAGGTGCATTTTCTCCAAACTCCACCAGTGTTCACATTTGGCCATATTGAGTATCCGTGCCAAGTTTGGTCCACAGTGCTCTCTGGATATAGATGAACTATAGCTCCATAACTCAAGGTCAATGCCGACCAAATCCATCTAGTATTTTCTGTTAGTCATGGGAGTTCTGTGTGCCAATTTTGGTTCAATTCCATCATTGGTGAAGTTCAGAATCCTCTTTGATTGTAGCTAAACTATAAATCCCAGCAACTACAACTCCCAAATGAGAAAATCAATCCTCCCAAACCCACCAGTATTCAAATTTGTGCGTATCTAGTATTTGTGCCAAATTTGGTTTTATTGCTTTGCAGGAAGGAGTGGATTCTCAAAAGGCCACCGACTGGAGCCTGGCGGTGTTTCAGCATTTGAACAAACAAAACATACACTGGCTGTCAATCTTCACTTCAACATGGCCAGGTGCAAATGCCTCTCCATCTTATGGCATATCTCTATGTGCCACCAGTGGCAGCATTAAAATATGTGCTTTGTGGTCTTTCTTGTCTTTTTTGGTATTACAGCTCAGGGCCCTGAACAGATCCTTCACAGTGCTGCGTCGGATCAACATTTGAAGCTAATGCCCATTGCGTTTTACAGGTAAACTTCAGATGATTATAGAGCTAAATCCCAAGCATTGGGAACTTGTCCAAGGAATTTGCGACACCAGTGTTGAAGCAGCCCAGCTTTGCTGAACTGGTCCCTTTCCTTTTAAAAGAGATGCTGTTTTTTCCATTCCCAGTTTCCTTGCAGGCATCTTTTTAGGAAAGTGTTTCTCAACCTGGGGGTCGGGATCCCGGGGGGGGGGGGTCGTGAAGGGGGTTTCAGAGAACTACAACTCCAAAACTCAAGGTCAATGACCACCAAACCCTTCCAGTATTTTCTGTTGGTCATGGGAGTTTTGTGTGGCAAGTTTGGTTCAATTCCATTGTTGGTGGAGTTCAGAATGCTCTTTGATTGTAAGTAAACTATAAATCCCAGCAATGACACCTCCCAAATGACAAAATCAACCCCCCCACCTCACCAAATATGGGAGTATCATGTATTTGTGCTAAATTTTGTCCAGTGAATGAAAATACATCCTGCATATCAGATATTTACATGACAATTCATAACAGTAGCAAAATTACAGTTATGAAGTAGCAACAAAAATAATTTTAGGGTTGGGGGACAACACAGGATGAGGAACTGTATTAAGGGGTCGTGGCATTAGGAAGGTTGCAAAACACTCATCTAAGCAGTTGTTGTGACTCAGCTGGAACCACAGAGTGCCTCTGATGAGGATGATGGGATTCAGGATCACAATCTGGTTCAAAATGTCCCTGTTATAGTCAATGAGGAACAGGGTGTGGAAGTTCAGTTTCCCACCGCAAGAAATGAGTTTGTTGATACTGAAACTATCCAGGTGCAGTGCAAATTGACTCAGAAAAGGAGGGCAGTTCTCAGCCTGATAATGAGCAGGAAGGCAAACTGGATAACACTAACAAACAGACTGACTTTGACGAAACGGGAACCTTAGATCAAGCTGACCGTTTGGAATTCAGAGTTCGAAGGAGTGTGAGAATAGCTAACAAGAAGGAGGTCAGAGGCCAAAGAAACGCCTTCATGTTTTGCAAAGGGTATTAAGCTGTGTGTTTGGGACCAAACCTTTGTCAGAGCAACTTTTCTTTTAACCAAGAAGCTTGCATTTTGCTTGTTTGGATTGCCTTGCAGTTCTTGTGTTCATGGTTTCAAGACTCAGTCATGTTCTCATGGGATTTTGCTTTGCTGGTGTCTTTTTGGATTCTGCTTCATAGTGTTATTTTATATTGAACTTTCGGAACATTCCTTTTGCTTTTAAGAACTTTTTATCTTTTACTTTTTAATAAACCATAAAGTCTTTTGGCTGTGTGCAGTTTGGTGTTTTCAGCAAGGTGAACCTACTCTGAGGTGCGACAGCAGTATACTATTGACGCAGCCTAGAATCACATTGGCTTTTTAAGAGACTCATTGGCCACTTCCTCTCTCCTTCTCTCCAGCCTCCTCTCCGCCTTCGACTCAAGCCAACTGACCACAGATCCCAACTTCCTGTATGTGGCTGTTGACCAGTACACCCAGTTGGTGCAGCTCTTTATGGAGGGGACAACAGAAATGGCACCAAGTCTGAGAGAGCCAAGCCTGTGCGCCATGGAGCCTGTGAGTGAGCCACTCTCATCTACCCTATTCACTTGAGTCTAATGCTCACCTTTTTGGGCTAAATGACTAAATAAATCTCGCCAGAAGTAGGGTGCACATTCAATTTGCAAAAATACGATCATCTTAGTGCTGAGCCAAAGCAAAGGGGGAAGCTGCTTCAGGAGCTGCACTTGCAGCTCCTCTTTGAGACATGACATTTTTAATTTAGCTGTTATTTATTTATCTCATATACTTATACCCGGCCCTTCTCACCCCCAGAGGCGGACTCAGGGCGGCCTCACAGCAAACACCATTCTGTGCCATCATAATGATAAGAACAATCAATAAATTCATTAAAACAAAACATTAAATAAAACACGCCAATTGAAGTCTGGGTCAATTCATTGTCAGTTCGAAATTGCTTATGCCTTCTTCATACAAGTCGCTGTCCAATGGTCAAATGCGAGGTCCCACAGCCAAGTTTTGAGGACAGGATGGAGGTGGCCAGTCTGATGTCTTTAGGGAGGTAATTCCACAGACAGGGAGCCACTGTTGAGAAGGCCCTGTCTCTCGTCTCCACCAGTTGCATTTGATGGTGGGATCGAGAGCAGGGCCTCTCTAGATGATCTTAAACTTTGTGATGATTCATAGTAGGAGATACGTTCGGACATGTAGTCTGGGCCAGAACCGTTTAGGGCTTTGAAGGTTAAAACCAGCACTTTGAATTGTGCTCGGTAGCAATTAGGCAACCAGTGGAGCTGGCATAACAGAGGAGTTGTATGCTCCCTGTACACCACTCCAGTGAGTAACCTGGCTGCCGACCGTTGGACTAATTGAAGCTTCCGGGCAGTATTCAAAGGCAGCCCCATGTAGAGCACATTGCAGTAGTCCAATCGGGATGTAGCAAGAGTGTGGACCACCGTGGCCAAGTCAGACTTCACTTTATATTTTGTGTTTATTTTATTGTATCATTTTGTTATGGTTTAGCATTTTATTTGATGTTATGCATTTTATTTGATGTTATTGTCCGTTATATGTATTTATTTCGCCTTATTGTAATTTTGGGGCGTGGCGTCATGTTAGCCGGCCCAAATCCCTTCGAGGAGATGGTGGCAGGGTATAAATAAAGTTTTTTATTATTATGCAGTCATGCTGGCCACATGACCTTGGAGGTGTCTATGGACAACGCTGGCTGATGAGCACCAACATCTAGAGTTGGACACGACTGGACTTAATGTCAGGGGACAACCTTTAGAGTCCACAGCAGACAAGGTCACACGTGTATTGGATCACACTTCCCAAATGTCTAGGACTGTCATGTATTGGCGAATAATGCGTGCAGATCCCAGTGGCCTTCTGCAGCTGGCCGATGATAATTTTGTCCGCGCCGATTGTGTTTAAGTGCAGGCCAAGGTCTTTAGGCACTGCACTCAGTGTGCAGATCACCACTGGGACCACCTTTACTGTCTTCGGAAGTTCGATCTTTAAATCCTCACATCGTATCAGCTTTTTCAGTTGTTTCTCTTCAATCCTGCTGTGACCTGGGATTGCAACAGTGATGATGCATACATTATTATTATTATTATTATTATTATTATTATTATTAAAATAATGCTTCGTGAATTGTTGTCTGGAGGGTGTCGCACTACAGGCAATTCCACTCATTAACTGTGTCACTACATACTGAGGCCTACCTTTTATTGCATTTCTCATGTTTGGAGTTTAGGATTTGGACTGCAACTCCTATCATTCCACGCCTTTTTAGGGCTGGGAGCAAAATCTGGAAAGCTGCACTTAGGTCATGCGGGATTGGAAGATTCAGAGAAATAAGAGAATGCACAAAAAAGTACAGACTTACTACAAAAGAGACAAAACTTCAGTTCCTGAGTATACTAAATCTATCAAATATTGGAAGAATTAGGGAAGGCCTTGAATTAGGGCTTGAACCGAGCCTTGTTTTCCCAGGAGGAGCCATTGGCGCTGATCAGAATGGCACGCCAGTTCCTGCTCCATCTCATCCCCCGGTGCCCGCAAGGAAGCTTTGCCAACCTTCAACAGGTATTATTATGATTGCTATCAATATTATTATATGTATATATATCCTGCATTTTCTCAACTAAACACTTCAAACCACAATGGGTGAGTTTGACGATTTTTTTTTCTTTTTTGCCAGTTTTAAACTCCAAAACATGGAGGCGGCCTAGTTATAAGCCTTTTGTCCTACTGAATGTAAATACTGCAGGACATACAACAAGTGGCCCCCTCATCACTTTTTCGACATTTCCTCTGCAGACTCTGTCCCCCACAACCGAGTGCATCCACACTGTAGCTACTATGGCTCAGTGCTAGGGAATCCTCGGAGTTGTAGTTCCTCAAGGTCCTTAGCCTTATGTTCTTGTAGCTTGCCAAGCTACAACTCCCAGGATGCCATCGCATAGAGCTGTGGAAATTAAAAGTGGTATCATACTGCATTAATTCAAAGTCAGAGAAGGCTATAGACCTTGGAAAACTACAACTTCCATGATCCCGTCACATTGAGCCATGGCAGCTAAAAGTGGTCTCAAACTGCCTTCAGTGGTTCCCAACCTTTGGGCCTCCAGGTGTTTTGGACTTCAACTCCCAGAAATCTCAGCCATCTTACCAGCAGTTAGGAGAGTGACCATATATTCCAGTCCTGTTGTTTCACCTACACTGTTTCCCTCATACTGCACTTTCCCCCACCTTATTGAAAGTCTAATTCCACTGTTCAGTCTCCTATGAGCTCCTCCCCCACAAATGTACCTTTTCATTGCTATCTCATCCAGTGTTTTATCATTTTATGTTGTGTATTTGGCCCACCCACTGTGTTCTATTTTCCATTATGTTATTTTGTACTGTTTATTTTACTTATTAATTTTATTGTGACATTATTTTGTTGTTTATATTTTATGTTGCTGTAATCTATCGCTTGGCCTGGCCTCATGTAAACTGCTCCGAGTCCCCTTTGGGGAGATGGTGGCGGGGTATAAATAAAGTTTATTATAATTATTTGAAATACCACAAGATCTGTCCACAGCAGACACTCTGCTGGCTGTTTTATTGGATCACACGTCGGACACTTCCCAAGTGTGATGTAGCGGCGAATAATGCGTGCAGATCTCAGTAAGGTGGCCTTTTGCAACTGGCAGATGGTAATTTTGTCAGCGCCGATTGTGTTTAAGTGCAGGCCAAGGTCTTTTGGCACTGCACCCAGTGTGCTGGTATTATTATTATTATTATTAGAAACACAACAAGATGAGTACACAGCAGACACTCTGCTGGCTGTTGAATTGGATCACATGTCAGACACTTCCTAAGTGTCTAGGACTGTGTGATGTATCAATAAATAATGCGTGCAGATCTCAGTAAGGTGGCCTTTTGTAGCTGGCAGATGGTACTCTTGTCAGCACTGACTGTGTTTAAGTGCAGGCCAAGGTCTTTAGGCACTGCACCCACTGTGCTGATCATCACTGGGACCACCTTTACTGGTTTGTGTCAAAGACTTTGAAGTTCGATTTTTAAATCCTCATATCGTGTCAGCTTTTCCAGTTGTTTCTCTGCAATCCTGCTGTCACCTGGGATTGCGACATCAACGATCCATACTTTGTTTTTTTAACACGAATGTGAGGTCAGGAGTATTATGCTCCAGAACTCTGTTTGTCTGAATCCAGAAGTCTCAGAGTAGCTTGACGTGTACATTCTCTGTAATTTTTTCCGACTTGTGATCCCACCAGTTTTTTTGTCGCAGACAGATGGTATTTGTGGCACAAGTTCCAATGGATCATCTGAGCAACGGTGTTATGCCTCTGCTTGTAGTCTGTCTGCACGATCTTCTTGCAGCAGCTGAGGACGTGATCTATTGTTTCATATGCTTCCTTGCAGAGTCTACACTTGGGATGTGTGGTTGACTTTTAAATTCTGGCTTTGATGGCATTAGTTCAAATGGCTTGTTCTTGGGCTGCCAGAATCAGGCCCTCCTTTGTCTCCTTTTTCAGAGTCCCATTTGTGAGCCACAGCCATGTTTTTTCTTTTGTCAACTTGGCTCTCATTTTTTGCCAGAAACTTTGTAATTTTGTGTTTAAGTGCAGGCCAAGGTCTTTAGGCACTGCACCCAGTGTGCTGATATTATTATTATTATTATTATTATTATTATTATTATTATTATTATTATTATTGGGAGTTGAAGTCCAAAACACCTGGAGGCCCAAAGATTGGGAAACACTGGGCCATCCAGAGAAGGCTACGGACCTTGGAAAACTACACACCCCAGGATGCCATTGCATTGAGCCGTGGCAGTTAAAATTGGTATCAAACGGCATTGTATTCCATGGTGTAGATGTACTCGGCTGTGGAACGCCCTTCCTACAGATACCAGATCGGCCCCCTCCCTGTTGGCGTTTCGGAGGAAAGTGAAGACCTGGCTGTTCGAACAAGCATTCGATTAAGCAGTGTAATTGAATATAGGAATATGGAATAATGGATGATGAGATTGGATTCTGATTTTACTGATGAGACACTAATTATTGTTATATTGATGCTTAATCGTTGATGATGCTACTGTTTTTAACTGTCCCATATTCGTTTTGTGATGTTTTTGCATTGAATTTTGCTGTTGTTAACAGCCTTGAGTCACCTGAGGGCTGATAAAAGCGGTATATAAATGAAGTAAATAAATAAATAAATACTACTTCCTGTTCATGCAGAGAGCAAACTGGGGGAGACCACCTGCATAAAAGTCAAATCCAGCAATTATTTGGTTTGTGTTGGGATGAAATCTAAACATTCAGCTCTTTCTAGAGTAAGAAAACATAAAATAGTTTGGGAAAAGTAGCTGATTTTGAACTGGTCCTGATTGTGTTCATTCCATCTCCCAGAAGAGACACTCAAAGAAAGGGACTTTTATTCTGCTTGTTTACAACCCCAGAGTCGGTTTTGCTCCAGGCAAGTAAATAGCCAATCCTTTTCCCCTTCCTTAGTTGCTGGATCTCTGTGGACTCCTGGACCCAGAGCTCAAGGCGGCCCTTGTGGATTTGGGGGGTCTCCTGGATGAAGAACCACTCCTCTTCTGATGGCTTTCGTTGGAAAACAAATAGCAAAATGGGCTGCACCTCACCTGTCCAAAGCTTCCCTGTGAATAATTTATTACAAGCATGGCTTTGTCACAATAAAAACCAGGTTCACAAAATGATCTGGTTTATGGTTTGTTTGTAGGTCTGGGATTTAGTTTAAAAGCAGGGACATCTCATCATCATAACACAATCTTGGACGAGTGCACCTGTTCAACAGGTACACAAGATCCTTTCCTGACTCTTCTTATCAGAAATCAGGCCAAAAGGAGTCAACTTCCTTTGGCAAAACGGACACCGCTCCTGCACTGTAGGACACAAGCAGAGAGAAGGAACGGAGTCGTCACAGCGAAGGTGGCAAGCTGGTCTTGATGCCATTCCCCACTTTTGTGAGTATGTGTTAAAAACAAACATTTCAGGTTTACAAATGCTTCTGGTTTATGATTTGTTTTTGTGTTGTTTGCAGATTTGGGAATTTGTTTAAAACAGCGTTTCTCAACCTGGGAGTCAAGGTCCCTTGGGGGGGGTCACGAGGGGGCTTCAGAGGGGTCGCCAAAGACCATCAGAAAACACATATTTCTGATGGTCTTGGGAACCCCTTTAGCAAAGAATGCTGAAGATCTCTCCGCCTGTCTTTCTCCTCCTTTTTGGAAACAGAGGGCGAATCCTCCAACCAAAAGACCTCCTCTGCTATGATTGGCCGTCCTTTCAGCCAAGGGGAGGGCTGCTTCTGAGATTCCAAGCAGGAGGGGAGAGCAGGCATGCTCGGTGCATGGCAGCGTGGTGCACATATGCAGGTGAGGTGGAGGGAGGCTCACGCCAGCGATTCCCTTCAAGGCATGGAGGTTCTGTGTGGGAAGTTCGGCCCATTTCTATCATTGGTGGGGTCCAGATGCTCTCTGAGTGTAGATCAGGGGTCCTCAAACTTTTTAAACAGAGGGCCAGGTCACAGTCCCTCAAACTTTTGGAGGGTTGGATTATAATTTGAAAAAAACATGAATGAATTCCTATGCACACTGCACATTTCTTATTTTTAGTGCAAAAAAGAATTTAAAACAATACAATAATTAAAATGAAGAACAATTTTAACAAATATAAACTTATTAGTATTTCAACGGGAAGTGTGGACCTGCTTTTGGCTGGTGAGATAGGATTGTTGTTGTTGTGTACTTTTAAGGCGTTTCAGACTTAGGTTGACCCTGAGCGAGGGCTGGGTAAATGCCCTTGGAGGGCTGTATTCGGCCCCCAGGCCTTAGTTTGAGGACCCCTGGTACAGTTGAACTATAAATCCCAGCAACTAAAAATTCCAAATCTCAAGGTCTATTTTCCCAAACTCCACCAGTGTTCACATTTGGGTATATTGAATATTTGTGTTAAGTTTGGTCCAAATCTATCATTGTCTGAGTGCAGAGTGCACTCCGGATGTAGGTGAACTACAACTCCAAAGCTCAAGGTCAATGCCTTGTTGGTCATGGGGGTTCCGTGTGCAGACTTTGGTTCAATTCCATCATTGGTGGAGTTCAGAATGCTCTTTGAGTGTAGGTGAACTATAAATCCCAGCAACTACAACTCCCAAATAACAAAATCAATAATCCGCAACCCCTCCAATCTTCAAATTTGGGTGTATCAGGTATTTGTGCCAAATTTGGTCCAGTGAATATAAATCCATCCTGCATATCAGATATTTACATTATGATTCAAAACAGTAGCAAAATTACAGTTAGGAAGTAGCAAGGAAAATAATTTTATGGTTGGGGTTCACCAAAACATGAGGAACTGTGTTAAGGGGTTGCGGCATTAGGAAGGTTGAGAAACACTGGTTTAAAAGCAAGGGTATTCCATCCTCTTTTAACAGAATCACTTGGAAGGTCTAGGGACTGTGTACCTGTTCAACAGGTACAAGATGCTTTCCTGGTCTTTCTTGTCAGAAAGCAGGCAAAAAGAAGTCTGTTCCCTTTCAACAAGATAGACGCTCTGAACAGCACCGCAGCGGAGAGGAACACAATCATCACAGCAATGGCGGCAAGCAGGCGTCATCGATTCCTTCCCCCATTTAAAATCCCTTTTGTGTGTGTGTTAAAAACATACATTTTAAAAACTTGAAGATCAGCAGCAGCTCTCAAGTTGGTTCCTGCTGTGGCTGCGAAGCCCTGAGTTCCAGCTTGACCGACTGGCTGTCGGCCATCTCTGTGTCCGGTTGTAATTCCGCCGGCGTCTCCGCAACAAGGTCAGTCTCCTTGGCCTTGGCCTTGGCTTTGTCGTGCGTCTGGATCAGCGGGTGCACCATGGACATGTGGACGTTCAGGTTGTGGGCCTTCTCAAAGCGCTTCCCGCACAAGTCGCAGGCGAACTCCAGCTCCGCCTCCGCTTTGTGTTTGGTCATGTGGTACTTCAGGGAGGCCCGCTGGCGGCACTGGAAACCGCAGATCTCACACCTGGGGTGGATGGAGAAAAACCTGGTCAGGAGGTGGCCTTTTGACTCAGCGGGAGAAAAATCACAAAAGTTCCTGCTCAACATCTGAAAAGGTATGAGACTTCATTTTTTTTAATTACCATATATATTCGAGTATAAGCCGACCTGAATATAAGCTGATGCACCTAATTTTACCACACAAAAAACTGGAAAATGTGTTGACTTGAGTATAAGCCGAGGGTAGGAAATGCAGCAGCTACTGGTACATTTCAAAATTAAATTAGATACCAATAAAATTACATTAATTGAGGTATCAGTAGGTTACATGTTTTGAATATTTACATAAAACTGTAATTTAAGATAAGACTGACCAACTCTGATTAAACCATTCTTCTAACCTACTTCAATGTAAATGTGCTTACAGATGCTTCCAATAATAATAAAGAGAATAATAAATGTAATAATAATAATAATAATAGAGTAAAATAATAAATGTAATAATAATAATAGGGTAAATTAATGGAAGTGTAATAATAATAATAATAATAATATAGTAAAATAATAAATGTAATAATAATAGGGTAAATTAATGGAAGTATGATAATAATAAAAATAATAATAATAGAGTAAAATAGTAAATGTAATAATAATAGAGTAAGACAATATACGTAATAATGATAATGGGGTAAATTAATGGAAGTGTAACAATAATAATAATAGAGTAAAATAATAAATGTAATAATAATAGAGTAAAAAATAAATGTAATAATCATAGAGTAAAACAATAAATGTAATAAGAATAGATAAAATGTAATAATAATAGAGTAAGACAATAAATATAATAATAGAGTAAAATAATAAATGTAATAATAAAGTAAAATAATAAATGTAATAATAATATTCAAATCATTACTCAAAGTACACTTCAAACCCCTTGTAAATGCACATATATACATTTACATATAATTGACACAGGTAATCTTGCAGCCCGCTTACTGGAGAGGCTTTGCTCCAGAGTGGCGCATCTGGTGCACAGAGAGGTGTTTCCGCTGCTTGAAGGTCTGTCCACATTCGTCGCAGATGTAGTTCCGTACCTCTGCAACCAGAGAAAGAGCGAAAGTGTAGCATGAAATAGAATGTATCAGTCATACACGGGCCAACTTCCGCCCTGCAGATGTTTTGGACTGCAACTCCCACAAAAACGCCTAAGAGTGGGTAGGCTGTTAGGAATTGTGGGAGTTGAAGTCCAAAACACCTGGAGGGAGGGCTGAAGTTGGCCCAGGCTTGCTATAAACGAACAGTTGTGGCAGGTAGTTACTGTATGTTTACAGAAAAGAAGATAGGGAGAAGAAAGGCTGCCATATTTGATGCTGCTGTTGAATTACGGTGACTCTTTCCTGTGACTTTCTTGGCATACTCTGTTTAGAGCAGTTTCTCAACCTGGGGGGTTGCAGGGGGGTGGGGTCACCAAAGACCATCAGAAAACACATTATTTTCTGTTGGTCGTGGGGTTCTGCGTGGGCAGTTTGTCCCAATTCTATCGGTGGGGTTCAGAATGCTCTTTGATTGTAGGTGAACTATAAATCCCAGCAACTACAACTCCCAAATGACAAAATCAATCTCTACCTAACCCCACCACTATTCAAATTTGGGTGTATGAGGTGTCTGTGCCAAATTTGGTCCATTGAATGAAAATACATCCTGCATATCAGATATTTATTTTGTGATTCATAACAGTAGCAAAATGAAGTAGCAACGAAAATCATGTTATGGTTGGGGGTCACCACAACATGAGGAACTGTATGAAGGGGTCACGGCATTGGGAAGGTTGAGAAACACTGGTTTAGAGAGAGCTCTCCTTTGACTTCCTTTGAGGCTCAGAGAGTGTGACTGCTGCCTAGGGCAACCCACCTGTGTGAATGAGCTTCACATGGCGCTGCAGATACCGGTCGATCATGAAGACCTTGTTGCATCCCGGGTGCGGACAGGGTCTTGCCCTGACCTCCTCGTGGTGCTCCTTGATGTGCTTCTAGGCCAGAGAAAAGAGGGAACTTTAGTATTTAATTTAACCCCTTCTTTCCCCAAACCAGTTAACATATTGAGTAGGCAACCATCTTTTGATTCTCTCATTCCCATGTTCAAGGAATGCCACCAACCCTTACTGGAAAGGGGGAAACCCTAATGCCTAACAATAATGGGATTCACATGCCCTAGAAAATGAGAAGCTTGGACAAGCACCTGGCCGTTCTGTACTTACCTTCATGCCATCCGCCCCTCGATAGACGGCGGTGCAGCCCTGGTAAGGACACTTGTAAATGGTGGGCAGCTCTTCTCTGGAGAGAAATGGAGAGGAAGGGGCGGTCAGCAGGAGGGAGATTTCCAAGATTTTCCCTGGTAGCTTTTAAACAGAGGCTGAATGGCCATCTGTCGGGGGTGTTTTGATTGTGATTTTCCTGCATGGCATCATGGAGTTGGGCTAGATTGCCCTTGGGGGTCCCTTCCCACTCTTGGAGTCTTTGATTCTCCCTATTTCTCCACTGAACCCACTAATGCAAGAAAAGCACAACCAAAGAACCCCTGACAGATGGCCATTGAGGATGGAGTGCTTTGATTGTGTTGGACTAGATTGCCCTTGGGAGTACCTTCCCACTCATGGAGTCTTCGATTCTCTCTATTCCTCCATTGAACCCGCTAATGCGGGAAAAGCACAACCAAAGAACCCCTGACAGATGGCCATCAAGGATGGAGTGCTTTGATTATGCTTTTCCTGTGTGATGGCAGAAGAGGGTTAGATTGGATGGCCTCTGGAGTCTCTTCCAACTCTAACGATACTACCTTTCACACTTGATCTTCTTCTTCCAGCCCGGCTTGGGCCCTGGCTTCTTGCGAATCTTGGGCCCTTCCAGCTTAGTGCCTTTGGTTTTGGATTTCCTGTTGTTGGGCATCCTGAGCGGGGAAAGGGAGAGAAAGCAGGGAGACGTTGTCATGTCATGTAGTTCTCAGAGCAGGCATGGGCAAACTTCATCCCTCCTTCAGGTATTTTGGACTCCCACCATAGTTCCAAAGAAGCTGGTAGACTGGGCTGTTGTAGGTTTTTCGGGCTTTATGGCCATGTTCTAGAAGCATTCTCTCCTGATGTTTGGCCTACATCTATGGCAAACATCTCCAGAGGTTATGAGACCTCACAACCTCTGAGATTGCTTGCCATAGATGCAGGTGAAACGTCAGGAGAGAATGCTTCTAGAACATGACCATATAGCCCGAAAAATCTACAACAACCCAGTGATTCTAGCCATGAAAGCCTTTGACAATACAGCCGGTAGACTGTTAGGAATTGTGGGAATTGAAGTCCAGAACAGCTGGAGTGCAGGTTAGCCTATGCCTGGGTTAGAGACAGGTTAGAGACCTGGATAATAATAATAATATATAATACATAATAATAATAATACATAAAAATAATAATACATAATATAACACACTTATAATTATTTTTCATTAATACTGTAATAATAGTAATAATATCATAGTATAATTATTATACTATCATAAATTATCATTATCATTATTATTATTATTATTATTATTAATTGTGACAGTGCATGTGAGGAACACAGGAATCTTCTGCTTGAGCCATAACAGAATAAGGAAAAAGGCAGGGATCTACGATGGCTGTCTGCTTTGTCAGAAATATTAAAAAAATTAACTAGGTATTTTTAATTACAAAAATGTGAGTCAAGCCCTGAAAGGGTTACATGGATACAATGACTCAGCAAAAGCTGCAGTTCAATATAAGCAAGCGTGCCTGTAGCTTGTAGTAGCCCTCAGTCCGAGAGCAAGCTCAGTCCGAGAGAGAGCTCAGTGGGAGAAAGGCCTCAGTGTTAGTAGGCCTCAGTATGAGAAGCTTGTGTGAGAGGAAGCTCCAGTCTGAAGGCTGCTGTGTGTAAAAAGCTACTGTGTGAAGCAGCTGTGTAACTTCGGTGTGAGAGAAGGTGTTGTATGTCAGCCTGTTCAGTCTATGATTGTGTTTGATGTTCCTGATGTTCAGGATGGGAATGGGGATGATGTTCCTGATGGTCAGCCGGGGTCTCTTGGCTTTGGGGATGAAGGTTCGCTTGGCCCCAAGATAAGCTCAGACAAGAGGCCTGAACTGTCTCAGGAAGATCCACAAGGTCACATTCTTGAGAGAGGCCCTTTACAGATTTTCTCAGAAAACTGTCTGAAGATGATTTGTCAGGTGTAGAAGTCAATGAGAAAGGGGATAATGAAAGCTTGGACAGAAAGCCAAGTTTTAGTAAACAGAGACAAAGTATTCAAAGACTAAGACGATCAGTTCGGCTACAGCAGAAGAGAGATAACAAATCTTTATGTCATGGGAAATGCTTTCCTTTCAATTTTGGGATCTGAAAAGCTTTATAATGATTCAAGGGAAAGAGTTGCCTCAGTTGGGTCAGTGTTGGAATTTGATAACAGCCTTGCTTTCAAGTGCTCTTAGTTTCATGTACCAAGTCTTTGCCAAGCTTAAGATTTGTTTATGAGATTTTTCCTGCTGTCTTGTTTCATGGATTCAAGTGCCCAGTTTCATGGATTTTAATGTACTTATTAATCTTGTTTTCTCTTGAAGCTTATGGACTATTTTATATATTGGACCTTTACTGTTTTTACTATTTTTACTGCTTTGCCTACATATATTCTTCAATAAACTGCTTGCTGATTTTACCAAGTGTGGTGTTTAAGGTCTGAGGTGTTCCTGCTCTGATGGATGACAGGAGACTGTGAGAGTGAAGCTGTTTATCTGCACGAGAAAGAAGCCCAGCATGGAAGTAAAGAAGGAAGTATAAAGAACTTTATTTGTGTCATGGAGACTTTGATTTTGTAAATAATGCAAACATAATATTTTGCTGTAAAGAAAAGCCTCGTATGGAAGAGAGAACAATAGTCCGTGTGTTTTTATTCTTTTTATGATTTTGAGTTACTGGTGCTGGGTCATGTCGCTGTACATTTATGAGGAGGGTATTGCCCAACATGCCTTTCTGGTGGACTCCTCCAGCAGCCAGGGGCTGGACTATATAGCTTTTAGAGACTAGATGGCTTTTAGAGGTCTCTTTCAACTCATATGTCATGGGGAAAAGAGTGCAGAAGGATGTATGAGAGAAACTATCACTCTTGTTTTGATGTGTGTGCAATAGAAGAGCCCTCACTCACCTCTTGCTTTCAAAAGGCTGAAAGAAGTCATCGGAACCACCCTCTCTCTGGCTGTCCTCCTCTTCGTCGCTTGAGGAAGAGTCCCTGAGGACAAAAACAGAGTCATTTCTAGAGCAGAAGTAGAGCCAAAAAGCTTCACATGGATGATATGCCATTTCACAACCAAGACCAATGGGACCCTGCCTTCCTTTGGTCTCGAGTTCAAGATGTGACCAACACTGCTTCTCTGAAAGACTCAGACAAAGCCAAGAAAGCACCTTCTGGTGGCGGAAGGGGATTCCCAAGAACTTGCCTTCCTGGCCAAATAAATGGAGGCAAGGAGTTGGGTTTTCAAAACAGGAACATAGGTTTGCCAAAGCAACAGCACCAATTCTTGCAGGTTTTGAGAAATAAAAAGGAGTCTCCCGAAGATGAAAAGGGGGATTTTTCCAAGTTGTATTCACTCGGCAACTATTAGAAGTCAGGTTAATTAATACTATTAAGCCTCCAAGGAGAAGCACTATAGCAGGGGTCCTCAAACTTTTAAAACTGAGGGCCAGGTCACAGTCCCTCAAACTGTTGGAGGGCCGGATTATAATTTGAAAAAAAGAAGAAAAATGAATTCCTACGCAAACTGAACATCTTATTTGTAGTGCAAAAATCAATACAATAATTAAAATGAAGAACACTTTTAACAAATATAAACTTATTAGTATTTCAATGGGAAGTGTGGACCTGCTTTTGGCTGATGAGATAGGATTGTTGTTGTTGTTGTGTCCTTTCACGTCATTTCAGACTTAGGTTGACCCTGAGTGAGGACCGGGTAAAAGAACTTAGGAGGACTGTATCCGGCCTCCGAGCCTTAGTTTGAGGATCCTTGCACTATAGGATGGTGGTATGGTTTCATAAAAGAGACTTTGTTTTTACTATACATCCCAGAATCCCCAGGTGATGGGTCATTCTGGCTGGGAGAGATCCTGAGAGTCCTATATTCACTTTTCGGAGCTTCGATTAAGAATACCACATTTATGTCACCAATACCTCTAATAAGACTAACAATAATAAAATAATACAATTTTATTTTAATACAATTCGTGTTTAATTCCAATTTCATGTTTGAATATTATTAGGTTTTAAGTTTTGGATTGGTTTTATTTTGAGCTGCTTTGAGTTTCTTTTTTTAAGAGTGGGATAATAATAACAACAACAACAACAACAACAAAAATGTATAATAACAAAGTGGGATATAAATAATAATAAATTTATAATAAAAGAAAGTGGGATAATAATAAAATGTATAACAATAATAAAGTATAATAATAACGTAATGGTTTAATTTCAATATCATTAATATTTAATTGTATTTTAATATTTATATATTTTATAGTTTTAAATTGTATTGCATTTGGTTTTACTGTAAGCTGCTTTGAGTCACTTTTGTAGAAAGCGGAAGTAAGGTGTAAATAATAATAATGTCTAATAATAGTAATATCTAATTATTTATTTATTTATTTATTTGGAGCATTTATTAACCGCCATTCTCAGCCCACTCGGGCGACTCACGGCGGTGTACAGTACAAAAGGCAATTCACACAAAGACAAGTACAACAGCATATTAACCATACAACAATACAACAGTTAAAATTACACTAACTAATCCGCTTCGTCTCGTAATAGAATCGTGACCAATCTCGTATTCCTTGTACCATTCCAGTCGTCTTTACCACATTACTATAGCACTTAATTAAATGCCCTCTCGAACAGCCACGTCTTGAGGCTTTTCTTACGGAAAGCCATAAGGGAGGGCGCCTGTCTGATGTCAACAGGGAGGGTGTTCCACAGCCGGGGGGCCACCACCGAGAAGGCCCTTTCTCTCGTCCCCGCCAGACGTGCCTGTGAGGCAGGCGGGATCGAGAGAAGGGCCTCCCCAGACGATCTCAAGGTCCTCGTGGGCTCATAGGCCGAGATGCGGTCCGAAAGGTATTTTGGGCCGGAACCGTTTAGGGCTTTGTAGGCCAACACACAGCACCTTAAATTGGGCCCGGTAGCAAATCGGCAGCCAGTGGAGCTGGGACAACAAGGGTGTTGTGTGCTCCCTGTATCCCGCTCCAGTTAGTAACATGGCTGCCGCACGCTGAACCAGCTGAAGCTTCCGGGCCGTTTTCAAGGGCAGCCCCACGTAGAGAGCGTTGCAGTAGTCAAGCCGGGATGTGACCAGAGCGTGTACCACCGTGGCCAAGTCAGACTTCCCGAGATACGGGCGCAGCTGGCGCACGAGCCGAAGCTGTGCAAATGCTCCCCTGGTCACCGCTGAAACCTGGGGATCCAGGCTCAACGATGAATCCAGGGTCACACCCAAGCTGCGAACCTGTGCCTTCAAGGGGAGTGCGACCCCATCCAACACAGGCTGTAACCCTATGCCCTGTTCGGCCTTGCGACTGACCAGGAGTACCTCTGTCTTGTCTGGATTTAGTTTCAGTTTGTTAGCCCTCATCCAGACCGTCACAGCGGCCAGGCACCGGTTCAGGACCTCGACAGCCTCCTTAGTAGCAGGTGGAAAGGAGTGACAGAGTTGGACATCATCTGCGTACAGATGACACCGCACCCCGAAACTCCGGATGATCTTACCCAGCGGCTTCATGTAGATATTAAACAGCATGGGGGACAGTATGGAACCCTGTGGAACCCCACAAGTCAAAGGTTGTGGGGCAGAACAGGAGTCCCCCAATAACACCTTCTGGGTGCGTCCCTCCAGGAATGAGTGGAGCCACTGCAGAGCAGTGCCCCCAAGGCCCATTTCCGCAAGGCGCCCCAGAAGGATACTGTGGTCGACAGTATCGAAGGCCGCTGAGAGGTCCAGCAGAACCAACAGGGACACACTCCCCCTGTCTAGCTCCTGGCGTAGATCATGCACTAAGGCGACCAAGGCTGTCTCAGTACCATGTCCCCGGCCTAAAGCCAGACTGTGCCGAGTCCAGATAATCCGTGTCTTTCAAGAATACCTGGAGTTGTGAGGCCACCACGCTTTCCATGACTTTGCCCAAGAAGGGAAGATTGGAAACAGGCCGAAAGTTGTCAAATTTAGTGGGGTCCAGTGATGGTTTCTTCAACAGCGGCTTTATAATAGCCTGTTTTAGGCTCGCTGGAATCTGTGCCTTCCCGAAGGGAGGCATTAACCACCACCGTTACCCACTCAGCCAATCCCCCTCTGGCCTCCTTCAGAAGCCAGGATGGGCAGGGGTCTAGGATGGACGTGGTGGGCCTCATTCCTCCAAGTATCTTGTCCACATCCTCGGGCTTCACAAACTGAAAAGAATCCATCAAAATAGGACAAGCAGGTGCTCGTGTCACATCCTGAGACTGCATTTAACGCGGCGTCCAGCCCAGAACGGATCAAGGCGACTTTGTCTGCGAAGAACCGAGCAAATGCTTCACAGCGCGTGACCGAATTGTCAGGGCTCCCGCCAGAGTGGCGGGAGTTAAAAGACCTCTAACAATCCGAAACAACTCCGCCGGACGGTTCTTTGCAGACGCAATAGTGGCCGCAAAGAAAACTTTCTTTGCGGCCTTTATTGCCGCGGCATATGCCCTAAGAAAGGACACAAACCGTGCTCGGTTTGACTCGCTTGGATCCGAACGCCACACGCTCTCTAGTTCCCTCTTCCTTCGCTTCATCACTGCCAGCTCCTCAGTAAACCAAGGGGCTGGTTTAGCTCGGCTACTTGAGAGGGGACGCTCCGGAGCGATCATGTCAATTGCCCTGGTCATCTCCCCATTCCAGAGAGCGACCAAGGCCTCGACATGTATACAAATAACAGTAATAATGTTTATTAAGCATAATAATAATGTCTAATAATAATAATGTATAATAAGTTCCAGGGCCAGAGAAGCAGAAGGTGAAAACAGAAGAACTGCCAGCCTCAGGGGAGTGTGCTAGCTCCATCCATGTTTAACATTTAGCTGCTGCCAGAAGGGATTGAGAGTTTCATCTATGCTCATGATTGCGTCATCACCGCTTAAGCAGGGTACTTTGAAATGGTTGAACAGAAGTTCTCTGAAGCTTTAGGTGCTCTTACTGCCTGTTACAGGGAAAACCAGATGATTCCTAATCCATCTTAAAAACAAACGTGCTTTTCACCTTAAGAATGGACAAGCATCTCGAGCTCTGAGGATTTCCTGGGAAGGAATTCCACTGGAGCATTGCAACACACCCAAATAACTGGGAGTGACCCTGGACTGTGCTCTGACTTATAAGAACCATTACTTAAATATCAAGCAAAAAGTGGGTATTAGAAATAATATTGTACAATACCTGACTGGCACAACCTAGGGATCACAACCAGACACAGTGAAGACATCTGCTCTTGTGCTTTGCTACTCTCCTGCTGAGTACGCATGCCCAGTGTCGAATACATCTCACCATGTTAAAACAGTGGATGTGGCTCTTAATGAGACATGCCGCATTATTACAGGATGTCTACGCCCAAAACAGTTGGAGAAATTACACTGTTTAGCTGGTATTACACAACCTGACATCCGCTGGGAAGTAGCAGCCAATAATGAAAAGATCAAGGCATTGACATCTCTGGCCCATCCTCTGTTCGCATATCAGCCAGCATGCCAATGACTTAAATCAAGAAACAGCTTCAAAGATCTACAGAAATACTCGCAGGAACACCTCAGCAAGCAAGAGTCCAAAAGTGGCAGGCTAAAACCCAGAGCCTCAGTCAGTGGCTGACACTGGGTGAGAAACTCCCTCCTGGGCACACAGAAGACTGGGCGACTTGGAAGGCGCTGAACAAACGGCTCTGGCACCATAAGATGCAGAGCTAACTTTAAGAAATGGGGCCACAAAATGAAGTCCATGGCATGCGAGTGCAGAAGGGAGCAAACCACAGATTACTGACTACAATGCGGTCTGAGCCCCACCACATGCACAATAGAGGACCTTCTTACAGCCACACCAGAGGCACTTGAAGTGGCCAGTTTCTGGTCAAAGGACATTTAGTATAATGCCAAGTATCTATTTATTTATTTATTTATTTATTTATTTATGGCATTTATATGTTTAATAGTACAAATTTGAAAAATATAATGAACTTCCCACCTCCCACCTTAAAGACTGAGGAGGAAAGTATTCCACCAGCTTCTTATCATTAATATATTCCATGCTCTGTTGATATTGCACTTCAATCTTCCTAACCCACAAGCATTTGGACATCATCTTAGAGCTTTTGCAAAGGTTTCCTAGTAGCACAAGGGTGTTCATGCTTAACAAAGAGGACATTTGCAAACCCACTCTTCTCTCACCCCTCTGAAAGGTCACTGAACTCGTCTTTTACCCGCTCATCCAGGGCTGCAGGTGGAACCGGATTTTCGCTCAGAGGCCCTACAGAAAAAAAGCAACAGGAATTACAAGCAAAAGATGGACACAACCCTACATAGCAGTTCCTGTTCCAGAAAACCTGGGCCTAAGCATTGCCAGGCAAGGGGAAGCCTGGTCAATCCACCTGAGAAGAGGCAGATGTCCCTTAGATTGAAAGCATTCCTTGCAAAGAAGGGGAAGGAAGCTTGCTAAAAGCAATGCATTTCTGTATTGTCAAAGCCTTTCGTGGCCGAAATCACTGGGTTGTTGCAAGTTTTCCAGGCTGCACGGCCATGTTCCAGAAGCATTCTCTTCTGAAGTTTTGCCTGCATCTATGGCAGGCATCCTCAAAGGTTGTGAGGTCAGGAGGGAATGGTTCTGGAACATGCCCAAAAAACTTACAAGAACCCAATATAATAATAATAATAATAATAATAATAATAATAATAATAATAATACTTTGTCGAAGGCTTTCATGGAATCAATGGGTTGTTGTAGGTTTTTTCAGGCTATATGGCCATGTTCTAGCGGCATTCTCTCCTGACGTTTCGCCTGCATCTATGGCAAAAATCCTCAGAGGTAGTGAGGTCTGTTGGAACTAGGAAAATGGGTTTATATATCTGTGAAATGACCAGGGTGGGACAAAGAACTCTTGTCTGTTGGAGCTAGGTGTGGATGTTTCAACTGACCACAGCAAAACAACAGAGAGGAAACATTCAGTCACATCTAATCACCTCTCAACAAAAGATTGCCCCAGGCACTGCCAGGCCATCAAATGCTAATCAAGGTAGTCTGTTGAAACATTCACACCTAGCTCCAGCAGACAAAAGTCCTTTGTCCCACCCTGGTCATTCCACAGATATAGCAGCCCAGGATGTGCTCCTCGTGGCCTCTTACCGGGACTCCCATTGACCGGACAGTCTGACTGGGGCAGGTTGCCCTCCTGCAAAGGGCTCCTGGCTGCTTCTTGCAATGAGGCCGCATCCGGACTCTCGGGGAGCTGGTTTTCTGTGCCCGGTTCGGGTGTAGTAGTCTCACTGTTTGCAGCAGCAGTCCTGTCTGGGCCATGATGGGACGGAACGCAGGGCACTCTGGCACCCTCGGCGTCCACCCCATTGCCGGCCACGTGCTCAGAGGTGCCCTTGCTGTGGTCCTGCTTGGGGCCACTGCCCTCCTCCTCCTCCTCCACATCGGTGCTCAGGATGTAGTCGTGGCCTTCCCTGCAGCCCCAGACAGCCTGGACGACGACCCCGCAATATCCAGAGGACAGCACGCTCCGCAGGCTCGGCGCAACCTGGCAGCTCTCGGCGTGATTGTGGGCCCACAGCACCAGATTGTGAAGGCACTGCGGGCTGGACGTGATCCGGCCTCCTGCTCGTAGGGAGAGAAAACAAGGGGATAGAATCTAGAACAGATCCCCAAGGAAGACACAATGAAAGCACTCCCAACAGATGGCCACCCAGCTCTGCATGAAAACCTCCAGAGAAGGAGACTCATCATTATCATTGTGATTATCAATGGCTATTATTTTACTGACACAAAAGCACAGTATGTCACAGCAAACGAGACCTATATGCTGGAAATACTGTGCTTTTTAATCGTCATCATCAACAACGGTGGTGGTGGTGGTACAGTTGAGTCTCGCTTATCCAACATAAATGGGCCGGCTGAACATTGGATAAGAAAAAATGTTGGATAATAAGGAGGGACTCGGGAAAAGCTTATCCAATGTTCAGCCGACCTATTAAACGTCAAATTATGCTGTGATTACGATTTTACAAATTAAGCACCAAAACACCATGTTTCACAACAAATCAACAGAAAAAGCAGTTCAATACATGGTAACGTTATATAGTAATTACTGTATTTACGAATTTAGCACCAAAACAGACAAGGGTTCTTTCTTTCTCCCACTCTGGACTGCGTTGGATAATACAGAACATTGGATGAGTGGAGGTTAGATAAGCGAGACTCTATGGTAGTAGTTGTTGTTATTGTAGTAGTTGTAGTTATTATACAATCCTAGAGTTAGAAGGGCCCCCAAAGACCATCCAGTCAAAACCCCTTCTACCCCTCCCAACAGATGACCCGCCAGTTTCTGCTTTAAAACTTCCAGAGAAGACTCCATCATCATAATCATTATGATTATTAATGGCTATTATTATTATTATTATTATTATTATTATTATTATTATTATTGAATTCTAGAGTTGGAAGAGACCCTCAGGAGCCTTCCAGTCCAAGTCGATTATTATTATTATTATTATTATTATTATTATTATTATTATTATTATTATTATTATTATAGAATCCTAGTTTGAAGGGATCCCCAGAGGCCATCCAGTCAAATCCCTTCTGCCAGACAAGAAGAGACAAACCACTCCCAACAGATGGCCCGTCAGTCTGCTTGATAACCTCCAGAGAAGGAGACTCATCATCATCAATGTGATTATCAATGGCTATTATTATTAATATTGAATTCTAGAGTTGGAAGGGACCCCCAGGAGTCATCCATTCCAAGTCCCTGCTAAGCAGGAAGAAACCATCAAAGGCATCCTGACAGATGGCCATTTATCTCTACTTCAAAACCTCCAGAGAAGGAGATTCCTTCATCATCATCATAATCAAAGGTGGTGGTGGTTGCTGTGGTTGTTGTTGTTGTTGTTATTATAGAATCCTAGAGTTAGAAGGGACCCCCAAAGGCCATCCAGTCAAACCCCTTCTACCAGACGAGAAGAGACAAACCACTCTCAACAGATGGCCCGCCAGTCTCTGCTTGAAAACATCTAGAGAAGATGACTCCACCACCATAATTAATATCAATAATCATAATAATAAAAATATTATAGGGCCATCCAGTCCAATTCCCTGCTATGCAGGAAGAAACCATCAAAGCCTGACTCAGACATCCACCCTCTGCTTGAAAACCTCCAGAGGAGGCTCCAATGGACTCCAAAGAAGAAGCATATACCACCATTGAACAACTGATCATTGGGAAGTTCTTCCTCATGTTTAGCAGAATCTCCTTTCCTCCTCAATAGGATCTCTTTTCAAATATTGAAATATGGCTCTCAGGTACCCTAAAGCTTTCCAAAAATGCTTTTTGGAAAGGCAAGGCACAAGCAACATGGCGGCTGAAAACCCAAGGAGCAGCAAAACAGCTAAACTTACCCAGAGAAGAGGCATTTCCTTCAGCTGCAGGAAGAGGAGATGGGGCAGCATTGCTCCTGCACATGGAATAGAAAGAAACATGGATGAGACGCTGGGTGGACGGACATCACAGGAGGCTCTTCATTCAAAGCCAAGAAGCTTTCCTTGGGCTTTTTGACCACAGGAAGCCATAGAGGCCTTGGATTCTAGTGGAAACCATTGGTGTTCCCATTGGTGTTCCTTCCATAATCTAGAAAACAACAGCTGCTTTGGGATTGCAACGATTGCAGGAATATTTGGGATCCATGGCAGAGTGGGGTGGAGCATAACCTCTGCTACTGTAGATCTGATTCCAGGGAGTGGCGTGAGCTTCCGCTGTCAGCCCTAGCTTCTTCCAACCTAGCAGTTCGAAAACATGCAAAATGTGAGATCAATAGGTACCGCTCCGGTGGGAAGGTAAAGGCGCTCCATGCAGTCATGCCGGCCACATGACCTTGGAGGTGTCTATGGACAACGCTGGCTCTTCGGCTTAGAAATGGAGATGAGCACTACGCCCCAGAGTCAGACATGACTGGACTTAATGTCAGGGGACAACCTTTACCTAGGTATTTGTAATTACAAAAATGTGAGTCAAGCACTGAAAGGATTACATTGATGCAATGACTCAGCAAATGCTGCAGTTCAATATTAGTAAGTGTCCTGTAGCTTAGTACGCCTCACTCTTAGTTGCTCTCTGTCTGAGAGAGGCCTCAGTGTGAGGTAAACCTCAGTGTTAGTAGGTCTCAGTGTAAAGTAGGCCTCAGAGTTAGTAGACCTTAGTGCAGCGTTTCTCAACCTAGGGGTCAGGACCACTGGGGGGGTCACGAGAGGAGGTGTCAGAGGTGTCACCAAAGACCTTATTCTACTTCAGAAATTTCATTTTTGTGGCTGTGAATTGGTTGAGATACTATGACAGTGTTTCTCAATCTGGGGGTCAGGACCCCTGGGTGGGTCGCGAGAGGAGGTGTCAGAGGGGTCACCAAATACTTCAGAAAATGCAGTATTTTCTGCTAGTCGTGGGGGTTCTGTATGGGACGTTTGGCTCAATTCTATCATCGGTGGGGTTCAGAATGACCTTTAATTGTAGGTGAACTATCAATCCCAACAACTGCAGTTCCCAAATGGCAAGGTCTATTTCCCCCAAACTCCACATTGGGGGCATACTGAAGATTTGTGTCAAGTTTGGTCCAGATCCATCATTGTTTGGTTCCACAGTACTCTCTGGATGTAGGTGAACTACAACTCCAATATTCAAGGTCAATGCCCACCAACCCTTCCAGTATTTTCTCTTGGTCATGGGAATTCTGTGTGCCAAGTTTGGTTCAATTCCTTTGTTGGTGGAGTTCAGAATGCTCTCTGGTTGTAGGTGAACTATAAATCCCAGCAACTACAACCCTGACATAAAAAAATCAACCCCCAACCCCACCAGTATTCAAATTTGGGTGTATTGGGTATTTGTGCCCAATTTGGTCCAGTGAATGAAAATACATCCTGTGTATTAGATATTTACATTACAATTCAAAACAGGAGCAAAATGACATTTATGAAGTAGCAACGAAAATAATGTTATGGTTGGGGGTCACCACAACATGAGGAACTGTATTAAGTGGTCGGGGCATTAGGAAGGTTGAAAACCATTGTTCTACAGCACAGATACATCCCAAGGAAGCTTTGGTGCTCTAACGCTTTTGTTTTTAAGGAATTCCAAGCAAACAACAACTATAATGGCCATATTGCAAAGAGTGCACCTTTGCCGCTGTGCATTACATGTGCCTGCAAATACTTTTTTTTTGGTTTCAGGGTTTTCAAAATTGAGGCATTAGATTTGATGGTACATTAGACTTGAGGAAATAAGGGTATATAAATTTAACTGGAGTTACACTTCAAAATGTCCCTGTACTGACTTACATATGGATTCAACTTGAGAACAAACCTACAGAACCAATCTCGTTCGCAACTTGGGAACTGCCTATGTTGATGCTCCTCCACTTCCAGCATGAGCTCAGCTCAACTGGATCTTCTTGCTTGCCGCAGGTGTGTTTGTGGCCACCCGGCAACTCCTATGGCAGTGGTTCTCAACCTATGGGTCCCCAGATGATTTGGCCTTCAACTCCCAGAAATCCTAACAGCTGGTAAACTGGGATTTCTGGGAGTTGTAGGCCCAAACACCTGAGAACCCACAGGTTGGGAACCACTGCCCTATGATGTGGAGGAACTCACCTTGGTCGGGGCTTGAGGGCCCCCACGGGTGAGAGGTTGACCTTCTGGATGAAGGCCTTGAGGACGCTGCGGCACTTGTAGAACTGAGCGTGGCACTTCTTGCAGACCGACTGGGGCAGGGCTGGGTCCGGGCGGGCGGCCACCCCAAGAAGGTGCTGGAAGTCGGCAAAGAAGATGCGGTCCAGGCGCCGGTGCTGCTGCTTCTGGGAGCCCACATCCATCGCGGGGGGCTTCCCGAAGGCATTGCGAAGGCTCCGTGCGGAGAACTTCCCGTGGCAAAGCCGGCAGTGGCCCGTGCTCAAGCCTCGAGTGGCGCCTGCAAGGGAGGCAAGGAAAGGAAAGTCAGTTGGGGACCAAGAAATAAAACTCCTTTTTTATTTTTTTATTTTGAGTGAAACTAATGGGATACAAAATACAAAAAGAAGAAACATCTAGAAATAGTCAAATACATCTAATACAGATATGTCGTTCCTCAAAACAGATTCATTGCAATATTCTATTTGTTGTAGTTTTACAGGACCAGGATTTGTAGTTTTCCAAGACTGGGAGTTGTAGTTCTGCAAGACCAGGAGCTGTACTTTTCCAAGACGAGGAGTTGTAGTTTTCCAAGACCGGGATTTTTAGTTCTACAAGACCGGGAGTTGTAGTTCTACAAGAGTTGTTGTTTTACACTGTAACCTGAATACAGTTTGACTCCACTTTAAACTGCCATGACTCAGTGCAATGGGACTCTAGGAGTTGTAGTTTTGTAAAGCCTTCAAAGTGTCAGTACATCAGCAAACTACAGCTCCCAAGTTAAAGTGTTTTCAAACTAGAGTGAGTCTACAGTGGAGAAGCACTCCTGGATCCAGTGGTTGGCTTCATTCAGAGCTTGGGAAAGCTTGGGGGGAAATGGACTGCAAGGCCCAGTTTGCTGCAGAGTGATGGGTTCGAATCCAGGGAGAGCGCGGATGAGCTCCCTCTATCAGCACCAGCTCCTCACGCAGGGACAAGATGGTAAAACATTAAAAACATCCAGTTGTCCCCTGGGCAACGTCCTTGCATATGGCCAATTCTCTCACGCCAGAAACGACTTGCAGTTTCTCAAGTCGCTCCTGACACGACAATAAATAAATAAATATTATTATTATTATATATTATAGTGTTATTGTATATTATATCATATATTATACTAGCTGTACCCCGGCCACGCAATGCTGTGGCCCTCAGAAAGCAGAGGAATTCCAGACATGAAACTATTTTTGTTTACTGCATCCTACAAACGTCCCCGTAGGTAGGAAGCAGACATGCTTTGAAGCTGTAATGCTTTTCCGTGGTATTCAAGCTGACCAATGGTGGATCCACATTGATAAGAAGCAGCCAGACTTTGTTCCTGCAAAGCTATGCAATTCTTTTCAAGCTGGCCCACAAAGGTTTCCCCTTTGTATGTAGCAGCCAAGCATTGCAGTTATTAGGCTAATCAGTGCTTTTCTAGCATGACAACAAAGGATCCCCTTTGGTAGGAAGCAGGCAGGCCATATAGTCCTACAGCAGTGCCTCCCAAACTTATATATATAAGAGAGAGAGATATATATATATATAAAACAGACAGTTGTATATCATATTAGTATTATACTATAATATGTTATTGTTATTAAATGGAGGATCACATAGTCCTAGAATAGTGCCTCCCAATCTTCAGGTAGACTATTATATATTATTATTATTTTACTATATTATTGTTGTTATATGGAGGACATCATAGTCCTAGAATAGTGCTTCCCAAACTTCAGGTAGACTATTATATTATCATTATTATTATTATTATTTACTATATTATTGTTATATGGAGGACATCATAGTCCTAGAGTAGTGCCTCCCAAACTTCGGGTAGACTATTATATTATTATTATCATTATTTTACTCTATTATTGTTATTATATAGAGTACATCATAGTCCTAGAGTAGTGCCTCCCAAACTTCAGGTAGACTATATTATTATTATTATTATTATTATTATTATTAAGAGAACATCACAGTCCTAGAGTAGTGCCTCCCAAACTTCAGGTAGACTATTATTATTATTATTATTATTATTATTATTATTATTATTATTAAGAGAACATCACAGTCCTAGAGTAGTGCCTCCCAAACTTCAGGTAGATTATTATTATTATTATTATTATTATTAAGAGAACATCACAGTCCTAGAGTAGTGCCTCCCAAACTTCAGGTAGACTATTATTATTATTATTATTATTATTATTATTATTATTATTATAAAGAGAACATCATAGTCCTAGAGTAGTGCCTCCCAAACTTCAGGTAGACTATTATTATTATTATTATTATTATTATTATTATTATTATTATTTTACTCTATTATTGTTATTATATGGAGGATATCACAGTCCTAGAGTAGTGCCTCCCAAACTTCAGGTAGACTATTATTATTATTATTATTATTATTATTATTATTATTATTATTATAAAGAGAACATCATAGTCCTAGAGTAGTGCCTCCCAAACTTCAGGTAGACTATTATTATTATTATTATTATTATTATTTTACTCTATTATTGTTATTATATGGAGGATATCACAGTCCTAGAGTAGTGCCTCCCAAACTTCAGGTAGACTATATTATTATTATTATTATTATTATTATTATTATTATTATTATTAAGAGAACATCACAGTCCTAGAGTAGTGCCTCCCAAACTTCAGGTAGACTATTATTATTATTATTATTTTACTCTATTATTGTTATTATATGGAGGATATCACAGTCCTAGAGTAGTGCCTCCCAAACTTCAGGTAGACTATTATTATTATTATTATTATTATTATTATTATTATTATTATAATAAAGAGAACATCATAGTCCTAGAGTAGTGCCTCCCAAACTTCAGGTAGACTATATTATTATTATTATTATTATTATTATTATTATTATTATTATATGGAGGATATCACAGTCCTAGAGTAGTGCCTCCCAAACTTCAGGTAGACTATTATTATTATTATTATTATTATTATTATTATTATTATTATTAAGAGAACATCACAGTCCTAGAGTAGTGCCTCCCAAACTTCAGGTAGATTATTATTATTATTATTATTATTATTAAGAGAACATCACAGTCCTAGAGTAGTGCCTCCCAAACTTCAGGTAGACTATTATTATTATTATTATTATTATTATTATTATTATTATTATTATAAAGAGAACATCATAGTCCTAGAGTAGTGCCTCCCAAACTTCAGGTAGACTATTATATTATTATTATTATTATTATTATTATTATATGGAGGACATCAAAGTCCTAAAGTAATGCCTTCCTAACTTCAGGTAGATGATGATGATGATGATGATTATTATTATTATTATTCTATATTATTTTTATTATATGGGGTGGATCACATAGTGCAGGCCTGGGCCAATTTCAGCCCTCCCTCCAGGTGTTTTGGACCCCAATGGTGGGAGCTGGAGTCCAAAACACGTGGAGGAAGGGCTGGCGTTGGCCCAGGCCTGATCTAGGACATACAGAGCAGTGCCTCCCAAACTTCAAACAGACTACAACTCCCAGAATCCCCCACCCAGGAAGGCCAATGGCTGGGCCTGCTGGGAGCTGGAGTCCGAAAGCCCCTGGAGAGGACCAAGGAGCCGAGGACTGGCTGATGTGGTTGCCAAATCGGGGCGATCGCGCGCTAAGGATGTCATGCAGACGCCTTCCCCCCCCCCCCCTCCCCCCCCCCCGCACCCGGCGCTGCTCCCTGGGCCTGCTTCTCTTCCTCCTTCTCCTTCTCTTCTTCCTCCTCCTCCTGGATCTTCCTCCTTCGGGATCGAGGGCTGGTTAAAGAAGAGGGAGAAGGAGAGGAAGAGGCTGCCTTGGCCGAAGGCAGGAAACGCCCGCGACGATCGCGCTTCATGGCCGCGTCCGCACTGCGCTGCGCCGCCGATGCCTCCGGAGCCGTGCGCCCGCTCCCTCTTGCAGCGCCACCTGGTGGGCGGAGGAAGGCCACTGCAGGCCTCTCTGTCTGTCTAGACGTCTCTTTCTGAGCCATTTCCCCAATGGATGGGGTGGCTCTCGCTTCCACTGCTAGGCTTTGTTTTGGGCCTCCTCAGGTCTCAGGTGGGCACCACGCATGTCTTCCTTGATGGAGTCCATCCATCTTTTCTTTGGCCTTTTCCCACGCAGTTGTCGTCCTGCAATCTCCAAGCGCAGCACTGTGGTACTATCCATCCATCCACCAAGTCATCTATCCATTCATGTATCCATCTAGCCATCCATGTATTCATCCATCTCTCTATCCATCCATTCATCTATCCATCCATCCATTGGGTTGCTGTGAGTTTTCCGGGCTGTATGGCCATACAGCTTCGGAAAACTCACAGCAACCCAGTGATTCTGGCCACAAAAGACTTTGATGATACATGATCCATCCATCCATCCATCTATTCATCCATTCATCTGTCCCTCCAGCCATCTAACCATCTATCTATCCAATTGTCCATCAATCCATCCATCTGATCATCTCTCCATCTATCTCTCCATCCATTCATCTAGCTATCCATTCATCTATCTATCCAATCATTCATCTATCCATCTCTCCATCTGTTCATCTGTTCATTTCTCCATTTATCTCTCCATGCATTCACCTCTCCATCCATCTAGCTATCCATCCATCTCTCCATCTGATCATCTCTCCATTTATCTCTCCAGCTATCCATCTATCCATACATCTATCTATCCAATCATTCATCTAGCCATCCATCCATCTCTCCATCTGTTCATCTCTCCATCTATCTCCATCCATCCATCCATCTATCCATTCATCTATCTAATCGTTCATCTATCCATCCATCCATCTCTCCATCTGATCATCTCTCCATCTATCTCTCCATCCATTCATCTAGACATCCATCTAGCTATCCATCCATCTATCCATTCATCTATCTATCTATCTATCTATCTATCTATCTATCTATCTATCCAATCATTCATCTATCCATCCATCCATCTGTTCATCTGTTCATCTATCCATCCATTCATCTATCCATCCATCCATCTCTCCATCTGATCATCTATCCAATCATTCATCTATCCATCCATCCATCCCTCTCCATCTGTTCATCTATCTATCCATCTATCCCTCCATCCATTCATCTAGCCATCCATCTAGCCATATATCTATCTATCCAATCATTCATCTACCCATCCATCCATCCATCTCTCCATCTGTTCATCTCTCCATCTGTCCATCCATCTATCAATTCATCTATCTATCCAATCGTTCATCTATCCATCCATCCATCCATCTCTCCATCTGATCATCTCTCCATCTATCTCTCCATCTATCCCTCCATCCATTCATCTAGCCATCCATCTAGCCATCCATCTGTCCATATATCTATCTATCCAATCATTCATCTATCTATCCATCCATCCATCTGTTCATCTCTCCATCTATCCATTCATCTATCTATCCAATTGTTCATCTATCCATCCATCCATCTCTCCATCTGTTCATCTTTCCATCTATCTATCCATCCATTCATCTATCCATTTATCTATCTATCCATGTGTTCATCTATCCGTCCATCTAGCTATCCATCCATCTATCTATCCATACTTCTATCAATCCATCCATCCATCTTCTCCTTTCTAAGCTATCTTGCCAATGGAGGGGTGAGCATTGTGACTGTTGTTTCCAGTGGGCGTTGTTTTGGGCCTCCTAAGGTCTCAGGTGAGCAGCATGCATATCTCTGTTGATGGTGTCCATCCATCTTGTCTTTGGCCTTTGTCCACATGGTTGCCATCCGGCAATCTCCAAATGCAGTGCTCTTTGTCCTACTGATGCTAGTTCTCTTCTCATTCTCTTCTCATTCTCTTCTCTTCTCATGACATGGTTGTACCACTTGGGTCTTATAATATTGTTACCTGTCCACTTATAAGCCAGACAAAGGGTGTAGAGATATATCCAGAGAGGAGTCCATGTTGCTGCTAGTACTTACTTACTTAGGCGATCCCTAGTTGTCCAAGAAGGATAGTCTTCCAAGATTGGTGTACTGGCGGTGGGTCCGTAGGTGACTGTGGAGCACTATTCTTGATCTGCATCTTCTCCCGCAGTGAGGACATCGGTTTCCAGGTGGAAGGCGGTCCCGGTCGGGGTTGGCTTGGTACGTTTCTCTCTTTTGCCCTCCATTCATACCTCTTCAAATTGTACAGCACTGCTGGTCACAGCTGACCTCCAGCTGGAGCGCTCGAGGGCCAGGGCTTCCCAGTTCTCAGTGTCTATGCCAAAGTTTTTAAGGTTGGCTTTGTGCCTATCTCTCAATCTCTTTTCCTGCCCACCAACATTCCATTTTCTGTTCTCGAATTCGGAGTAGAGCAACTGCTTTGGGAGGCGGTGGTCGGGCATCGGGACAACGTGGCTGGTCCAGCAGAGTTGATGGCGGAGGACCATCGCTTCAGTGCTGGTGGTCTGTGCTCCTTCCAGTATGCTGACATTTGTCCGCTTGTCTTTCCAAGAGATTTGCAGAATTTTCCAGAGGCAGCGCTGATGGAATCGTTCCAGGAGTTGCATGTGACGTCTGTAGACAGTCCTTGTCTCGCAGGCGTATAGCAGGGTTGGGAGCGCAATAGCTTTATAAACAAGCACCTTAGTATCCATACGGATGTCCCGGTCCTCAAACACTCTCTGCTTCATTCGGAAAAAAAGCTGCACTCGCAGAGCTCAGGCGGTGTTGTATTTCAGTGTCAATGTTGACTTTTGTGGAGAGGTGGCTGCCAAGGTAGCGGAAATGGTCAACATTTTCTAATGTTACACCATTAAGCTGTATCTCTGGCATTGGAGAGGGGTTGGCTGGTAACTGCTGGAACAACACTTTGGTTTTCTCAGTGGAGAGGTGGTTGCCAAGATAGTCTTGTTGATGCTAGTGTCGTTATAGGGTGACTACGGCTTAACCCTTTTATACCACAACAGCCTGATGTCCTTAGCAAAACTATAAGTTCCATAACTATAAATTATATTGGGGGGGGGGGAGTTGTGGTGTTCGATAACCCCTTGCCTCAATCATTATGGGACTTGTAGCTCCACTAAGGACTGCATCTACACTGTAGAACAGTGGTTCTCAACCTGGGGTCCCCAGATGTTTTTGGCCTTCAACTCCCAGAAATCCTAACAGCTGGTATACTGGCTGGGATTTCTGGGAGTTGTATGCCAAAAACATCTGGGGACCCCAGGTTGAGAACCACTGCTGTAGAATAAAAGCAATTTGACTGCCATGGCACAATGCTGTGGGATCCCTGGAGAGTTGTAGTTTTCAAAGGCCTTCAGCCTGCTCTGGACAAGAGGGCTGGGGACTGACCAAACTACACTTCCCAGGACCTCATATTGTTGCATTAAAGCAGGCCTGAGCCAACTTGGGCCCTCCAGGGGTTTTGGACTCCAACTCCCATCATTCCTAACAGCCTCAGGCCCTTTCCTTTTCCCCCTCAGCCGCTTAAGCGTTGGCTCAGGCCTGCGTTAAAGTGTCAAACTGAAGGATCTCTGCTATCCTTTGCCCAACCCAGCTAAGCCCCGCCCCTTCCGGAGTGCCGCCGGCCAATCACAGCCTCGAGCTCCTCTTCCGGGTAGAAGCGCCGTCTGTCATTGGCTCCGCGCGCCCGGCCTCCTCCTCTACCATTGGTCCGCGCTTTGTCCCGTTTCTACCTTCGGTCCGGTCGGGCGCCGCTCCCCAGTGAGAAAGGTTCCGGCCTGAGCCATGGCCGCCTCGGCGGAGCCCGCAGTGAAGCCGCTCCAGGGGGCCATGAAACTAGCCAAAGGGGCCCTGGAGCTGGACGCCGGGGATAAGCCCCGGGTAAGGAAATAGAGGGAGGGTGGAATTAAGCACGTGTGAATGAGCCCCCTCCCGTGTTAGGATGCGTGTCATGATCCCATAGGACTGCGTCATCCGTGTTCAGTCTTCATCTGGATGCATTTCAATATAAATAATGTATGGCAATGAGTTTCAACTGGATGTTTCACTGTGTTGTATTCTGCCTTGAGCTGTGAGGAGAGGCGGGCGACAAAGAACATGTATTATTATTATTATTATTATTATTATTATTATTATTTATCTGATGTTTAATATTATCACTATGATTTGTCTCAGTGTTTATTACTATTAGTGTTTATTACAGTGTTTATTACAAACTACAAGAGAGGAGATTCCATCTGAACATGAGGAAGAACTTCCCAACTGTGAGAGCCGTTCAGCAGTGGAACTCTCTGCCTCGGAGTGTGGTGGAGGCTCCTTCTTTGGAAGCTTTTAAACAGAGGCTGGATGGCCATCTGTCAGGGGTGATTTGAATGCAATATTCCTGCTTCTAGGCAGGGGGTTGGACTGGATGGCCCATGAGGTCTCTTCCAACTCTTTGATTCTATGATTATTGTTTTTATTATTTATCTGGGTGTTTATTACTATTATTAATAATAAAGAACATTTATTGCCATTATTATTATTATTAATCTGGGAGTTTATTATAATTATTTATCTGGGTGTTTATTGCTATTACTGCTATTATTATTATTATTATTATTATTATTATTATTTATCTAGATGTTTAGCTGAGTTGCACCCTGCCTTGACCTTTGAGGAGAGGCAGGCAGCAAAGAACATGTATTATTATTATTATTATTATTATTATTATTATTATTATTATTGACTTGGGTGTTTATTATTATTACTAATGTTATGTATCTGGGTGTTTATTACTATTATTGTTGTTGTTTATCTGGGTGTTTATTATTACTTTTATTATTTATCTGGGTGTTTAGCTGTGTTGTATCCTGCCTTGAGTTGTGAGGAGAGGCAGTCAACAAAGAACATGTATTATTATTATTATTATTATTATTATTATTATTATTAATCTGATGTTTAATATTATTGCTATTATTTATAGTAACAGTTTATTACTGTTATTATTTTTATTATTTATCTGGATGTTTATTATTATTATTGTTACTATTATTTATCTGGGTGTTTAACTGTGTTGTACCCTGCCTTGAGCTACAAGGAGAAGCAGGCAACAAAGAACATGTATTAATATTGTTGTTGTTATTATTATTATACAGGTTTTTTATTATTATTTTACTGACACAAAAACACAGTATGTCACAGCAAACAAGATCTATATGCTGGATTTCATATCACAAAAGTCGAACATTTCCCAAGCATCTAGGACTGTGTGATGATGATGATGATTATTATTATTTATCTGGGTGTTTAACTGTGTTGTATCCTGCCTTGAGCTGCAAGGAGAGGGAGGCAACAAGGAACATGTATTATTGTTGTTGTTGTTGTTATTATACATGTGAGTAGATCAATAGATACTACTCCTTTGGGAAGGTAACAGTGCTCCATGCAGTCATGCAGGCCACATGATCTTGGATGTGTCTACGGACAATGCCTGCTCTTTGGCTTAGAAATGGAGATGAGCACCAAACCCAAAGTTGGACACAACTGGACTTAATGTCAGGGGAAAACCTTTACTTTACTATTATTATCAGGTTGCTTGTTGTTGTTGTTATTGATATGGGTATTATTATTGTTATTATTATTATACAGGTTGATGATGATGATGATGATTATTAATCTGGGTGTTTAACTGTGTTGTATCCTGTCTTGAGGTATGAGGAGAGGCAGCAATAAAGAACATTTAGTATTATTATTATTGTTTTGGGTGTTTATTATTATTGTGATTATTATTTATCTGAGTGTTTAGCTGTGTTATACCCTGCCTTGAGATACGAGGAGTTAGGTAACTACTACTACTACTACTACTACTACTAATAATAATAATAATATGTTAGTGTTATCAAAAAATAATGTATGAATCTCCCTCCTTTGTTTTCTCTGGCATGCCTGAGTTCTCCAAGAGTAGTGTGTGAATGCATCTCCTGTGTAATGTCTTAATTTGTACCTCCCCATTTCCAGCAGAAGAGATCACCCAATATACACTTTTGGGACTTTGAAGGAGGGATTGGGATAGCCTTTTTTTCTTTTCTAAGCCTGTCCTCCTCCTCCTCTTGATTATTTTGGAAGGAAAACTCCTTCTTACCACCTCCCAAACCCCTCTCTTCCTTCCATGGTGAAGGGATCTCTTTCCATCTTTTCCATATTTGGGACCTTTGCTTTGGCTTGAGAAAAAGGGATCTCAGTCACACCTTTGCCTTGTGTGCTCCTCTGCAAATGCATGCTTTCAAGTCTAACTCACCATTGGGCTTCCCTGGCTTAGAACGAGTCTCTTTTTTTCTTGGCAGGAAGCCTACGTGGAGTACCTCAAGAGCATCCACTACATCTCCCAGGCCTTGCTGGAAGAGGCCACAGCGGCCAAAGGTGAGTTGCACTTCCCCTATCACAGTCCATGGGAAAGGCGGACCACAAGCCAAGCATGAGTCAACAGTGTGTTGCAGCAGCTAAAGAAGCTAAGGTGATTCTAGGCCACATCAATAGGAAGATAGTGTCCAGATCAAGGGAAGTCAAAGATCCCAATCAATTCCGCTTTGGTCAAGCCTCATCTGGAATAATAATATGTCCATCTCTGGGCAAAGCAATTCAAGAAGGAGGTGGCCAAGCTGGAAGATGTCCAGAGAAGAAGGATTAAAATGGTAAAAAGGTGTTGAAATCATGAATCCCTCTGAGGATCACTTTAGGGTGCTGTTGGTGTTTAGCTTGGAGAAGAGGAGGCTAAGAAGGAATATGAGAGCCATGTTTATAGATTCTTGAAAATATATCTCATTGAGGAGGGCGAAAACTTGCTTTCTGCTGCTCCAGAGACTGGGACACAATTATTATTTATTTTGCAGTGGAGCCATAGATTCAAATTGCAGGAAAATAGATTCCACAAACTTTATGAAGAACTTCCTGGTGGTTAGATCTATTAAACAATTGCATACACTGCCCTGGAGTCCAGTGGACTTTCCTTATCTAGGGCTCTTAAGCAGAAGCTGGAAGGCCATCTGTCGGGAGGGCTTGGATGGTGTCTGTAGCAGCATGGGGTTGGATTGGATGGTCCTTGGGAGTCTTTTCAACTCTGTGATTATATGATCCCATGGCATATTCTGTCCCAGCAATAATAACGATATATAACAAAATTTGAAAGTGTTATTTCCTGTTTAATTGTGCAATACTTACTTTGAAAGTAGTTGTTCTACTCCAGAAACTTCATTTTTGTGGTTGCCACAAACTATGTTGAATTGGTTGAGACTCAATGAGATATCAATTGAAAAAGTAGAGCAAAAGGTGCTGCAGGATGTCTCGCAAATGCAGTTTAATAAACGTTTCCCATATTTTTATGAATCAATTAGGAAATGACTTTTATATCCCAGGAACAAAAATCATGTTAAATTGTGTAATAACGTAATCATTTATTTTTTCTCTTGTCGGAAAGTGTCCGGCTTGGATAAAACTGCCAGGATTTCGCGCTCCATTATAGCCAGAGTTCCTCTGACATCAAGTTTCTGGAATGTGGAAGTAATTTCTGAGGAGGGCCATTGTTAGGTTGCTGATAAATCACCCAGAAGGCGTTGCCAGCGTAGAGATTTCAGAGCAGCTCTGTTGAATAGACCTGGCATTTGAGAAAGGGATTTTGGACAGGGAACAGTTTGCTTTGGGCTGTCCCAGAGCTTGGAAACATTACCTGGTTATGGTGAAATTCTGGAAGGGGAAGTCCAAACATTACGTTTACCCCTTTCCTTATGTTTTCCTCTTTTGTTACACCCTCTGTGATCAATATGTAAGACATTGCCACAGCCACCTTGCCATGGCATCACAAGAAGGCAATCCCAGCTTTCAGGGTTTAGCGCTAGCAAAATGTGACTCTTTGAATACAAATATTTTTGGAATTTGTTTTGAATGTGAAACTGTAACAATAGCAGGGGATTGCTATCATTTGGTTTGTTGACCTGTGTGATGGCAGTTCCATTATGTGCTAACTGTTTGAGCTTCTTCTTGGAATATTGAAGTCCTAACATGTCTCCTCAATTTTCTAGTTCAACAGTAGCCATAACAAGATTTTTGTTCCTGGGTTATAAATGTCATTTCCTAATTGGTTCTATCATACAAACATGGGAAATTTCATTAAACTGAAAAAACTTCGTTTTTGCGGGACATCCCTCAGCACATTTTGCTATAGTTTTTCAATGAATATCTCATAGAGTCTCAAACAATTCAACATAGTTTGTGGCAGCCACAGAAATAAAGTTTCTAGAGTATAACAAGTACTTTCAAAGTAGGGTCAGCACAACTAAACAGCAAATAGTACTTTCAAACCAAGAACAGAAAACCTTTCACATTTTGTTACATAGTGTAATCAGCCCTTTTCTTTCATACCTCGCTTTTCCTGCAAAAGCAGAATCAAAATCAAAGGCAGAATCAAAATAGTCTCACTACCTCTGAGGATGCTTGCCATAGATGCAGGCGAAACGTCAGGAGAGAATGCCTCTAGACCATGGCTATATAGCCAGAAAAAACCTACAACAACCCAGAATAAAAATAAATGCAAAATTTGGAAAGAGACCAGTAAGTTTGGCTTTAGTTTGCACTTGGACCAATATATTATTATTATTATTATTATTATTATTATTATTAGAAACACTACAAGATGTCCACAGCAGACAAGATCACTCTGCAGGCTGTTGTATTGGATCACACGTCGGACACTTCCCAAGTGTCTAGGACTGTGTGATGTATTGGTGAATAATGTGTGCAGTTCTAAGTAGGGTGGCCTTTGGCAGCTGACAGATGCAATTTTGTCAGCTCCGATTGTTTTAAGTGCAGGCCAAGGTCTTTAGGCATTGCACCCAGTGTGCTGATCACTATTGGGACCCCCTTGAGTGGCTTGTGACAGAGTCTTTGCAGTTCGATTGTTAAGTATTTCTATCATGTAAGCTTTTCCAGTTGCTTCTCATCCATTCTGCTGTCACCTGAGATTGCAACATTATTATTATTATTATTATTATTATTATTATTATTATTATTATTAACAATCCATACTTGACTTTTTTCCCACAGTTGTGAGGTCAGGAGTCTTGCGCTCCAAAACTCTGTCCATCTGTATTCAGAAGTCTCAGAGTAGTTTGACGTGTTCAGTTTCCGCAACTTTTTCATGCTTGTGATCTCACCAGTCCTTTGTCGCAGGAAGATGGTATTTGTGGCACAAGTTCCAATGGGTCATCTGATGTATTGGTGTTATGCCTCTGTTTATAGTATGTGTGTACCATCTTCTTGCAGCAGCTGAGTTTGTGATCCATCATTTCATCTGCTTCCTTGCAGAGTCTACATTTCTGTGGTCAACTTTTCAATTCTGGCTTTGATGACATAGGTTCTAATTGTTTGTTCATGGGCTGCAAGAATCAGGCCCTCCGTCTCAATACTGTCTCAATAATAATAATAATAATAATAATAATCTTATTATCATGTTGTCCTTGTCTTTCTCCCTCGTAGCTGATGGAAGTGATGTGACTCCTGATACTCCCAAGATGCTAAAAGTAGCAGAGCAATGCCTGGAAAGAGCCAAGAGCAGTGTCACCAAAATCGGTGAGCCTTGCTTGTTTACCATTTGTTTTTCTTTTGTCCTGGGAGAATGCAGTTCATTTCTGGCTTGAAATCTGGAATTGCCCTTTAAGCTTTGCTGAAGCTGCATGTCCCAGCCGTTCGGGATAACCAATGATGAAGAATGCTGGGAGTTGCAGCCCGGGAGTATCCACAGAGTTGTCCTCCACTGTGGTTGGACTGCATCTCCCATTATTCTTGACGACAGTGGCTGCTGGGTGCTGCACACCAGCCACATCTGGAGGGATGCATGAATGTAGTCCCCATTCTCTCTGTGTAGATTGGGCACAATTTTCTTTCCATCTGCAGAATGAGTTGTGCTGTTGTTGTTGTTGTTGTTGTTGTTGTTGTTATTATTATTATTATTATTATTTAGCTCTTTTCCTCTTAAGCAGTGATCAGTGGTAAAAACAACACGCCACTTTGTTGTATTGTTGTGTGGAGTTGTTCCAGGCTACATTTGCATCTGTATCTGAGTCCCTTGGATTCAGGCCATTCAGTTGACCATCAGATAGGGTCAGCTGACCTGTTACTCTTTGACCCTGGGCAAATATTGTGTTGGAAGGGAGCAGGCTGGTTTCTTCCTTCCTTCCTTCCTTCCTTCCTTCCTTCCTTCCTTCCTTCCTTCCTTCCTTCCTTCCTTCCTTCCTTCCTTCCTTGACCCTGCTCTTTCTTAGGAAGGGAAGGAAGTGAGGTCGACTAGCCCTGCAAACACATTTAGGGACAAGTCCAAGAGGCAGACCCAAGCTGCATTTTAGACTCAAACAGCATAATATACAAGTTGAATATCTCTTATCTAGAAATCTAGAATAATCCAAAAATTGTCCATATGGATTGCTGAAATAGTGCTTTGGATGTGTCGTACACCAGAGCAGGGACACCTCTGGCCTTAAACACCACACCAATAGTAAATCAGCAAGCAGTGTATTGAAGGATATAAGTAAGCAAAGTAGTAAAATCATCAAGACAAAACAAATTCCAAAACAAAGGTTAGTCCATGAGCTTCAAGGCAAAACAAGGTCCATAGGTATATAAATCCATGAAAATTTCATGTTTAGACTTGGATCTCCATCTCCAAGATATGTGCAAACAGCAACTCTTTCAGTTGAAGCTGTGGCAGTGCTACTAAAGTGATATAATTGTGGTGTGTGGATTCCCCCACTGGATGGTCCTCTCCTCCTTTGCTTTGCAGGAAAAGGAAAAGCGAAGCTGGCGGCGGAGCGGATTTTGGGGCCGGCCCCCACTTCCCGGCACCGGAGGGTCTATTCGGACGAAGGGGGCAAGCTCTCGCCTTTCTTGCCTCCTGAAATGTTCCAAAAGCTGCAAATCACCGAAGTCCAGAGCGGCAAGAAGTGAGAAAGTGTTATTGTAATCCCACTAGTCTTATTTCATTATCCTACTCATCTAGCCTACTGTCAATAGGGAGAAAGATAGCGTGGAAATAAAGCTGATTATTAGTATTCTCACTAATCCAGTGTTTCTCAACCTAGCGGTTGGGATACCTGGGGGGGGGTCGCGAGGGGGTTTCAAAGGGGTCGCCATAGGCCATCTGACAACACACATTTCTGATGGCCTTAGGCTGAAGATCTGCCTATCTTTCTCTTCCTTTTTGGAAACAGAGGGTGCATCCTCTCACCTAAAGCCCTCCTTCACTGATTGGCTGGCCTCTCAGCCAAGGGGAGGGCTGTTTCTGAGACTCCAAGCGGGGGAGGGGAGAGCAGGTATGCGCGGCACATGGCAGCATGGTGCGCATGTGCGGGCAAGTGTGAGCGTACAAGGCTGGAAGGAGGCTCGCACCAGCGAGTCCCTTCAAGGAATGGATGTTTTGTGTGGCAAGTTTGGCCCAATTTTATCATTAGTAGGGTTCGGAATGCTCTTTGATTGGAGGTGAACTATAAATCCCAGCAACTACAACTCCCAAATGTCAAGGTCTATTATCCCCAAACTCAGCTAGTGTTCACATCTGGGCATATTGAGTATCTGTGCCAAGTTTGGTCCAGATCCATCATTGGGTGAGTCCACAGTACTCTCTGGATGTAGGTGAACTCCAACTCCAAAACCAAAGGTTAATGCCCACCAAACCCTTCCAGTATTGTCTGTTGGTCATGGGAGAACAGTGTGCCAAGTTTGGTTCAATTCCATTGTTGGTGGGGTTTAGAATGCTCTTTGATTGTAGGTGAACTATAAATCCCAGCAACTACAACTCCCAAATGTCAAGGTTTATTTTCCTCAAACTCCACCACTGTTCACATTTGGGCCTATTGAGAATTCATACCAAGTTTGGTCCAGACCCATCATTGTTTGAGTCCACAGTGCTCTCTGGATGTAGGTGGACTACAACTCCAAAACTCCAAAACTCAAGGTTAATGCCCATCAAACCCTTCCAGTATTTTCTGTTGGCCATGGGAATTCTGTGTGCCAAGTTTGGTTTGGAATGCCCTTTGAATGTAAGTGAACTACAAATCCCATCAATTACAACTCCCAAATGACAAAATCAATCCCCCAACCACACCTGTATTCAAATTTGGGCGTATCGGGTATTTGTGCCAAAATTGTAGTTGAACTATAAATAATCCCAGCAACTAAAACTTCCTAATGACAAAACCAGTCCCCCCCTAACCCCACCAGTATCTGGTATTTGTGCCAAATTTGGCCCAGTGAATGAAAATATATCCTGCCTATCAGATATTACGATTCATAACAGTAGCAAAATTACAGTTATGAAGCAGCAATGAAAATAATGTTATGGTTAGGGGTCACCACAACACGAGGAACTGTATTAAGGGGCCAAGGCATCAGGAAGATGGAGAAACATTGCATCTTATCATCTTTAAAATATACTTTGATTTTTTGATGGGGACCTTTTTGACACATCGGTGGGAGGTGGCACGCCTTTCCTTTCCCATTTTGGGAAGATCAGGGGTAAAATTACGCTGGATGAATATTGTCCACTGGCCAGTTGCTCGCCCCAAATGAGCTATCCAAGATATTGAATCTCGGCTTATTTACATTTGGACTAAAACTCAGGCTGGATCCCTGGAATTTCCTGGCTGCCATTGCTTCTGACCGTGATAATGGAGGGTAGGGTGGGTTGGGGTGAAAATTGGGGATGAAACCCCCATATAAATAAATGTCTTCTCCTTCTTGCACAGGGAGCTGACACCATTGGAAGAGGCTTCGCTGCAGAACCAGAAGCTGAGGGCCACCTACGAGGCCCGTCTAGCGAGGCTGAACCCCAGCCAAGCCATGCAGAAGACCTCTCTGGCAAGTGGGGTATTTGGGAGGTGGGGATTCTGGGACTTGTAGTCTGGGAAAAGTACTGTATATACTCAAGTATAAGCCTAGCCCTTTTTTTAGGTTGAAAAAGTCTTCCCCAGCTTATACTTGAGTCAAGGTTATTTATTATTTTACTTTGTTGTTGTTGTTGTTGTTGTTTGTTTTATTTTATTATTGTTGTTATTACATTTATTACTTTACCCTATGATTGTTATTACTATTATTATTATTTTACTCTATTTATTATTATTGGAAGGATACGTAAGCATATTTACATTGAAGAAGGTTAGAATAATGGTCGAATCAGAATTGGACAAAATCAACATAAAATAAAAATAAAAATAGATATCCAATAAAATTACATTAATTCAGGCATCAGTTGGTTAAACGTTTTTGAATATTTACATAAAACTGTAATTCAAGAGTCTTATCTTGAATTACAGTTTTATGTAAATATTCAAAAACGTTTAACCAACTGATGCCTGAATTAATGTAATTTTATTGGATATCTATTTTTATTTTGACATTTATCAGTAGCTGCTGCATTTTCCACCCTCGGCTTATATTCGAGTCAATCCATTTCCCCAGTTTTTTGTGGTAAAATTAGGTGCCTCAACTTATATTCGGGTCGGCTTATACTCGAGTATATACGGTAACATTTTCAAGCTCTGAGTGGGAACCTCCGGGCTTTTCCTTGGTTCAAAGAGTGCCATGGTTCGGCTCCTGTCCTATGGACAAGACCAATGGGCCAACTTTGGCCCTCCAAGTGTTTTGGACTTCAACTCCCACAATTCCTAACAGCCTGGAGGGGCCACCTGTGACTTGTGGACCCCGGTTTCTGGATGCTCCAAGAGCTTAGGGTCTTTGGTTTTCCTGGAAGGCTTTGGAGAGGGATTTGGCATCCTTCGCTTTCTCCTCGTGTCCCTTCATTGGTTGTTCTTTCCCTCGCAGACGCTTTCCCTGCAGCGGCAGATGATGGAGAACTTGGTGATCGCCAAAGCAAGGGAAGAGACAGTATCCTTTTTCGGGTTCTTGCAGCAGAGAAGAGGGATTCTAGAACCGTATAGTTGGAAGAGACCCCAGGCAAGGTTGACCTTCTGGGATGTGTCCAGATAAGAGCAACCAAAATGATCATCAAAGGTCTGGAAGCCATGAATCCCTATGAGGAGCAGATGAGGGACCTGGGGATGTTTACTTTGGAGAAGGAGAGAAGGCTGATTTGAATACTGGGAAAGAGGTCCCATTGAAGAGGAGTGGGACCAACTAGGGAGAACTTTGTGATGGACAGAGGTGTTCAATGGTGGAATAAGATATGCTTCTGGGTTGTTGTGAGTTTTCAGAGCTGTCTGGCCATGTTCTAGAAGCATTCTCTCCTGACGTTTCACCCACATCTATGACAGGCATCCTCAGAAGTTGTGAGGTGTGTTGGAAACAACACAAGTGGGTGTTATATATCTGTGGAATAATGTCCAGGGTGGGAGAAAGAACTCTAGTCTCTTTGAGGCAAGTGTGAATGCTACAATTGGGCACCTTGGTTAGCATTGAAAAGCCTTGCAGTTTTAAGGCTTGACTGCTTCCTGCCTGGGGGAATCCTTTGTTGAGAGGTGTTAGCTGGCCCCGATTGTTTCTTGTCTGGATTTCCCCTGTTTTTGAGTGTTGTTTTTTCTTTACTGTTCTGATTTAAGAGGTTTTTAATACTGGTAGCTAGATTTTGTTCCTTTGGTTTTCTCCTTTCTGTTGAAATTGTCCACATGCTTCTTTTGGATTTGAATGGCTTCTCTGTGTAGTCTGACATGGTAGTTGTGAGAGTGGTCCAGCATTTCTGTGCTCTCCAATAATATTTTGTTGTTTATATTTTATGTTGCTGTAATGTATCGCTGGGCTTGGCCTCATGTAAGCTGCTCCGGATGGTGGCAGGGTATAAATAAAGATTATTATATTATTATTATTATTATTATTATTATTATTATTATTATTATTATTATGCTGTGTCCAGGTTGGTTCATCAAGTACTCTGGACACTGATGTATTATTTGAGAACACAGAAATGCTGGACCACTCTAACAACTACCATGTAAGACTACACAGAGAAGCCATTTAATTCCAGACAAGAAACAATCAGGTCCAGCTAATCATCTCCCAACAAAGGATTCCCCCAGGCAGGAAGCAGCCAAGCCTTGAAGCTGCGAGGCTTTTCAGTGCTAATCAAGGTGGCCTAGTTGCCTAGTTTCCAACAAACTTCACCTCTGAGGATACCTGCCATAGATGTGGGCAAAACATCAGGAGAGAATGCTTCTGGAACATGGCCAGATAGCTCGGAAAACTCACAGCAACCCAGTGATTCCAGCCGTGAAAGTCTTCAACAATACAATATTTGCTTCTGCTTGGAAGTCTTATTTATTTATTTATTTATTTACAACATTTATACGCCGCCCTTCTCACCCCAAAGGGGACTCAGAGTGGTTTACAAGATATATATATACATACAATACGTTATTAGCATAGTGCAATATCAGTATTAAATATTACTATGTTATACTATACCATTATATTGTAATATTATTAGTAATATTACATGTAATATAAATATATAATTATACTATCATATTAGTAGTAGAAGTATTATATTGCATGACATTATAATATTATAAATATTATACGTATATATATTATGGGAGCCCCCAGTGGCGCAGTAGGTTAAAGCACTGAGCTGCTGAGCTTGTTGAGAGGTTGCAGGTTCGATTCCAGGGAGTGGCGTGAGCTTCCGCTGTCAGCCCTAGCTTCTACCAACCTTGCAGTTCGAAAACATGCAAATGTGAGTAGATCAATAGGTACCGATCCGGCGGGAAGGTAACGGCGCTCCATGCAGTCATGCCGGCCACATGACCTTGGAGGTGTCTATGGACAACGCTGGCTCTTTGGCTTAGAAATGGAGATGAGCACCACACCTCGGAGTCAGACATGATTGGACTTAATGTCAGGGGACAACCTTTACCTTTACCTATATTATATTATATTGTATTGTATTGTATTATATTATTAGCATAGCACAGGAGACAAGGTGGAACTGTCCCCTGGCCCCCTCTCTCTATGGAGTCCCCTTCTCTAGAAGTTTTTAAGCAAAGACTGGATGGCCGTCTGTCAGGGGGGATTCGATGGTGGCAGAAAGGATTTGGACTGGATGGTCCTACTAAAGGTCTCTTACATTCATAGAGGGGACCCCAAGCAACATCCAGTCCAACCCCATTCAACCAGGCAGGAAGACACAATCCAATCCCTCCCGACAAATGCCTATCTAGCCTTTGCGTAAAATCTTCCAGGGAAGGAGGGAGACTTCACTTGACTCCAAGACAGTATATTCCATCTCTAGGATTCTGTGACAGCTTGTAATGCAGTTCACGTGTCCTGTCCTCGTATTGTTTACCCCCAAGACCTTTTATGATTCAATCTGCCTGGGTTTCCGTGAGGTCAGGTGTTGGCCAGAGAACGGGCTGGACCTCTGCTCCTCACTGCCTCCTCAGCCCTGAACATACAAACTTGGGTGGCCCCTCCTACCTCCGGCTGACTGGTCCTGGTGGAGTTTGCCCCGGATGCCTGGCTGTTTGTTACCTGGCTCTGGCGTCCCAAGGTGCTGTGCTACAGAGATGGGCGGCAACGGGAGCTCAGTGGTCATTGAAGCCTTAACTCTGCTGCACTTTAGCTTCAGCGGAAGATGGAAGAGCGCCGTCTGCGGCTGCAAGAAGCTGCCAACAGGCAAGTAAGACTTGATTGTTGGGAGGGATGCTTGCAGAATGGGATTTCTTTGCACCCTTATTCACACTGTAGAATGCCGCCACTTGAACTCCCAGAGCTCATGGGTGTGGAATCCCGGGAGTTCAAGTTTCAACTCTTTGACTGAGATGGCAAAACTACAACTCCCAGGATCCCATAGCATTGAGTCCTGTTGTAGCCCCATAGGTCAGGGAAGGGGTAAAGGCCAGGCTTCTGTGTCTGTGTCGATGTGAGGGATTGCGTTCCGGGTTTTAATCCGAACTTTGATCCAGCTTTAATTTTAATAGCAGTCTTCAGAGATTCGACACAAGTGAAGACCTATCCCGTCAGTTTTAATTATGACTTTTAAATCAGATTCTATGTTGGTTGTGTTTTAACTCTCAGGTACTTGAATAGATCTACTCTTAATATATGCTTTTATAGTTGCATTTTGACTATGTTTTAATACACAATTTTATAGATGTATGAAATTACCTAGATCAATAGACCTTGGTGGTGCAGCGAGTTAAACCGCCGAGCTGCTGAACTTGCTGATTGAAAGGTTGGCGGTTCAGATCCGGGGAGCGGGGCGAGCTTCCGTTGTTAGCCCCAGCTTTTGCCAACCTAGCAGACTGTTGTTGTTATTATTATATTATTATATTATTATTATTATTATTATTATTATTATTATTATTATTATTATTATCTATATTTATACCCTGCCATTCGCACCTCCGAGGGGGGACTCAGGGTGGCCTCACAAAAACACCATACGGTGTCATCATAATAAAAACAATCAACAATACATTCAACTATTAAAAATATTAAAACAGTAGTTAAAACAATTGATTAACACATGCCTATTAAAATGGGAATCTAAAATCCAGTCCGGGTCAAATCATTGCCATAAATGTTAAAATCTTCTTTCACTTGCTGCTCACTAATTGAACACTTGGTCCAAAGCCAGGTCTTGATTTTCCTCCTAAAAGGAAGGAAATTTTTATAATCTAATATAGCAATAAATAATAATAATAATAATAATAATAATAATAATTATTATTATTATTATTATTATTATTATTATTATTATTATAGAATCCTAGAGTTGAAGTCCCTGTGGAACAGTGGGTTAAACCACTGAGCTACTGAACTTGCTGACTGAAAGGTCACAGGTTTGAATCTGTGGAGCGGTGTGAGCTCCCTCTGTTAGCCCTAGCTTCTGCCAACCTAGCAGTTCAAAAACATGCAAAATGTGAGTAGATCAATAGGTACCACTTCTGTGGGAAGGCAGCGGCGCTCCATGCAGTCATGCTGGCCACATGACATTGGAGGTGTCATAGAAATGGTGATGAGCACCAACCCCCAGAGTCGGACACGACTAGACTAAATGTCAAGGGGAAACCTTTACCTTTACATTATAGATGTATTTGACCATGTTGTGCCCTTCTTTGAACCGAAAGGAAAGATGGATAATAAAATTTAAAATTATTGTTATTATTACCTATTATAATAATAATAATTATTATTATTATTCAATCTCTTGGCTATTCAGTCCCTCAAGCTATAATCCAGAGCAGATTTGCACAGACACCAAAGCAGAAGAATCAGGAAAACTATCAACATTTAGAGAAGCCACTATGGGATGTTGGAAGGCAGTGAATCCGCTTTGGGTTTTAGTCTGAACTTTAAAGGGGGCTATATTATATTTCATACATTGCTCACCTGTGATTTAATTTCAAACACCTTGAAAAGTGCTTTTAAATTCCAGACTAAACCCTGCAAGTGCACTTTCCCTAATTTCTGTGTGCTTTTCTGTCATGCAGGAGGTTCTCCAGCAACGCCGTGCTGACCCCAGAGGAACAGGAGCAGCGCGCCATTTATGCCGCCATCTTGGAGTATGAGCAAGATCATGTAAGTGGAAGCTTTGGGGCATGAAGGTACTCCAATCATAATGTGTATGTCTTTACCTGTAAACAGAGAGCCTTTCCCTCTTCATTCTATCATGAGTTAGACAATATTGTGCTGGAGGATCTAGAGATCCATAGAGGGAACAGCTAGGACTTAAAGCACACTTCTTATGGTATGTTTCCCCACAGAAATTGACCAAAGGCTTGTGATTGAGGACCTATAGATTCCATGATACATGTTCTTTTAGGTTATAAAAACTGGGATCTTTTGTTACCAAATGTGGCCTTTGCACGCGTTGCTGTGGCCCAGTCTGTGTATATGTGCTTTGTGTGTGTATATATTTATGCATATGTATAAATGTGTGTGTGTGTTGAAAAAAAACACGAATGAATTCCTATGCACACTGCACGTATCTTATTTTTAGTGAAAAAAAACCCCACTTAAAAACAATACATTAATTTAAAACAATTTTAACAAATATAAACTTATTAGTATGCCAGTGGGAAGTGTGGGCCTGCTTTTGGTTGATGAGATAGGATTGTTGTTGTGTTCTTTCAAGCCATTTCAGACTTACTTTGGAGGGCCGTATTCAGCCCCCGGGCCTTAGTTTGAGGACCCCTAGTCTAGACACTAGATTCCTTTGGATGCAGCCCTAAATCTCATTGGATTTTTAAGCTGCTGCTTATCAACATACATCTCTAGTTACATGTCACTCTAAAATACAAACATGGATATATACAACTCCATTGATGAGGGTCGCACGGGGTGCTATTTTACCTTGGACTGGAAGTGTGTGTTAAGCACAGAGGTGGTTCCCAACCTTCGAGTGTAACAATATGAATAGAAAAATTAAAAAATAGATATTGGTGGCATTATGGTAAAAGTTAAAAGGCAATAAAATCAATTAAAATGACATTTTAAAATTAGATTTGTTTAATTCAGTTTTTAATAGAGAAAAATGCAAATAAAGTAAACAGCTATATTTATATATACATACACATTGCACCAATGGCACATTATGATGCTGTCCTTTTCCTCTTCTCCCCCAAGGACTGGCCTAGGTCTTGGAAGATCCAGCTGAAGAAGAATCCCAATGACCTCTCCTTGGTATCCAAACTCATCTCCCACCTTCTCAGGTAAGGCTCAGGCAGGATCATGGAGAGGAAGGGACTCCAAAGACCATCCAGTCCATTCCCATTATATCATGCAGGAAGACACCATTAAAGTCCTCCCGACAGATGGCCATCAAACCTCTGCTTCAAAACTCCAAGGAAGGAAACTCCACCTGACCTGTGTTTTCTGCCTCCCTCCAGCTTTGCAGACCACCCCATCTGCCAGCTGCTGAAGAAGCTCCAATGCTCGGTCTACAGCCGCGTCTACCCTCTGGTCAGCTGCAGCGCTGCCTCCTCCGACCTGCGTGGCTCCAGCAAGGTCTCCCGGGGCCTGTCCCTGTCCTCCTCACTGGATGCAGCCGAGGCGTTCCTCTCCCCAGCCCCCGAAGGCAGACGTCTGCGCTCCTCCCAGAGCCTCCACTCCATGTTTTCTGTTCAGGAGAACAACAAGCTCAACCTGCGCCACAGCCTCTCTGGCACTCCCTTCATTGAGGACCAGGGTGTTGGAGTCCCCGCTGCGGGATCCGGGCCCCTCCTGGAAGAGCTGCCCTCAGCCCCAGCCGAGCGGGAGAGCTCCTTCGAGGACTTGGAACAGTTCCTCTCTGCTTCAGAGCGGTGGCCAGTGCGGACACCGACTGGCAGGAAGGCCTCCCAGCAGGAGCAGCTGAAAGCCACCGTGAAGGACATCCACAATGCCATCGGTGAGGGTCGCATGGGGTCAGGGAGCACTATTTAAGTAAAAGTAAAGGTTTCCCCTTGACATTAAGTCTAGTCGTGTCCGACTCTAGGGAGTGGTGCTCATCTCCATTTCTAAGCCAAAAGCCGGCGTTGTCTATAGACACCTCCAAGGTCATGTGACGAGCATGACTGCATGAAGTGCCGTTACCTTCCCACTGGAACGGTACCTTTTGATCTACTCACATTTGCATGTTTTTGAACTGCTAGGTTGACAGAAGCTGGGGCTGACAGCAGGTGCTCACCTCGCTCCCCAGATTTGAGCCGCCAATCTTTTGGTCAGCAAGTTTAACCCGCTGCACCACCAGGGGCAGGGTTACCATTTAGAAATATTTAAAAAATGGTGGGTCTAATTCAGGCATAGGCAAACTTTGGCCCTCCAGGTGTTTTGGACTTCCATAATTCCTAACAGCCAGTAGTTTGCCCATGCCTGATCTGATTAGATGCCTGGTCTTGGCACAGTGGGGACAAATGGATGCATCACAATTGGTCACACAAGGTCTAGGGACACAGGAAACTTTTGAAGTTTATTTTCCATTTTTATTCAGTTCTTAACAGAGGAAAAAACACATCAAAAACCCCCAACAATAATAATAATATTTATATTTATATCCCACTTCTTCTCCCCCAAAGGCGACTCGAAGCAGATAACACTAAAAACTATACAATATTTATATTAAAGCCCAAAACATACAAACATTAAAGTAGAATTAAACGGAGGATGTATTAAAAATACGTCATTAAAACCAATAAAACCATTTAAAAACCTGCTAAACTATACAGTAGTTATATAGACATATGTATAAATATATCTGAGCAACAATTACATTACTAAGTACACATTTTTCATATTGACATACTGTACATTTCACTCTAAAATACAAATATGCATAAATATAACTCAATTGATGAGGGTCAAGGGGCACAACACACTTTTTAAGAATGTTTATTATTATTTTTGTTGTTGTTGTTTTCAACATTTTTATCCTGTCTTTCTCCCCATAGGGACTCAAGGTGACTCACAATGACACAGTACCATAGTCCTTAAAAGCATGGAAAATACATATGCATATGAATAGAAAAATAAAAAAGAATTAAATATTGTTGGCAATAAAATGCAATCAAAATGCCATTAAAAATAGACTTTCACTTCAGTTTTTAATAAACACAAATAAAGAAAACAGCAATATACACACATACACATAAACATTTGAACAACAATTACTGTGAATACTCGAGTATAGGCTGAGTTTTTCAGCCCTTTATTAGGCTAAAAAAGCCCTCCTCGACTTATACTTGAATCAAGGTTATGTATTATTTTTCTCTGTTGTTGTTGCTGTTGCTGTTGTTGCTGTTATTATTATTGACTCTATTATTACAGTTATTATTTTTCTCAATTTATTATAATATTTATTATTTTACTCTATTTTTATTATTATTACTTTTATTATTTTATTCTATTTATTATTATTATTACATTTCCATTATTATGCTCTATTATTATTATTATCATTACATTTATTATTTTACTCTCATTATTATTATTATTATTATTGGAAGGATACTCTATTTTTAGTATTACATTATATTATTAGACTCTATTATTATTACATTTATTGTATCGTTATTATTATTATTATTATTATTATTATTGGAAGGATACGTAAGCACATTTACATTACAGAAGGTTAGAATAATGGTTTAATCTGAGTTGGACAGTCTTATCTTAAATTACAGTTTTATGTAAACATTTGAAAACATTTAACCTACTGATGCCTCCATTAATGTAGTTTTATTGGTATCTATTTTCATTTTAAAATTTACCCATAGCTGCTGCATTTCCCACCCTTGGCTTATACTCGAGTCAATACATTTTCCCAGTTTTTTGTGGTAAAATTAGGTGCCTCGGCTTATATTCAGGTCGGCTTGTACTCAAGTATATACGGTACATAACTCCATACATCTCTACTCTAAAATGCAGAAAACACACATATAAATTAGTTTCAAAAAAGGATTTCCTGCTACCCTTTTGTGAGTTGCTCTATACATTAACATTTCTTCTCCCACTTTCTATCCAGCAATCTATTTACCTCTGTTTGTGTTTACATTGTGAAATGAATATCCTAACAGTTGATATCTCCAAACCTGTACACAAAGTCCTGTTTCTGGACAGCAGAGGGCAAGCTTGCTTTCTGCATTTTTTCTGATGATCCACAAAAATCACATACTTAATCGGTTTCTCTCTCTTTTTACTTTCTCCCAAAAGTCTCCTTGTGAATTATTAGAAGTCTTCCAGAACCCAAACTCCAATTGACATCTTTCATTTAGTCCCCGATTCAGAAAAGAGGAGGCATGAGTCAGCTTCAGCCCTCCAGGTGTTTTGGACTTCAACTCCCACAATTGTGGGAATTGTGTGAGTTGAAGTCCAAAACACCTGGAGGGAAGGTGTGTTTGGGAAGGTGTCTTTGCTCTGGGTGCCTCCGCCGAGCCTCACGTCCCTTCTCTCCCAGACAGGCTGCTCTCCTTAACGCTGCTGGCTTTCGAGGGCCTCAATACGGCGGCTGCCAAGGACCAGTGCGTGGCGCGGCTGGAGGAGGCCTTCTTCGCCCCACTCTGGGCCCCGCTCTTGGCCGTCTACAGGTAAAGGCCGTTCACCTGGTTAGCCAAAGGCTCCATTGCCTCTCGTCAGGCCCTTAGAGGGGCTTTGCTGGTTACAAGGGACACTTACTTTGAGAAAAACACAACTCTGTTCTCTGTATCCTTCTCTCTGTTCCTTGGGGCAAAAGGGAAGGAATCTCAGGGTGAGAGGCATGCCTTGTGTAGAGTGTATGTCTACATCAGTTATGTTAGACTTGGCCAATTTTTAAACTATTTTTCATTTAGAAACTAGCGTATATACTCAGCGTTGTCTGGTTTTTGTTGAGACAGCTGCCTTCCTTCCTTCCTTCCTTCCTTCGTTCTTTTTTCATTCTTTCCCCTCACTCACTCACTTCCTTCCATCCCTCTTGTCTTCCTTTCCATTTTTCCCCTTCCTTCCTTCCTTCCTTCCTTCCTTCCTTCCTTCCTTCCTTCCTTCCTATTTTCCCCTCACTTACTTCCATCCCTCTTGCCTTCCTTTCCGTTCTCCCTCCCTCCCTTCCTTCTTTCTTTTTTCATTCTTTCCCCCTCTCACTTCCTTCAATCCCTCTTGTCTTCCTTTCTATTCTTTTTCCCTTCCTTCCTTCCTTTCTTTCTTTTTTTATTCTTTCTCCCTCTCTCACTTCCTTCCATCCCTCTTGTCTTCCTTTCCATTCTTTTTCCCATCCTTCCTTCTTTTTTTCATTTTTTTCCCCTCTCACAATTCCTCTTGTCTTCCTTTCCGTTCTATTTCCCTTCCTTCCTTCCTTCCTTCCTTCCTTCCTTCCTTCCTTCCTTCCTTCCTTCCTTCCTTCCTTTTTTCATTCTTTCCCCCTCTTACACTTCCTTCCACCCCTCTTGTCTCCCTTTCCATTCTTTTTCCCATCCTTCCTTCTTTTTTCATTCTTTCCCCAATCTCACTACCTTCAACCCCTCTTGTCCTCCTTTCCATTCTTTTTCCTTTCCTTCCATCTTCCTTTCTTTTTTTCATTCTTCCCCCTCTCACTTTCTCAATCCCTCTTGTCTTCCTCTCTGTTCTTTTTCCTTTCATTCCTTCCTTTCTTCCTTTCTTTTTTCATTCTTTCACCTTCTCTCACTTCCTTCCACCCCTCTTGTCTTCCTTTCCATTCTTTTTCCCATCCTTCCTTCTTTTTTCATTCTTTCCCCCTCTCACTTCCTTCAACCTCTCTTGTCTTCCTTTCTGTTCTTTTTCCCTTCCTTCCTTCCTTTCTTTTTTCATTCTTTCTCCCTCTCTCACTTCCTTCCATCCCTCTTGTCTTTCTTTCCATTCTTTTTCATTTCCTTCCTTACTTCTTTTTTTATTTCCCCCCTCTCTCACTTCCATCCCTCTTGTCTTCCTTTCCATTCTTTTCCCCCTTCCCTCCTTCTTTCCTTCTTTCCTTCCTTCTTTCTTCCCTCCCTCCCTCCCTCCCTCCCAGGCCCGTAGCCAGGATTTTGTTTCGGGGGGAGCTGAGTTTGATTCGGGGGGCTGAGTCTGAGTGAAAGAGGGTCTAGCCTAGCAAACCTTTTGTATTGTTACCCCAATACCCCCATGCATATGGGATATATATATATATATTATTATATTTTATTATATTTTATTATATTTTATTATGTATTGAGGTTTTAATTTAACTGTTGAATTGTTTTGTATTTTGTATTGCTTGTCAATTGATTTGGGCATCTAATTGTGCCTCCTCTGTAAGCCGCCCTGAGTCCCCCCCGGGGTGAGAAGGGCGGGGTATAAGTAAGTGAAATAAATAAAATAAATAAATATATTGAGTATACTGATCAGATCATGATATGAATAAACATAACAGTTTAAATAATGTACCAGTAAGGCCTTCTCGCGGACCACCATGGGAATTTGGGGGGGGGGGGTGAAGCTCACCAAGCCTGCTCCCTCCCTCCCTCCCTCCCTTCCTGTTGGGTGAGTGGGCTTATTAACAAAAGACCCTCCTCATAAATGTATAGTGGAGTAACTTATTAGCAGCAGCGTGACCCAGCACCAGTAGCCCAAAGTGATATAAACAACAAAAACACAAAGACCAACGTTATGTCTTCCATAGGAGGCTTTTCTTTATAGCAAAATAATATGGTTGCACTATTTACAAGAACAAGGTTTGCATAACACGAACAAAGTTCTTTACACTTCCTTCTTTGCTGCCATCCTGGGCTTCTTTCTCATGCAGATAAACAGCTTTGCTGTCATAGAGCCTCCTCTCACACAAGTTATACAGGAGCTTCACACAGTAGCTTTTTACACACAGCAGCCTTCACACATGATGGCCAACTTCGGACTTCTCTCACAAAAGCTTCTTACACCAGGCTTTCACATACGGAGGCCTGCTAACACTGAGGCCTACCTCACACTGAGGCCTTTCTCACACTGAGGGCTCACACACTGACACCTCTCATACACTGAGGCGAACTAACACTGAGTTGAACTAACACTGAGGCCTACTCACACACTGAGGTCCTTCTCCCACAGAGACCTCTCACAGACTGAGGTTTGCTAACACTGAGGGCTCCCTCAAACTGAGGACTACTAAGCTACAGGCACACCTGCTTATATTGAAACACAGCTTTTGCTGAGTAATTGCATCCATTTAACCCTTTCAGTGCTTGACACACATTTTGTAATAAAAATATCTAGTTAATATATAATATATCTAACACTTCCTTCCTCCCTTCCCCATATACCCATGTCACTTTCACAAAGGGCCACTTCACCTAGCAACAGCCTTTGTGGTAAAAACAGACAAACATACATACTTTTGCTTCTAAATATATAGAAGATTTTTTTTAAAATGTATTCAAAAGAGCAGATACAATAAAAAGTGGGATTTTAATCCTATATATTGCTAAAACTATCCAGCTGCCTAAGTAGCCATTACAACAGGCTACAAAACTGCATCAAGCAAGGACACTAACCAAACACATAACTACATCAATGTGGCATAACTACAGAAATGATTCTCCGAACCTCCCGCTCGTTTCTGTTGAGTTTTACCCCGTAGTGTCCTACTGCCTTTACTTTAGAACTGCACTTTTGCTTTTCATAACATTCCTCTAATTCATAAATCCAACAATTGAGATTGCACACCCTTCGCTGTTGTAAAAAAAATCATGAGTCTGGATCTTCCAAGATTTCTCTTCAATCAGTGAAGTTGGGTGACCCACTCCTGAATTGCAAGGAAGGCGGGCTTATTGTTGAGAAGAGCAGGCATGGGCAAACTTCGGCCCCCCTCCAGGTGTTTTGGATTTCAACTCCCACAATTCCTAACAACTCTGAAATTGTGGACCAGGTGTTGCGTCTCAGATTAGCTTCACCTTGCTCTCTGACAAACCAGCCAAGCTTGAGAAGAAAATAGTTTATTGAGGTTTCAAACAAATCCAGGTAAAAGCAGTAAAAAGTTCAATAGTACAAAGTATAGGTTCAATAGGATTTCTTAAATCAAAGCAGGAACTTGAGGCAAAGGAGCAGGATACAATCCAGGCATTAGCATGAAGTTACAGGAAGCAGGCAATCCCCCAGGCCCAAGCCCTGGGCCGAAGGTACAGTGATCCATTCTAGCAAAGTTGAACAGACACTGAACCAGCTTTCCAGCAGCATACTTATAGGTAAAACATCAAAACATGAAACTAAAACAATCTACTAACAAGCAATTTTCCCACCAGCAGATGGCCTCAAGATTTGGCCGCAATCCTCCCGCTTCTTCTTAACACCTGGAGCTTGCTCCGACCTTCACCGAGCGTCTTATCAGCCACATTCTTTGGCTGTGAGAACAAGCGTTTCTCTCTAGCTACAGACTGTGGCTGAGAAATCTGACATCCCCCTGCATCTGTATTCCCATTCCCATCATGCTCACTTGCACTCTCAGACCCATCATGCTGTTGCTGAACCACAACACCAGGTTGTGGTTGAGAGTCAGCTGCATTAAAATCACTACTGACCAAAAGGTCATGAGTTTGAAGCCAGCCCGGGTCGAAGTAAGCTTCCGACCATTTGTTTAGCTTGCTGTCGACCTTTGCAGCCCGAAAGACAGTTGCATCTGTTAAGTAGGAAATTTAGGTACCACTTATGCGGGGAGGCTAATTTAACTAATTTATGATGCCATAAAACTCTCCAGCAGCGTGTAAAAGAATGAGGAAGTACTCTTATTGGTGTCACAAGTGGACAGTGAAGCAACAGCTCCCCGGTGGCCAGAATTCAAAGCATGGAAAATTAAATAGCCTCTGTGTGTCTGTATATATATGTTGTGTGTCTATGGCATTATGGCTGTTTGCCATGTATATGTGCATGGTGATCCGCCCTGAGTCCCCTGCGGGCTGAGAAGGGCAGTGGCCTGAGTTGCCCTTCAAAAACAGCCATTAGACAATGTTGAATGTAAAAGAAAAATGCTTTCCTTCAGCAAACACAAAGGATAAGCAAATGCAATTGAAAAGTGCAAAGGAAAACAAGGACGTCTTAATCCAGACACAAATTAAAGTTTCTTACAAAGTCCCAAAAGAAATACTAGTCTTCCTTCAGACAACGGGCAATGAACTAAGTCCTTAGCAGCAGACACATAGCAGATTCCATTGGAGTGAAACCATCAGTATCAGGGTCGTTGTTACCAACGAAAGCTGACTGCTCCTACCTCTGATTTATAGCCCTGAATTCCCCATGCAGGAGGTGCTAGGGCGTCTCCCAATTAGCTCAGCGTTTTTAGCAGCTGAATGCCACCTGTGCTCTGTCTCTTTCCGTCTCTCTAGAAATGTGGGCACTTGCAAACACTCATCGTCTGATTCTTCTTCTCCCTCCAATTCCTGAGCACTTCCCTGCTCCCCTTCCTCTTCCGAAGATGAGGAATCCCCAACAGGCGGAATATAAATACTGTAAATAAGTAAATAAATAAATAATGTCCAAAACACCTGGAGGAAGGCCAAAGTTTGCCCAGACCTGAGAAGAGGGTTGATTATAGCGACCTTAAAATGGGAGAAACCAGCCACTAGGTAAAAGACACACGTTTTTCAAATTCACCAGCCTTTGTGTCTGTCCCATTCTTCCTTTAGAAATGTCTACAAGGCCCGGGAGGCAGCTCTCTCTCGGAGCATGGAGCTGCACCGGAATGTGGCCCCATCGGACGCCGGCATTTCGGCCAAGCTCCTCCCGCAGGGCAGCCACACCAGGGGACCCGGGGCCTGTCCGTATGGTGCGGCCGTCCAGGAACTGATGCTCCTTCCCCTCGGCTCCTGTCCCCAAAAGAAGCTGGAGTGCATCGGTGAGGAGCTGGTGGTGGGTTGGGCATCTCCCAGGAAGAGATGCAGGTCTAGGAATAATCTTCTATATAAAAAAAAATGTAATGTTTGTTTGTGGGATTAACAGAACTCAAAAACCACTGGACAAATTGACACCAAATTTGGACACAAGACACCTAACAACCCAATGTATGTCCTCCACTCAAAAATATTGATTTTGTCATTTCGGAGTTGTAGTTGCTGGGATTTATAGTTCACCTACAATCAAAGAGCATTCTGAACCCCACCAACGATGGAATTGAACCAAACTTGGCACACAGTTCTCCCATGACCAAGGGAAAATGGGCAGTGTCCTTTGTTTTTGGAGTTGTAGTTCACCTACATCCAATGATCACCATGGACTCAAACAATGGTGGATTTGGACCAAACTCTACACAAATACTCCATATGCCCAAATGTGAACACTGGTGGAGTTTGGGGAAAATAGAATCTTGACATTTGGGAGTTGTAGTTGCTGGGATTTATAGTTCACCTACAATGACAGAGCATTCTGAACCCCACCAACAATAGAATTGGGCCAAACCTCCCACCCAGAACCCCCATGTGGGCCACAGCAACGCGTGGCAGGGAACGGCTAGTAATAATAATAATTGTTGTTGTTATTGTTTTCCTACCCTGCAGTGCGGACCTTGCGAATTATCTGTGAATGTGCAGAGGAATACTGTGGGAGCTCTGAAGGCAGGCCTCATCCAGCATCAGCCGCCATGTGAGTAGAGTGACCCAAGGCCCAGGGAATGATGGGGATGCTGAGTTAGATGATCTTTAAATCATAAAGTTGGAAGAGATCCCAAGGGTCATCCAGTCCAACCCTTTTCTGCCAGGCAGGAAGACACTAATCGCATTGACTTTTTAAACAGTTGCATCACACCATTGGCTCATGTTCAGCTTGTGCTCCACTGAAACTCCTAGATTCCTTTCTCAGCAGAAGAGGGTCATACTATGTCTTCCTTTGATCTGAACACTAGACTCTTATGGGTGTTACCTACAGTCTCATTGGTTTTTTGATCTGCTGCATCACAATGTAGTCTCACAGTCAGCTTGGGGTCTGCTAAGACTGCTAGATCCCTTTCAAATGGACTGGTTTCCAGCTATATGTCATTTAATTGCTTTGCCCAGAAGTGGACACAGGGTTATTCTAGGTGAGAAGGTCTGATCAAAGCAGAAAAGAGTGGGAGTATGACTTTGCTCGATCTTGACACTATCCTTCTGTCGATGAAGCCTAGAATCACATTGGCCTTTTCATCTGCCGCATCACAATGTTGGCTTATGTTCCAGTTGTGGTCTCCTAAGACCCCTAGATCTCTTATGCAGCAAAAGAGAGCTAAAAGTATTTATTCCCTCGATCAGGACACTATCTTCCTATTGATGCAGCCTAGAATCGCATTGGCCTTTTCAGCTGCTGCATCACACTGTTGGCTTGCGTTCCGCTTGTGGTCTCCTAAGACTCCTAGATCTCTTACACAGCAGAAGAGAGCTAAAACTATTTGTTTCCTCGATCTGGACACTATCCTATTGGTGCAGCCTAGCATCGCATTGGCCTTTTCAACTGCTGCATCACAGTGTTGGCTCATGTTGAGCTTGTGGTCTACCAAGGCACAGAATTATTCTGACTAAAACTAAACTTTATTGGGACTATTACTTCCTCCGATCCAGACACTATGCTACAGCTGCAGTCTAGGATCGCATCGGCTTTTTTTTTTTTTTTTTTTGCTGCCGCATCATGCCGTCAGTTCCTGTTTCTCTTGTAGTCTAATAAGTCTCATAGATCCCTTTTTCCATGTATTTATTTATTTACGACATTTATATGCCGCCCTTCTCACCCCAAAGGGGACTCAGAGCAGCTTGCAAGATATACATACGTACAATATATTATATTCTTAGCATAGTACAATATATATAAAAAACTAGCTGTGCCCTGCCACGCGTTGCTGTGGCCTGTAAGAATTTTCAAAGTAGAGGTAGATATCTGGACTGTTATGAAAGAGAGGTCCCAACCTATTCCTTCCCCCTTTTCCTCCCCTTTCTCTCCTTTCTTCCTTCTCTACCTCTTTCTTTCTTTCACTACTTGGTTTCGTCCTTCTCTCTTTCCTTCATTCCTCCCCCTTTCTTCCTTTGCCTTTCTTCCCTCCCTGTTTGCTTCCTTCTTTCACTTTTTATTTCCTTTTATTTTACCACCATCATAACAATAACAATAATGCAATGCATTGCCTCTGGGACCTGACACCTCTCCCATTCCTCCAGGGTCTCATAGGAAGAATAGCATAATAATAATAATAATAGAAATAACAACCTTTACCCGCCACGTGTTGCTGTGGCCAATCTTCCCTCTTTCTCCTTTCCCTCCTTCCTTCCTTCCTTCCCTCCCATCTTTCCTTCTCCTCTTCTTTCTCTATCTCTTTCCTTCCTTCCCCCTTTTTCTTTTTTTTCTGCTGTCTCTCTTTCCTTTCCTTCCATCTTTCCTTTTCTTTCCTTTTCTTCTTCCTTTCTCTAACTTCCTTCCTTCCCCCTTTTTCTTTACCTCCCTTTCTCTTTCTTCTTTCCTTCCTTCCCGTCTTTCCTAGATTTTGACAGGGCGGGAAGGGGCAGGGTGAGGTTTGGAGGTGGCGTGAAGTAAAAGGAGGTAAGATTGGAGCGGGGGAGTGATGGAGAGTGGGGTTGTGTGTGTGTGTGCGGTGGTGGGGAGTGATGGAGCGTGGGGTTGTGTGTGTGTGCGGCGGCGGGGGGAGTGGGGTTGCGTGTGTGCGTGCGGCGGCGGGGGGAGTGATGGAGCGTGGGGTTGCGTGTGTGTGTGCGGCGGCGGGGGGAGTGGGGTTGCGTGTGTGCGTGTGGCAGCGGGGGAAGTGATGGAGTGTGGGGTTGCGTGTGTGTGTGCGGCGGCGGGGGGAGTGATGGAGTGTGGGGTTGTGTGTGTATGTGCGGCAGGGGTGTGTGTGTGTGCGGGAAGCGGCGCGGCGGGGCTTGGAGTGGGCATGGTTTCCGCAGAGGGAACGTTGGCCGGAAGGGCATGTGCGCGCGCCAGGGAACTTGCGGCTGGGCGCCAATGCGCATACTCAGTTGTTTTGCCGTTTTGTGAGTGTGTTGTTGTGTTGTTTTTCATTTTGAGTAGATATGTTTGTACCTTGTGGGTTGTGTTATGGGCATGGGAATTTTGGTTAAGTTTCGTTGGGGGTTTTTTTGAGTTTTGTTTTTTTGCCGTTTTGAGTGTGTTGTTGTGTTGTTTTTCATTTTGAGTAGATATGTTTGTACCTTGTGGGTTGTGTTATGAGCGTGGGAATTTTGGTTAAGTTTCGTTGGGTTTTTTTTGAGTTTTTTTCTTTTGCCGTTTTGTGAGTGTGTTGTTGTGTTGTTTTTCATTTTGAGTAGATATGTTTGTACCTTGTGGGTTGTGTTATGGGCATGGGAATTTTGGTTAAGTTTCGTTGGGGGATGTTTGAGTTTTGTTGTTTTGCCGTTTTGTGAGTGTGTTGTTGTGTTGTTTTTCATTTTGAGTAGATATGTTTGTACCTTGTGGGTTGTGTTATGGGCATGGGAATTTTGGTTAAGTTTCGTTGGGGGGTTTTTGAGTTTTGTTTCCTCGTTGGATGCCCCTAACAAATTTATATATATAGATATTATACAATACCATTATATTGTAATATTATTAGTAATATTACATGTAATATAAAATATATAATTATAATATTGTTTTATTAGTAGTAACATTATATTGTATTGCATTATAATATTATAAATATTATATGTATATACAATATATTAAAATATATTATATTATATTATATTATATTATATTACATTAATAGTAAACCACAGGAGACAAGATGGAACTCTCTTCTGCTCCCCTCTCTCTTCACTCTGGACCAGAGAAGCAGTTGGCACCAAGGGGAGGGGGGGCTCCCAACCGATGACATAGGCAGGAGACAAGATGGAACTGTCTTCTGTCCCCCTCTCTCTTCACTCTGGACAAGCCAAAGTGTCCCCCATCCTATACGCTTTGAATGTGATTTTCCTGCTTGAGTTGAATGGCCCACGAGGTCTCTTCCAACTCTATGAATCTTGGCCTAATTGAATGCACACAGGGGAGCCATTAGCTTCCGTTACAGAGGTGGCTTTCATGCAGAGAGGAGATGAGCTTTACAGGTCCCACGCCAAGCCGTCGGCTCATGCGTGCGGGCCCCAAGGCCTCCAGCTCCCGAACGCGCAAATGCGCGTTCGGGAGCCAGAGGCCTTGGGGCCCGCACGCATGAACAGAGCCGTCCCCCGTCCTTGTGACAACATCCAATCCGACAGCCGAAGGACCTCCTGCCGGGCCGGACCGCCTCGCCGTCTCGTCGCCAGCGGTGCTTTGGCATCCGACCCTTCGAGGCCCTGTCACAGAGGCTTAGCGGAGGAAAGGGCAGAGCTCCGCTGGGCGCCATCAAAGGCATTAAACCGGTCGAGGGCAAGACGGGAATGCCTTGCGAGGCGGCATTGCTTTGGATTCCTAGGCAGAGCTCCCCTATAAAGAGGGCACGATGGATAATCAAAAGAGATGGGAGTTGTTACTCCATAAGATCTCGGGACCCAGACTGGGTAAAAGCTAAAGAGCACTGGCCACTACGTAAAACAATATATATATAGTTGGCCCTCTCTCCATGGATTCTCCCAAATGTCAAGGTCTATTTTCCCCAAACTCCACCAGTGTTCATAATTTGGGCATATTGAGTATTCGTGTCAAGTTTGGTCCAGATCCATCATTGTTTGAGTCCTCAGTGCTCTCTGGATGTAGGCGAACTACAACTCCAAAACTCAAGGCCAATGCCCACCAAACCCTTCCAGTATTTTCTGTTGGTCATGGGAGTTCTGTGTCCCAAGTTTGGTTCGATTCCATCATTGGTGGAGTTCAGAATGCTCTTTGATTGTAGGTGAACTATAAATCCCAGCCACTACATCTCCCAAATGAAAAAATCAATCCCCTCCCAATCCCATCAGTATTCAAATTTGAATGTATTTATTTATTTATTTACAGTATTTATATTCCGCCCTTCTCACCCTGCTGGGGACTCAGGGCGGATTACAATGTACAGATACATGGCAAACATTCAATGCCATAGACACACAACATATATAGATAGACACTCAGAGGCTATTTAACATTCCAGCTTCTGGCCACCAGGGGAGCCATCCCTTCACCGTCCATTTGTGACACCGATGAAGTACTTCCTCGTTCTTTGCATACTCGCTGGAGATTTTTTATGGCCTCGTAAATTAGCCTCCCCACAGAAGTGGTACCTAAATTTCCTACTTGACAGATGCAACTGTCTTTCGGTCTGCAAAGATCGACAACAAGCTACACAATTTTGGTCAGAAGATCATGCCGACCTGGGCTGGCTTCGAACTCATGACCTTTCGGTCAGTAGTGATCTTAATGCAGCTGACTCCCAGCCAGCTGTGCCACCTTCCCGGTGTATTGGGTATTTGTTCCCAATGTGGTCTAGTGAATGAAAGTACATCCTGCATATCAGATATTTACATTATGATTTATAACAGTAGCAAAATGACAGTTATGGAGCAGCAACGAAAATAATGTTATGGTTGGGGGTCACCACAACATAGGGAACTGTATTAAGAGGTTGCGGCATTAGGAAGGTTGAGAAACACTGCTGTAGAATGAATCCAGTTTGGTCCCACTTGAATCTTGGAATCAGGGGAGCTGTGGAACTTGAGCAACTTCAGCTACATTCCCCGTTTCACTGGCCTTGCTATCCAAGGATTTTAGGCGTTGTAATTTTTTAAAATTAGGTGATGTTTGTAAGGTGTATTCATGCCGATGTTGTCCGCCTCTCGCTCTTCTTTGTAGTGGGGCTGATGATCTGCTCCCGATCCTGTCCTTCGTGGTCCTGAAGAGCAACCTTCCCCAGCTGGTCTCGGAGTGCGCGGCTTTGGAGGAGTTCATCCACGAAGGGTAAGTGCAAGGATTTTCTTGCACCAAAAGAACAGCTGCAGGTAGGGCCCAGGTAACAAAGTCAAAGGCCTCCTGGGCATTGCACCTTGAACATAAAATTTGGTCCTAGAGGCAGAAATCAATTTCTTCCTTTCCACTCTAACAACCACTGTGTCAGACTACACAGAGAAGCCATTGAAATCCACAAGCGTGTGGACAATTTCAACAGAAAGGAAGAAAGCATGAAAATGAACACAATCTGGCTCCCAGTATTTAAAAAAACCCTCTAAAATCAGGACAGTAAATAAAGAGCAACACTACAAAAACAGGTGAAATCCAGACAAGAATCAATCAGGGCCAGCTAACAACTCCCAACAAAGGATTCCCCAAGGCAACAATTAGTCAGGCTTTGAAGCTGCAAGGCCATTCAGTGCTAATAAAGGTCACCAATTTCAACATTCACACTTGTCTCCAACAGAGAAGAGCTCTTTCTCCCACCCTGGACCTTCAACAGCTATGTAAACCTCCCTTGTATAGTTTCCAACAGGGCTCGCAACCTCTGAGGATACCTTCCATAGATATGAGTGAAACGTCAGGAGAGAATGCTTCTGGAACATGGCTGTACAGCCCGGAAAACTCACAGCAACTCACTATGACATGTTGGTTCTCCCATAGATAGTTCCTTCCCTTTTGTATACGCATATTCCTTCTTGTGTTAGCGCTATCCTGGGAGTTGTCGTTTGGAGAGACACCAGTGATCCTTTGGTAGAGAAGACTGAGGCCTTGTAAAACCGCAGCTCCCATGATTCCATAGCATTGCGCCATGGCAGTTAGAAGTGGAGTTAAACGGCATTTATTCTACAGGGTAGATCAGCGTTTCTCAACCTGGGGGCCGGGACCCTTGGGGGGGGGGGGCGGTCCGAGAGGTGTCAGAGGGGTCACCAAAGACCATCAGAAAACACATTATTTTCTATTGGTCATGTAGGTTCTGTGTGGGAAGTTTGGCCCAATTCTATCATTGGTGGGTTTCAGAATGCTCTTTGATTGTAGGTGAATTATAAATCCCAGCAACTACAACTCCCAAATGTCAGGGTATATTTCCCCCAAACCCCACCGGTGTTCACATTTCAGCCTATTGAATATCCGTGACAAGTTTGGTCCAGATCCATCACTGCTTGAGTCCACAATGCTCTCTGGATGCAGGTGAACTACAACTCCAAAACTCAAGGTCAATGCCCACCAAACCCTTCCAGTATTTTCTGTTGGTCAGGGGAGTTCTGTGTGCCAAGTGTGGTTCAATTCAATCATTGGTGGCGTTCAGAATGCTCTTTGATTGTAGGTGAACTATAAATCCCTGCAACTACAGCTCCCAAATGACAAAATCAATCCCTCCCCCAACTCCACCAGTATTCAAATTTGGGTGTATTGGGTATTTGTGTCCAGTGAACGAAAATAAGTCCAGCATATCAGATATTTACATTATGTTTCATAAAAGTAGCAAAATTACAGATATGAAGTAGCAATGAATATAATTTATGGTTGGGGTCACCACAAGATGACGAACTGTATTAAGGAATGTATTGTCGAAGGCCTTCATGGCCGGAATCACTGGGTTGTTGTAGGTTTTTTCAGGCTATATGGCCATGTTCTAGAGGCATTCTCTCCTGATGTTTCGCCTGCATCCATGGCAAGCATCCTCAGAGGTAGTGAGGTATTAAGGAAGGTTGAGAACCACTGGTGTAGATGAATCCCAAGGCAGATGGACAGGGGGACAGAAATAGCAAGCCAAGGGACCCATCTATTCTGTAGCCCAGTGGTTCACAACCTGTGGGCCGCGAGACCTAAAATAATATCCGTGGCTCTAGATCAGGGGTCCTCAAACTAAGGCCCAAGGACTGGATACGGCCCTCCCTAAGGTCATTTAACCGGCCCTCGCTCAGGGTCAACCTAAGTTTGAAATGACTTGAAAGCACACAACAACAACAACCCTATCTCATCAGCCAAATGCAGGCCCACACTTCCCATTGAAATAATAATAAATTTATATCTGTTAAAATTGTTCTTCATTTTAATTATTGTATTGTTTTTAAGTGCTTTTGCACTACAAATAAGATATGTGCAATGTGCATAGGAATTCATTCTTTTTTTTTTTCAAATTATAATCCGGCCCTCCAACAGTTTGAGGACCTATGACCTGGCCCTCTGTTTAAAAAGTTTGAGGACCCCTGGTCTAGACTGATGCATGGAATCCTGGGGGTTGTAGTTTGGCAAGTACCAGCCCTCTTTTGACAGAAAGGGTTAAGGTCCTTGTAAAACTACATCACTGAGCCATGGCAGTTCAAGTGGCATCAGGTTGCATTAATCCGATGGTCTAGAATGCACCACGAAGCACGAATCCTGATGCTAGATGAGCAGATCCCATAGCAGTCAACGTGGGATCAAACCGCACTCATTCAACAGTGTAGATCAGCTCAACGTGGCCTTCAACTAATTAGGAGCCCTTCAAGGCTTTGTCATTGAGGGTCAGGGGGTTGTCCCCATAAGCAGACTTCTTGGCCTTTTGGCTTTGGGGGGTCCATTATATCCCTTCCCAGTTTCACATGGCCTTCAGTCGGAGGCCTCTCGCCCATCCATCCCTCCCTCCGTCCATCCCTTCTGCTCTGTCTGTCTGCCTCGTCCGGCAGGGTGCAAGGCCACTACTTCGCCGCTGCTGTCTTTGCCTGTCAGCTCAGCTTATGCACGGCCTGCTGGCTGCCCAGCCAGCGCAAGATGGAGGCGAGACGTAATCCATGAGGACAGTTGTGCCGAGACGGCAGTTCGACTGTGCAGAGGATTGGCATCTTTGATGCGGAGGCAGAGGCAGTGGTGGCCTTACAAGCAGGGAATGAGAGAGTCATAAATCAGTGTTTCTCAACCTTCCTAGTGCTGTGACCCCTTAATACCGTTCCTCATGTTGTGCTGATCCCCAACCCTAAAATTATTTTCACTGTAATTTTGCTACTGTTATGAATCGTCATGTAAATATCTGATATGCAGGATGTATTTTCACTCACTGGACCAAATTTGGCACAAATATCCAATACACCCAAATTTGAATACTGATGGGGCTGGGTGGGATTGATTTTGTCATTTGGGAGTTGTAGTTGCTGGGATGTTTAGTTCACCTACAATCAAAGAACATTTTTAACTCCACCAACGATGGAAATGAACCAAACTTGGCACACAGAACTCCTACAGAAAATACTGGAAGGGTTTGGTGGGTATAGACCTTGACTTTGGGAGTTATAGTTTACCCCAAAAAGGGGAATTGGGGGGGGGGGGGGGTTTGAAGTCCAAAACACCTGGAGGGAGGGCCAAACTTGGCCCATGCCTGGTCTAGATTGAGGTAAGTCATAGTCCCAGTCTCTCCTGCTTTGGTCAGACTTTCTCACCTGGAATAATAACCCTGTGTCTCCTTCTCTTCTCTCTCCCTCTCCTTTCCTTGCAGGTACCTGATTGGAGAGGAGGGCTATTGCCTGACCTCTCTGCAGAGCGCCCTTTCCTACGTGGAGTCTCTCCACCGGCCGGTCCTGGAGAAGTAGCCCTGCCTTGCCCTTGACCCTTGCACAACAGAAGCAGCAGATGTTAGCCATAGGGGACACATGGCCATCCCTCCAAAAATCTCTGGCCCCTTTCACCTGGAGGAGCCAGATCTTGCTGATGAAGCCATTCGGCCCATCTCTCCCTCCCTTCTTTCCTTCCTTCTCTATCCTTCCTTCTTTCCATCCTTCTTTCCTTCCTGCCTTTCCTTCTTTCATTCCTTCCGTCTCTTTCCTTCTTTCCACCCTTTTTTCTTTCTTTTCTTTCCATCTTTCTTTCTTTTCCTCTTCCTTTCCTTCCTGCCTTCCTTTTTTTCTTTCCCTTCCTTCCTTTTCTTTCCTTCTTTCTTTTCCTCCTTCCTTCCCTATTTCCTTTTCTTTCCATTCTTCCCCTCCTTCCTTCTTTCCATCATTCATTCTCTTCCTTCCTTCCTTCCTTCCTTCCTTCCTTCCTTCCTTCCTTCCTTCCTTCCTTCCTTCCCTATTTCCTTCTGTCCTTTTCTTTCCATTCTTCCTTCATTCCCTTCCCTTCCTTCTTTCCTTCCTTCCTTCCTTTTCTTCCTTCCTTCCTTTCCTTCCTTTTTTCCTTATTTCTTTTCTTTCCATCCTTCCATCCTTCCTTCATTCCTTCCCCTTCTTTCCATCCTTCATTCCCCCTTTCCTTCCTTCCTTTTCTTCCTCCCCTTCCTTCCTTTCTTTCTTTTTCCGTCCTTTTTTCTTATTTCTTTTCTCTCCATCCTTCCTTCATTCCTTCTTTTCTTCCTCCCCTTCCTTCCTTTCCTTCTTTTCCCTTCCTTTTTTCCTTATTTCTTTTCTTTCCATCCTTCCTTCCTTCCCCCTCCCTCCCTCCCTCCTTTCTTCCTTGGTGCAATATTTGGGGCTGGCGGCTACCTTTGTGTTAAGCCAAGAAGCCCTTTAATATGAGTCCGTCCTTGGGCTGCAGAGAGGTATTGTGAGGCAATGCAGGTTGGGATATGCAGTTTCCCTTTCAAGGACAGCCTTATTTGAGCCTGTCCTTGCCATATGTTGCCATATTCCGCACCACTGAGCATGAAGCAGATGGGGACAAGGATTGCTTGGAGGGAGTCATTCCTTCCCCATTTCACTATGAAGGAATCTGCAATCGCTTCCCCTATTTCCTTAAAAGGGGGAGATGTGTCCCCTCTCCTCTCATCCCTCAACCGTTTGACTGGCCCTTCTTTGCAGCCTTGTCCTTATTGAGCCTTGACCAGAGAAAGAGAAGTGTAAGGGGGCATTCCCCAATCCTTTGCTTTTGCTGCCTCTCTTCTGCATGTCTCACTACTTTCGCCGTCCCCGTTTTTGGGTTCGGATCCGGCCTGGAAGCCATAGCGTGGGGCAAGGAGGGATCTGTAGTATGTATGCGCACCATGCATGCATGCTCCCGCACTGGATCTATATAGGAAACTAGGCACTCCTCCCAACCCCAAATAATTATTTATTTATTTATTTAATGCATTTGTTGACCGCCGCTCTCAGCCCTAGGGCGACTCGCGGCGGTGTACAACATATTAAAAAAACAGTTTACAAAGAGCACAGAGTACATCAACAAACCATATAACACACTTAATCTAAATAACCTCACTGTAGGTTTTAGGACCCATTTGCAAACATATATTTGCAAATAGTTGAACCCCGAAGTCATAACACTGAATGAAGGGACCTACAAATGAAGGGACAAAAGGTGTGTATGTGCGAGTGTGCATTTGTGAGAAAGAGAGAACCTTCTCTTTCATATAGGAAACTTTTTTAAAAATGAGACAGGAGCCATAGAGAGCCATGGAGTCTGGCCGGATTTGCACAATTAGGGTCCGTTGCGGAGTCTAAAAGTTGGCAGCTAGATTAATCCACACCACTTTGAAAATAGAGATGCCTCCGGAGCCCAGGATGATGGGCTTTTCTGCCCGACACTACGCTGCTGTTAAAAGCAACAAACACTTGGATTGTACGAACAGCTGCACTTAACGCTTAATGCTACCTTTCTCCTCACCCTGATCTGTGTCTCGTCATCTGTGGACCCCAAGACCTGGTGAAATATTTGTGATTCCACTCGACTGTTTTTTGGCTTCGCTCTTGCGGGCTTTTCGGTAATAAACACCATTATCTTTGGCCTGCTCACCAAATTTGATGTCTCGTTCTCTAGCTATTTCCAGCTTTCTCCACCTGAGAGAATTTTTCAGGAAAGCCCTAGCGACTCTTTAAAGGCCCCTGTTGTTCTAGGGATTTGTGGTTTTGAAGCCCTGCTTCATGTTATATGAGGGGTGTCCATTAAAGATGTCCCCTGACCCACTTCTATTGATCACAGGATGCTGAAACTGCCCATGTGTCTCCATATAAGTCTCCATAACTTATGTGCCAATGTACAACTCAGAACTGACAACGGTCTTGATGTGAAAGGTGCTGCAGTGGTGTGAGGTTTGAGAATGGACCAAGTGGAAGACAGAGCAGGCCTCAAGTTCCTTGACTTGAAAGGCCACACCCTAAAGGATACATTTGATGAGATGAAAGAGGTTTATTGTGATGCTTCCCCATTATATGATGGAGTCAAGAACTGGCATCCTCAATTCCAATGTGGTCAGACTTTGATGCAATGAGCTCCAATTCCAGGTTGACCCTACTCTGCTATTGCTGAACACACCATCCAGCAAGTGGAGGGCGCCATTTTGGAAAATCACCACATACCCATTCTCCACCTAGCCCAAAATGTCAAAGTGAGTGTGGGGTCCACGGAAAAAATCACCCAAGACCATCTTCACTTGCATAAGGTATCCACTCACTGGGTCCCTTGGCTGTTCACACCTTTCCAGAAGCAGGAACAAGTCGAATGCTCTCTGGCTCTGTTGACAATGATGTCCCAGGGAAACTAGGAGGACTTTTTCAACAGACTGATCACACCGGGTGAAAGCTGGGTCCATCACTCTGATCCTGAGACTCAAGCCTAGTCAATGCAATGGAAGCATCCTGACTCCAAAGAAGGCACGTGCCCAACTCTCGGCAGGCAAGGTCATGCTCACAGTATTCTGGGACCAGCATGAGTAGGATGGATGGGTTTCCTAGCAAAGGGTCCCATGATCACTGGGGCAGACTAGGCTTCACTGCTGTGGAAATTGCGAGAGGCCATCAAAACCAAGAGACAATGTGGCATGCTCACCAAAGGTGTCCGCCTTCTGCAAGGCAATGCACGAGTCCACAACTCACCTGTTGCCCAAATGGAAGAAGCATGCTCTCCTCTGGCTTTGACATTCTCCTGCATCCCCCTGATTCACCTGACCTCGCACCATCAGACTTCCATCTCTTTCCAACAAGGAAGTTGTTTTTGAAGGACAAGCGTTTCTCCGGTGATGAGACTCTGATTTCCCAAGTCACAACGTGGCTTTTGGAGCAACCTGTTGACTTCCACAAGCGAGGTGTTGACAGTTGCTTCAAAAGATGGGAGAAGGGTGGCACCCATGGAGAGAAGGACTCAGAACTAGGCCAAGTTTCATTGTTCTCAGTCCACAGGAAGGGGGTCAGGGGAAATCTTTCATGAAGGCCCCTTGTAAGTATAGAATTAAACACCAGAACAAATAGTTCTGGTGTCCAGAACAAATAGTTCTGGATATAACCCACTTCACTTGCTCACAAATCCCACAAACACAAATCCCACAAACACAAATCAAAGAGCAAACCCGGCTGGGAAGCACAGAAAAGCACTCTGCATACGTTTGAGGTTTATTAAATATATGAAAACATTTATTAAAAGCAGCACGAGGCCACATGATGGTGGCCCCAAAGTGGGAAGGGACATGCAAGGCTGCGAAGGGACAACTTAGGGTCCTCCTTTCTGTGCCATTCCCAAAGGCAAGCAGGACGTAGGTGGATCTGGGCGCCAGGTGGTCCTGTTAGCTCGCAGGTGGGGTAGATACCCTTGGAAAATAGTTGAGACTACACTTCCTATCGGCCCCACCCAATTGAGAGGAATGCTGGGAACTGCAGTCTAACCAGGTGTGAAGATGGCATATAGAATGGTCTGCAAAGGACAAAGCCAGAAGTAGTTCAGTTGTAAAACCAGAGCAGAGGACAAATTACTTTCTTTGGATTCTCTACCCAAGCATGGCCAAGTTGGAGAACCCATCATCCAGCTTTGCTGCCTTTTGCCTGCAATGCTCCCTTTTCTCAGCAAATTCCAGGATTTGCTGAGTGTTTGCAAAGATCAAGATCTAAATCAGGTATGGACAAATTTCGTTAAGTGGCTGAGGGGGAAAAGGAAAGGGCCTGAGGCTGTTAGGAATGGTGGAAGTTGAAGTCCAAAACACCCGGAGGGAAGGCTGAAGTTTGCCCATGCCTGATCTAAATGCATCACTGCACCATATGCTCAATTTCCCCCAGGTCATGCTTTGGGGAAACACCAAGTAAGTGGCTTAAGATCATCCGAATTAGGGGTGACTCCAAGATCTAGACCCTTGGTTGATTTCTAGCATCGGACCCACATTGCAAATGCAGTGACCCATCAGTGCTTGGAATGGTTTGTCCTTGGCTAGGGATCTGAGAAGCAAAGGCCACCCGTTGCTCTCTTTCCTGCCCATCTTGGGAGCCTACAGGACCCAGCGGAATGAGGGGTTCGGCACAAGGAAGGTCAGAGCTGAGGACAGGGCCTTCCAAGGGATCTTCAGATCTTCCCCTCGGAAGCTAGGGCCTTCAGGTCAGCAGGCGAAGCGGCGCTCAGGACCCTATGTGAGACGGCCCTCTTCTCCACCAAGGAGGCCACCGCTTGGCCCACCTCCAGGTGGCTGACGTAGCCAGGGCCCAGCCGCTCCGGAGTGGTCACCCCCATGTTGATCTTCACCTGCGGAGAAGAAGACTGGTGTATTGTTGAAAGCTTCCATGGCCGGAATCACTAGGTTGTTGTGAGTTCTTTGGACTGTATGACCATGTTCCAACAGTATTCTCTCCTGATGTTTCGCCTGCATCTGTGGCTAACATCTTCAGAGGTTCTGTTACCAAAACTGGGCATCTGATGATGGGCCACTGCTAACCTCAATGACCCCCAGAGCTGGTCATGGGACACCATCTCTCACTAAGGGCCACTCCTCACCCCAGTTACCCCATAACAACTTGGCACCGACCTCATTGAGCTTGCAGGGGACGTCTGGGTACTCCTCCCGCACCATGAGGGAAAAGGCCAGGGCTCCAGCTGCTCCAAGGGTCAAGAAGCCTGTGCCAGGCATCAGGAGGCGCTCCCCTGCTCCACCTGCAAGACAGGAGACGGCCTGAGGCCCTTGTATCCCTCTTCTTTGTGTCATGAATATTTTTTAAACCAGGTTCTTTTTATTGCAGTTTTCAGTGTGAGAGCATATATCAGAACATTTACAGATCAACATTTAGACATACAGATTCTATGTAACTACATTGAATTCATGACCAACTTACAGTTACATTGTCTAACAAACAAAGGGTAGTTACATTTTTACTCAGCATTCACACACATATGAACATCCATCCTCATGCATCTCAATATTTATTTATTTATTTCATAGAAAAAGCATTGCATAAACTAGCAGAAAACAATAAAAATAGAAGGAGTGCAGGTGGCTAAATATCTTTTGACCAAAAACGGGCAACAGCAACCGCATTGTCTGTAGCCTCCAACAATTCTTCCTCTGTACATGAGGCAGGGCATATTGGACAAGCATACAGATGTGAATTGTCTGTTCTGCTCCACAGTCACATAAGGTGTGGGATTCTTTTAGGTAGTGCCATTTTGCCAGGTTGTCTTTTGTTCTGCCCACTCCACTTCTGAGTCTGTTCAGGGACTTCCCAATATTACCATATCCTTTCTCCCTCCCTGGAGAAGAATACCTGCTAGGTCAGACCCTGCTTCCCTGCAGCCTGCCAACACTTCTTGTTGTTAATTCATTCAGTCCCTTCTGACCTCATGGACCAGGCCAGGCCGTCACCACCCCCAGCTCCTTCAGAGTCAAGCCAGTCATTTCAAGGATACCATCCATCCATCTTGCCCTTGGTCGGCCCCTCTTCCTTTCTTCTTCTATATTCTCCAGCATCATTGTCTTCTCTAAGCTTTCCTGTCTTCTTATTATGTGGACAAAGTACTTCATCTTTGCCTCTAATCTCCTTCCCTCTAGTGAGCAGTCAGGTTTTATTTCCTGTAGAATGGATTGGTTTGATCTTCTTGTGGTCCAAGGCACTCTCAGGATTTTCCTCCAACACCACAGTTCAAAAGTGCCTCTCCTCCTTCGTGCAGCCTTCCTTATGGTCCAGCTCTCGCATCCATAGGTTACTATGGGGAATACCATTGCTTTGACTATGCTGATCTTCGTTGCCAGTGTGATGTCTCTACTATTTGCTATTCTATCGAGATGGGTCATTGTTCTCCTCCCAGGAAGTAAACGTCTTCTGATTTCCTGGCCGCAGTCTGTGTCTACAGTAATATTTGCACCTAGAAATACAAAGTGTCACTGCCTCCACGTTTTCTCCCTCTATATGCCAGTTATCAATAAGTCTTGTTGCCATAATCTTGGTTTTTTTATGTTTGGCTGCAAGCCAGCCTTTGCCCTTTCTTCTTTCACCTTGATTAGAATGCTCCTCAGCTCCTCCTCGCTTTCAGCCATCAAAGTGGTGTCATCTGCATATCTCAGGTTGTTCATGTTTCTTCCAGCAATTTTCACCCCAGCCTTGGATTCGTCAAGCCCCGCACATTGCATGATGTGTTCTGCATACAAGTTGAATAGGTTGGGTGAGAGTATACAACCCTGCTGTATGCCTTTCCCAGTCTTGAACCAGTACTGAACTAATAGTATGGTTAGTTCACACTGTTGCTATTTGGTCCTTATACAGATTTCTCAGGAGACAAGCAATGTGGCCTGGTCTCCCCATCCCATCAAGAACTTGCCACAATTTATTATGATCTACACACTGAAAGGCTTTAGAATAGTAAATAAAACAGAAATAGATATTTTTCTGAAACTCCCTGCCTTCCTCCATTATCTGGCAGATATTGGCAATTTGGTCTCCAAATGGAAGCTCCAAAACTTCCATAACGCCAAAACTTCAAAACTCCAACCTCCCTAAGAACATGACTCCAAAACACACTATTTTCCCTTGAGCAAAAAGAGACAAGTGAACAGATTGCAAATCTGCCAGTCTCCAAATACATCATCTCTTTCCATAGAGCATGGCGGGTGAGCCAGACTCCTCTGGTCTGTCACACTTGAGAATTTTTAGATTGAGTCTTTTATAGGAATATCCTGCTGATGTAGTCCCAGAGTTGTACATTAATGATAGATTTATTCCATGCTGGAATATGTTGACTCCATCTCAGTTTCCATCTCAGTTCAGATGTTGACTCTTCAGGTAACGAACCATTATGTTCTGGGTTTGACTTGAAAGAGCATTGTCTTTGACTAATGTAAACAGCCTTTAGAGTCATCTGGTTTCTGGTCAACAAATGTTGACAAATGTAAACAGATGTAAACATTTATCTTATCACTGTCACAGTTCTTATCAATGTCAGCAGTTTACTTTTCAGTTCTCTTGCAGCTTTTAATTACAGTTCAGCAAGCAGTCATTGCAGGCCTTAATCTTTTAGAATGGTGTCTCCAAAATTATTAGCTCTCATTCATTCATCTTTCATTCAGTCTCATTCAAACTATATATCATATTTCACATTTATCAAATCTGCACATTATATTTCTTGTGACATTTGTAAATACTGGGATCTAAGCACTTTATGTATGTAAAGAATTCCACACATCCCAGACCTTCACTCGTGGTCTTGGTCCAACAGGAGTTGGGCTAGATGGCCTCTGGGGAGCCCATGCGTTTGCTACTATCTGGAGACTTCTTACCTGTAATGAAGGTGTAGGAGCCTTCAGGGTTGTCCTTGACGAGAGGAAAGAAGGCCTTCCAGGCTGTGAAGGTGCTGAGGAGCAGCGTGTCCAAGACCTGCAGGAGAAGAAGAGAAGGAAGAAGGGGAATTGGAGGGACCATCATCCACAGCAGAACAACCTTCCCTCTCAAGTCAAAACACACAGAGAAGTATCATCTACAAGCTCTCTTCTCTTATCCAGCCTTGCTTTGAAAACTGGAAAAAAAAGTCTTCCTATCGTTTCACCCCCCTCGGTCTCCCTGCACTCAAGACACGCTCAGGGAGCTGTTGTTTCTGACCCAGCATTCCCTTTATGGCATGCCAGCAATTGACTGGCATACTGTCATTCCCACCCAGCCAAGGAAGAAGCTCTATTTCTATGGCTAGATCTGGGTGCTATATTGGGAGACAAGCATGATATACAAGGGTTATCCGGGAAGTAAGGTTACAAGGCACGTAGCTCTCGCGGGGAATGTTCTCGGGAAGTTGGTATCACTGCCGTGAAGCAGGAAGCCAGCGGAAGCAAACAAGCAATGCCAATCGTCAGTAGCTCATCAACTGGTGTTGTGATGAAGGTTAGAGATGAGCATCCTCATTTCATTTTCCTCCTAGTGCAAAGTTTGCGCTGCAATACACTACCTAAATGCTAAGGGCATGAACTGTGTGATTCATGGTGAAATCGTTCAGTTTATGGAGAGGACATAATGTCAAGACCGCATGTGACAAAATGGGTATGGAATATATTGTGAGACCAAGAAGAAACTTTGCAAAGCCATCCAAAACAAACATTGTGGGATGCTGACAGCGGGAGTCTCTCTCCTTATTGATTTATTGATTTATTTACAGTATTTATATTCTGCCCTTCTCATCCCACAGGGGACTCAGGGCGGATTACAATGTACATATAGTGGGTTGTTGTAGGTTTTTTTCGGGCGATATGGCCATGGTCTAGAGTCATTCTCTCCTGACGTTTCGCCTGCATCTGCGGCAAGCATACCTCTGAGGATGCTTGCCATAGATGCAGGCGAAACGTCAGGAGAGAATGCCTCTAGACCATGACCATATAGCCCGAAAAAACCTACAACAACCCAGTGATTCTGGCCATGAAAGCCTTTGACAATACAATGTACATATATATGGCAAACATTCAATGCCATAGATACACAACATATATAGACAGTCACACAGAGGCTATTTAACATTCCAGCTTTTTCATTTTTTTTAAATAATCTTTATTGCAATTTTCTTAAATATACAAATGATAAAAATTGGATGGAAAAAGAATTGATAGAGGAATTAGGAGAGTTTTAGAGAAAAGAAATGGGAAGGGCGTGAGGGACGTGTGAAAGAAAAGAAAGAAGGATTGTGTGAAAATGAAAAGTGGCAGTTAAAAGAAAAGATTCAAGAGAGTTCTTTCTTCACTCCATTTGACTTCCAGGATTCATCGAGGGAGGTCTTTTCCTTTTCTTTCGTTTCTTCCTCTCTCTTCATTCTTTTTTCACTACCTCTTACGACTAGTATATATTTTATGTCTGTCTTCTTATAGGTCCATATCTTCTGACTGTTTTTCTTAATTGTTTAGATTTTCTTCTATTTTTGTGTATTTTACTTTTAGTTTTACTTTTAGTTTTAGTTGTTTAATTTTAGATATTCCTTAAATTTTGTCCAATCTGTTTCTGATTCCATCATTCCTTTGCTTCTTTGGATAATATAACTTAAACTATCCATGTTCCTAACTTCCATTATTTTCCTTTTCCAATCTTCTATCCTTGGTATTTCTTTTTTCCTCCACAGTTTTGCAAAGCAAATCCTAGCCGCTGTTGTAGCCAGAAATAGTAATTTATCCGTATTTTTATCCGTCTTTATGTTTGTAATGCCTAATAGGAATATTTCCGGTTTCTGTAGAATTCTAATTTTCAAAATTTTCTGTAGTGTTTCCTGGATTTCCTTCCAGTAACTTCTCGTTTTCTTACATTGCCACCACATGTGATACATCGTCCCTTCTACTGATCCACACTTCCAACACTTTGAATTTGCCTTTTTGTAGTATTTGTTTATTTTGGAGGGCGTCATGTACCATCTGAAGAAGACCTTAAGCCAGTTCTCTCTCATATCGTATGCTTTTAGATAATTTAGGTTTTTTTTCCATATCGTTTCCCATTCCTCTGTTCCTATTGTTCTTCCCACATTTCTGGCCCATTTCACCATACAGTCTTTTACTTCTTCCTCTTCAGTACTCCAACGGAGTAATTTTCTGTATATTTTGGATATTTTTTTCCTCTCTGACTCCCAAATTCTGTCCCATGTATTTCCCTTTTTTTCGAATCCTATTTTTTTTGTCTTTTCCGAAGAATTCCTGTATCTGCCTGTATTGGAGCCAGGTCATATTTGGATAGTTTAATTTTGTTAGTGTTCTTAGGGGTATTTCCTTTTTTTCTTCTCTTATTAGTTCCTTGTAGTTTGGCCATTTAATCCAACCTAATTCTTTTCTCTGACATGATTCTAATGGGGAGATCCAAGTCGGTGTTTTGCTATACATCAGTTTTTTATATTTATTCCAAGTTCTGATAATCGCCACCCTTATATAATGGTTCCCAAAGTTCTTTTCTAATTTTAGTTTCTCGTACCCAATATATGCGTGCCAACCTCTGCGGAGGTCAAAGCTTTCTAGGTTTAAGATTTTTTCCTTCTTTAATCTTATCCAGTCTGTCGCCCAAACCAGAGCGCAGGCTTCCGCATATAGCCCTAAGTCTGGCAATGCCAGTCCTCCTCTTTCTTTCTCATCCGTTAATTTTTTATAATTTATCCTGGGTTTTTTGTTAAGCCAAATAAATTTCCTAATATCCTTGTTCCATTCTTTTATATTTTTTTGGTTCCTGATTATTGGCAAATTTTGGAAGAGAAACAGCATTCTTGGTAAAACATTCATCTTGATACAGGATATTCTTCCCAGAAGTGATATTTTCAAATATTTCCATTTCTCCAGGTCTTTCTTTATTTCTTTCCAGGTCCTTATATAGTTGTTTCGTAAGAGTTGTGAATTTTTGGCTGAGGGTATTCTGGCCACCAGGGGAGCTTTTGCTTCATTATTTGTGAGACTGATGAAGTACTTCCTCATTCTTTGCATGCTTGCTGGAGATTTTATGGTGTCGTTAATTAGCCTCCCTGCATAAGCAGTACCTAAATTTCCTACTTGACAGATGCAACTGTCTTTCGGGCTGAAAAGGTCAACAGCAAGCTACACAAATTGGTCAGAAGTTCATTCCGACCTGGGCTGGCTTTAAACTCATGACCTTTGGGTCAGGACTGATCTTAATGCAGCTGACTCACAGCCAGCTGCGCCACAGTCCCGGTGCACCTTCATGACAGTGCGTGTCCACATACCGCTCATGCAACACAAGAGTGGTTGACTTCATTAGGTTGGGATGTTTGAAGCCACCCCTCTCACGGCCCGGATCTCGCACCTAGTAACTATCATCTGTTCCCTAAATTAAAGGAAAACCCGGGTGGAAAAAACTTTTCCAATGACGAGGAGGTAAAAATTGAAGTGACGAACTGGCTGAAAATGGCAGTGGGAGACTTTAATGACCGAGGCAACATAAACTTGTCCCACAGATGACAAAACGTATTGAATTGAATGGTGATTGTGTGAGAAAATAATGCAATGCCTATGCTGCAATCCACATAAGTTTTATTAAAATATATTCATTCTTTGTATTTTAAAAAATTATTGTAACCTTACTTTCTGGATAACCCTTGTAAATACCCTAGTTTTGGAAACAGCTCGAGGGCAAACAGCAAACCTTTTGGAGCAAAAATATTCAAGCGATGGCAGTGAAAGAGTACTAAGAAAACAAAATGGGGAGTTTTTCCAAATTCCTACCGCTGCTGACCCCCACCCCTTCCCAAGACTTAGTTTGGGGCCACTCACCCGGCGGAGCTCCTGGAGTGTCTGGGAGAGCGGGGGTCCGCCTTGCCACCAGCTGAAGCCCAAGGAGGAGACCACGTCCGTCACTTGGCCCACCGACTTCAGCAGGGTCCCCTTGGCCAATTCGGCCCCTTCCTCCGAACCTGGAAGGAGAAAACATGCAAGTGTCTCCATCTGGAATAATAACCCTTTGTCCAGTATTGGGCCCCACAGTTCAAAAGAGATATTTGAGTCAATATCAGTATCCAGTATCCAATAAGCTGGAAAAGGGCAGCTAAAATTATCAAAGGTTGGGAGACCAAGAATAATCTCTCCAAGGAGCAGATTAAAGAGCCGGGTATGTTTAGCTTCCAGAAGATATGGCAGAGACATGATAGCCATATCGGTGTAATGTCAAGATAGATAGATAGATAGATAGATAGATAGAGATATATACTAGCTGTACCCGCAATGCGTTGCTGTGCCCAACCTTCCCTCCTTCTTTCTTTCCTTCTTTCTTTCTCTCCTCCCTCTCCCCTTCCTTCTTTCCTCCCTCTCCTTTTTTCTATCCTTCTCCCCTTCCTTCCTTCCTTCCTTCCTTCCTTCCTTCCTTCCTTCCTTCCTTCTCTACCTCTTTCCTTCCTTCCCTTCCCTTTTTCTTTCCCTTCCTCTTTCTCTCCTTTCCTCCTTCTCTACTTATTCTTGGACTACAACTCCGAGCAGTCCTCCTGATCAATCTACCTACTATCCATTTCTATCTAATCTAGGAAGGGATATAAATGGCTTAAATAAATAAACAAACAAACAAACAAACAAATAAATATCTTATGTATCTGGAGGATTGCTGGAAGTTGCAGTCCAGGAGTAGGAAATTGAAATATTTACAGACTGGGATGCTCTCAAAGAAATCCAAGGAGAAGCAAGCTTGCAGCTTGGAAGTAGTGCATTTGGAGCATCCTCCTCCTCTAAAGGGCCTGGTCTAGGGGATGCTGGGAGCTGTTGTTTTCACACAAGTGTTGCATCATCATTTCACTTTTTGGGGTTTTTAAGTCTTTTCCGCTGTTTTTTTGGGCGGGGATATGAGTGATGGTCACTTGTTGGTCTGTTAGGGGTGTAGTGTCCAAATTTGACAGTTTCACCTTCTCCACCCCGACTGGAAAAAACAAGCACATTTTCCCAACAGCAATGCAAACCATCCAAAGGCAGCCCAAAGTGACATGGTTTCTGAATTTTATTCAAAACCTTACCCACATCCCCGACGAACGTGTGCAGACGGTCACAGGCGGAAGGGGACAAAAACTGCTTCAGTTTCTCCAGCCGGCTCTCATCCCGAGAAATGACCGCCACCTGGAAGCCTGTGCAAATGAGATGGAGCATCAGAGCCGGATGGACAGATCCATATCCGAAAAATATTGAGTTAGCTGGAGTATGTCAAATAAGAAATTTGGTTGCCGTATTTCATTTTAAGACTAAGGTTTGAATCTGGAATATACAGCTGAACAATGAATATGAGAAGTGTACTCCTGGGCATGTACAAAGTGCATTTCCATCAAACATAAAGACATTGTTCTCCTTCTAGCCGCCTTTGATTAAGTGTTTCCATAGCAGACTTGGCTCAGCAGAAACCTTGCTAGAAATGAACTGGTTGTGACAGTTGTGACAAAAACTTGGAAGTATATTTATGTATTTTAGAATAATGAAAAGGTAAAAGCCATAAACCAAGACAGCACAAAGAGTTGCTTCTTTCACCACCATTAATGGCTAGCATGCAAACAATCTTTTTAGCTTCTGCAATCGAAAACGGGGAGGAAATACTTGAAAAAATCCACAGTCTAGCGCATCAAACCTTGCCGCAATGGGGTTTAGTGCATTCTCCATTGCGAGGCATAAATGGTCCCACCCAAGGATGTGCATTCACACTTAGAGATTTGCACCAATGGGTGTGCATTTGCACATTTAGGTGAAAAATGGAGAAAGCTCCTGGATTTTTAATCGTTGTGTGGAAGACGAAATGTTAGCCAGCGGATTTCACTTTTTGACCCAATCATCACCTAATTTGGCCCAACCATCACCTATTATGTATATAATAATAATAATAATAATAATAATAATAATAATAATAATAATAAGCAAAGACTCTGGCACAAGCCAGTCAAGGTGGTCCCAGTTGTGATCAGCACACTGGGTACAGTGCCTCAAGGCCTTAGCCTGGACTTAAAAACAATTGGCACTGACAAAATTACCATCTGTCAACTGCAAAAGGCCCTCCTACTCAAATCTGCACACATTATTTCCTGATACATCACACAATCCTAGACGCTTAGGAAGTGTCCAATGTGTGATCAAATACAAAAGCCAGTAGAGTGATTGTGCTTGTTGTGGACTCTTGTTGTGTATCAAATAATAATAATAATAATTGAACAGGAGCCCTCTCTGCTTTTAATCTTAGCAACCTCAGCTTTGATTCTTGGACCAGGCTATAGGAAAGAGCCATCTGGCCACCAGATTTCAAAATATTTGGAAATATTTGGGGGAAACAAAAATCTAATTTCTCAAATTGAAGTCTGGCGCATCACATTCTGCAGCAATGTAGTTGGTTCATTCTTGATTTAAGTTCATTTGCATTCAAAGCCCATGCATGCAATGCACATTTAAGTTTGCCAGAGCGAAATCTGTAAATGCCTCCAAAGGTTGGTCGGAAGAAGGAATTTCAGCGGCTGTTTTACCTAAATGCTGGATTTCACTCTTGGATCCAACCATTACAGTGATAGGAAACACCTGATTTCAATGTATTTGAAAATAATCAAAAATAGTTGGTTCTCCCAAGCCTGATGCATCAAATCCTGTGACAAGGTTAGTACATTTTTGGTTGCAAGGCATCAGTGGAAGTGCATTTATACTGACAGATTCGCAGCCATGGTTATGATATTTGCATGCATGCATGCAATGCACATTTAAGGTTGCAGGCTTGATACTGATGTACATTCCCACCAGAGACCAGTGAATGCACATCAATGCGTAACACCTATGGGAATGCATTTGCACCCAATGCCCATGCATGCAATGCACATTTAAGGTTGTAGGTTTGATACTGATGTGCATTCCCACTTAAGACCAATGAATGAACATCAACGTGTAACACCTATGGGAATGCATTTGCACACAATGCCCATGCATGTGTTAGGTACATAGGGGTGTCCCTTCCCACATGAAATGCACATTTCAGATTGTAGGCTTGATACTGATGTGCATTCCCACTTGAGACCAATGAATGCACATGAACGCATAACACCTATGGAAATGCATTTGCACCCAATGCCCATGCATGTACTAGGTACATAGGGATGTCCCTTCCCACATGCAATGCACATTTCACGATGCAGGCTTGATACTGATGTGCATTCCCACTTCAGACCAATGAATACACATCAACGTGTAACACCTATGGGAATGCATTTGCACCCAATGCCCATTAATGCAATGCACATTTAAGACTGTAGGCTTGATACTGATATGCATTCCCATTTGAGACCAATGAATGCACATTAATGCATAACACCTATAGGAATGCATTTGCACCCGATGCCCATGCATGCAATGCACATTTAAGGTTGCTAGAGCGAAAACAGAAAATGCCTTCAGTACTTGTAATGGCTGCGTTGAAAAAAAGGATTTCAGCTGGTGGGTTTCGCTCTTTGACACAACCATTCCAGGCATGAAGGCCCTCTCTGGTTTTCATCCTGACAACCATAGCATTGATTCTTGGGCCAGGCTGTTGGAAAGAACCGCCTGACCATCAGATTCAAAATATTTGGGGGAAAATCGAATCTCCCAAATCGGGCGCATCAAATTTTGGGACGCTGTGGTTAGTCCACTCTTGACTGTGAAGCATCAGTGCTCACAAGGATTTTCATTCACACTCAGAGCGATGCAATCACACTTAACATCCATGCATGGCCATGTACATTTAAGGTTGCCGGAGCAAAAACGGAAAATTCTACAGTATTTTCAATGGCTGTGTGGAAGGAAGGATTTAACCCGGTGGATTTCACTCTTTGAGTCTGTAGATCCAGAAACTCTCCATTTTGCTTCCTGGCAACCTCAGCATCGATTCATGGAACACCAGATTTTAAAATATCTGAAAATATTTGGAAAAAAATTGCCAGTTTTGCTTTTTTACGCAGCCATAACAGGTATATTATCCCTCTCTGGCTTTCACTCTGGCAACTTTAGCATCTGTTCTTGAACTAGGCTATTGCAAAAATCCGTGCAGACAACGGATTGCAAAATATTTCTTTGCTTGCTTTATTGAACTGCTGGATTTCGCCACTCGACTCAACCATAACGGAGATATTATCCCTCTCTTGCTTACACTCTGGCAACTTTAGCATCTGTTCTTGAACCAGGCTATTGCAAAGAGCCGTGCGGACACCGGATTTCAAAATATTTCTTTGCTTGCTTTACTGAACTGCTGGATTTTGCTCCTCAATGCAGCCGTAACAGGTATATTATCCATCTCTAGCTTACACTAGCATCCATCCTTGAACTGGGCTATTGCAAAGAGCCATGCGGACACTGGATTTCGAATTATTTATTTGCTTGCTTTATTGAACTACTGGATTTTGCTCCTCAATGCAGCCATAACAGGCATATTATCCCTCTCTAGCTTACACTCTGGCAACTTTAGCATCTGTTCTTGAACCAGGCAATTGCAAAGAGACATGCGGACACTGGATTTCAAAATATTTCTTTGCTTGCTTTATTGAACTGCTGGATTTCACCCCTCGACTCAACCATAACAAGGATATTAGCTCTCTCCATTTTTCACTCTGGCAACTTTAGCATCTGTTCTTGAACCAGGCTATTGCAGAGTTGTGCGGACACTGGATTTCAATATATGTTTTGCTTGTTTTGTTTACAGTAATTGCTAGATTTTGCTCCCTGACAAAATCTCCCTGACATAGCCCGCTCTGGTTTTTATCCTGGCAACTTTAGCATCTGTTCTTGAACCAGGCTATTGCAAAGAGCCGTGCGGACACCGGATTTCAATACATTTTTGCTTATTTAACTGCTGGATTTGGCTCTTGGACCAAATCACTGCAAGTCCAGGAGTCCATCCTGGCCACTTTGGCACTGGCCCTTTTGGACCCAGCTGTTGCAAAGAGGACACTGGGCGCTTACCTTTCTCCAGGAGCGCCTTGACGATGCCGGACCCCACGACGCCGGCACCACCCAGGACCACAGCCACCCGACCCTCCAAGGAAGAAGAGGAGGACATCCTGGCCAGGAGAAAAAGAGGGAGATAGAGAAAGGCAAAGAGAAGTGGACACACACAGAGAGAGAAGAAGGCAGAGGGCAAATGAGGCCGGGTTTCCTGAGAAGGGAATAAGTACCAGAGCCCCACCTCTGAGCCCACCCACTGCTCGATTCCCAACCCTCCCAGTTGCTGCTCTCAAGGAGACGAGAGATGCTTGGCTAAAGAGCCAATGGGTCCAAATTCTGATATTTGGGGACCCATCATGGGGAGACCCTAAAATAGCATAATGTATTTATGTCCCATACTGGGGTGCATCAGTGGTTCTCAACCTTCCTAATGCTGCGACCCCTTAACACAGTTCCTCACTACCTCTGAGGATGCTTGCCATAGATGCAGGTGAAACGTCAGGAGAGAATGCCTCTAGACCATGGCCATATAGCCCGAAAAAACCTACAACAACGCAGTTCTTCATGTTGTGGTGACCCCCCAACCATAACATTATTTTCGTTGCTACTTCATAACTGTAATTTTGCTACTGTTATGAATCGGAATGTAAATATCTGATATGCAGGATGTATTTTCATTCACTGGACCAAAATTGTTACAAATACCCGACACGCCCAAATTTGAATACTGATGGGGTTGGGAGGGACTGATTTTGTAATTTGGGAGTTGTAGTTGCTGGGATTTATAATTCACTTACAATCAAAGAACATTTTGGACTCCACCAATAACTTGGCACACAGAATTCCCATGACCAAGAGAAAATACTGGAAGGATTTGATGGGCATTGACCTTGAGTTTTGGAGTTGTAGTTCGCCTACATTCAGAGAGCACTGTGGATTCAAACAATGATGGATCTGGACCAAACTTGGCATGAATCCTCAATATGCCCAGATGTGAATACTGGTGGAGTTTGGGGAAAATAAGCTTTGACATTTGGGAGTTGTAGTTGCTGGGATTTATAGCTCAACTACAATTGAAGAGCATTCCGTACTCCACCAACGATGGAATTGAACCAAACTTAGCACACAGATCTCCCATGACCAAGTGAAAATACTGGAAGGATTTGGTGGGCATGATCTTGAGTTTTGGAGTTGTAGTTCGCCTACATTTAGAGAGCACTGTGGACTCAAACAATGATGGATCTGGACCAAACTTGGCATGGGTATTCAATATGTCCAAATGTGAACACTGGTGGAGTTTGGGGAAAATAGGCCTTTACATTTG